CTTTGGACTCAGGGTCCTACATGAAGCCAAAGAGAAACAGGAGGAAATTAAACTAAAGGTGCTCAGTGAAGCACTAGAAAAACCTTCCTAGAGGCGGTAAGAGTCGTTCAGCTATTCATTCATTCACTCATTCGCCGACTCTCTTTTGGATTCAGGGTAGATCCTGATGGGTCACTGACACTGTTACCTGCCTGGGACCCCAGCAGCCCCAGGAGTTGCCTTCAGGAGGATCACAGCGCCAAATGTGCACAGGGGTCAGAATGACATGGGGGCACTAATGAACACACAGCACGTGACATAGTCCAGGTGGGAAGTCAGGGAAGTTCTCCTCAAGAAAGTACGGTTTTCATCAGATCCCTGAAGGCAGCCTCACCGCTTACTCTAGGGGGCTGGGGCACAAGTACAAAGGAGGCCCCAGCCTGTTGGCCTACCCGCCTTCTCTTCCCTTCCTGGCTTGTGTGCCATCATGTGGACACCTCCCTCAGGCCTCCAGTTCAAATTCTGCCCACACACCACCGCCATTGCCTCCCTGCCCTTGGCCAGCCTGTAGGCCTCAGGGTCATGATCTACTCTCAGGAAGACGGATGCAGATAAATGGCCTTTGCAGAGCAGAAGTGGGCTTGGGCCGTTTGGGCCAGGGATTTGGGAGGCCTGAGTATACAGGGCGGAATGATCTAGAAGCGGGTGCACAGCCAGGGGTGGATGTGTGCCCTCAACCCTGCAGGCAGATGAGGGCCAGTGTGGGGTTTCTAAAGCATGAAGCTCATTGCAGGATCCTGACTGCCTAAAGAAAAGTAAGAGGTAGATGAATAAAAAGCTTGGGGGCCAGGCGTGTTAGCTCACACCTGTAGTCCCAGCACTTTGGGAGACTGAGGCAAGAGGATTGCGTAAGCCTAAGAGTTCAAGACCAGCCTGAGCAACAGAGTAAGATCCCGTTGCTTTAAAAAAAAAAAAAGCTGGGATGTTGGGGAAGGCTTCTCATAGAAGGAACAACCAATACAAGATCCCCAAGATGGGGTACAGGGGAGAGGGGAGGTGAGGGTAGGGAATGGGCAGGGGCCTGGGAGGCCAAGGTAGAGATTCAGCTTTATACACCAAGACATAGTGGACCAGGGAAAGGCCATTCTTAGAGGTGCAAGAACATTCCTTCCAAACTGAGCTAGTGTGACGCCAATAAGGTATTTGATGTGAGAATAGAGAGCAAGCTGTTCCGTTCAGCCAGGCCTAACAGTACTGAGAAAAACCAAAGAAAGAAAAAAAAAATATTTGGAGAGGGGAGATTGTGGAGGAGTTGTGGACGTGGACCAGGGGGTCAAGGTCATTCGGGTGAGCCCAGAGCCTTCCGGGAGAGGCTTTTATTTGGCTGGGAGCCAGACTGCCTCCTTGCTCCATGCTGTCTACTAAAATAAGGCAGAATAATCCACCACAGTTAGCACCTTTCTGCTCTAGAAGCACTCCCTATGCCTGAGCCATAGCACTTCAAACAATTTTTGTGGTTTTCTGTGTGATTTCAGTGTTCCGAAATTCCTTCTGGATTGGCAATGCATTCCATTCTCCACTTAGTAAATACGACCACCTTTTATGCTTTGGTCAACAATTTGACATTCGTCACTGAATTTTCATTCCCTCTGTGTCATTTATTATTTCATAATTAGCAGTGACACTCTCAGCATTTAATGCCTATGAAATTATGAATACATTGTTGCATAGTAAGAATTGTCCCTGAAGTCCGTAAGCAGATGTTGGGGGGCGGGTGTGTGTTTATGGTAACAGTGCTTACATAATCTCGGCAGCCAGGGGCCCTGGGGACTTACACTGGACGATGGAACAGTTGGATTAAATTAGGTTTCCATGTGAAATATGGTATCGCTATTTTTTTCCTAGCATTGTGGGAAAGTATATGGAAAATGATTTGACTGATAGGAAATAAATCTGGATGCACGATCGGGAAGGAGACACAAACCGAGTGGTAGTCTCTGCCTGCTCTGAGAAGCAGGCCTGCCCAGGGGCAGGTGAGTTAACCCTTTCCAGTCACTGGACTAGGAAGTCACTGCATGGTCCTGAAAGAACAGTGACTTTCCAGAGACTCTGACTTGCCGTCAATAGGAAAGGAGCCCTGGAAAGAATGTAGCCAGAGGCCTCGACAACTGAGTTCGGTGACTTTGAGAAACTGTTTTAATTTTTCAGGATCTCATTGTTATTTGTGAGAAGAAGGGCTTGAATTTCCAACTCCAACAGTCAACAGGGCTGTGATTCTAAGTGTTTGCTGATGACTTCCCACTGCAGGACAGGGCTCATCGAAAGCCAGTCAGACTAAAGGAAGAATTGGACGGAAGTACCAGCAACATTCAATCTCCATTGGCAAAACCATTTCTAGTGAGCCAGGGTTTCAGAAAGGTCACCAGGGACAGGACGAAACAGACAGTGAGCAAGGCATTCTTCATAGCCACAGGAGAGGGGCTGTCTGGGAATCCCAGAGAGTTCCTGAGGTGACTTGGACCAGGGCTTGTCCCACGGTCTGATTCCAGATCTGTTCTCCTGATGTCGCCTGAGGGCCCAGCGAAGTCCAGAGCAGGTGGAGAGCAGAGGCACATGCTGGAAGCCTGCAGGGCTCGGGGGTGGCGGATGGCCCATCACATTTCACGTCAGCCTGTTATAGAAGGGAAGAGGCAGGTTACTCTAGTGCTCCTGGCTGGGACGAGAGTATAAATCCTGGTTTATCACTAAAACTCCCTGTTGCTACTATTTCCCTATTTGTTTCTGTGTGGGGATAGTAATGAGGTATGAGCAACCTTTCACTGAAAAACAATCCTTTTCATTCTGTATTTTTCATTTCTTTAATCATGTTTTGGTTCTCTTCTCAGTATCTACTCCTTTTATTCCAGCTCTGTCTTCAAATGTGCAGCCCCAAATTGACTACTTAGGACTCACCTAGAACCAAGTTGAAAGAAACTGTCACCTTTCATTAGATGAATGAGCACTGGACTGGGAGTCTTAGTTTTGACATCAACAAGAACTGTGACCTCAGAAAGCCACTTCTCTTACGAGCCATAGATTCTCTATCTGGAAAAATGGGGTTGGACTGCCCTCTGTGGTTGCTACCAGCACTAAATGCCATTGAATCTTACCATTTTATTGACTCATGGGCAGTGTGACGCTAACCTTGAACACTGCCTGCACTTGTTGTGGGTCACCATGAATTCTCTGTTCTGGCCTCGTACTCACTCAGGCCAGGGAAAAGAGTTGCTGCCCAGGTCTCAGCACTGTTGCTGAACCAAGTGTAGCTAATAGGACCACGGAGGGTCAAGACCGAGACCTTGGTCTGTTAACAGCTGAGCTTACCGATCTGGACATTAGCCAGGATGGAGAAAGCAACTTAGATGAACACCAGTGTCCAAGCACCAACGTAAAGGCAACAGCAAAATTGTCTTAGGGATGAAGCATCATGGGGATTTAGAGGCTGCATATCATAAGGGGAGGGATATAGATGTGGATTAATATTAAATATTATACCCCAGTCTGTGCAGTAGGAAAAAACAAACCATATTAGAATAACTACATGCCCAGAGCTGGAGAGCATTACAGTTCATGTATACTCGTTAGGCATTTAGAGAGTGGTTAATAGTGAAACCACTGGAGCTGACACCCTAAGTTCAAATCTAGACTTTGCCACCTATTGATTAAGGACTTTAGGCAAGTCTCTGAGGATGACAACAGTCCCTGACTCTTAGGACCATTGTGGGAAATAAATGAGGTAAAATAGACAAAGTGCTTAGAACGATTCCTGGTGCATAGTAAGTGCTCTATAAGTATTTGTTCTTCTCATTATATTGTCATTTGAGGAACATAATAGATAATACATTTGTAAAAGATTATTCAAAATGATTTTATGCTTTCATTTGATATTATATATTTCACTACTTGATAAATAACATTAATTTAAGGACTAAATACATTGATTTAATCTAATTTTGATGTCCATCAGTCAAATATATTTCAATCAAAATTACCCTGAAGCCTTATTTTCTTATAATCTCATGGACTTGTTTAGATCAAAAGGGATTTTATGAATTGCCCTTTTCAGCCTCCTTATTTTACTTTTTTTTTTATTTCGGCATATTATGGGGGTACAGATTTTAAGGTTTCAATAAATGCCCTTTTCCCCCCTCCCCCCACTAGTCTGAGTTTCCAGCATGACCATCCCCCAGATGGTGCACATCTCAATCATTATGTATGTATATACCCGCCCCTCTCCCCCCTCCCACCTGCCCAATACCCTATTACTGTAGTACCTATGTGTCTACTTAGGTGCTGCTCAGTTAATACCAGTTTGCTGGTGAGTATATGTGGTGCTTGTTTTTCCATTCTTGGGATACTTCACTTAGTAGTATGGGTTCCAGCTCTAACCAGGAAAATATAAGATGTGCTGTATCACCGTTGTTTCTTAGAGCTGAATAGTACTCCATGGTATACATATACCACATTTTGTTAATCCATTCTTGGATTGATGCACTTGGGCTGTTTCCGCAGCCTTGCAATTATGAATTGTGCTGCTATGAACATTCAAGTGCAAGTTTCTTTTTTGTAGAGTGTCATTGGATCTTTTGGGTAGATGCCCAGCAATGGGATTGCTGGATCAAATGGTAGATTCACTTGTATCGCTTTAAGGTATCTCCATATTGCTTTCCACAGAGGTCGAACTAGCTTGCAGTCCCACCAGCATTATAAGAGTGTTCCTCTCTCTCCACATCCTCACCAGCATTTAGTGTTTGGAGCCTCCTTATTTTAAACATGAAGAGATACAAAGAGATTAGATGACTATCCCAGAATCCCTTATCACAGCAATGATGGAGCTAGGTTTTCACTTCAGGTCTTTCAGCTAGGTCCTTCATTTCCTGATACCAAATCGATTTAAAAAACAAAAAGTTTTCTGGTGGAAAAAATCGTTATCAAGCTTCCAGGACACAGTCTCAGTGAAGGCCTCTCCCTGTGTTTTCCAGGTGAGCTCCTGGGTGACGTGGCTCATCCTCACGGCCGGCTCCATGGAGGAGAAGCGGGAAGTCTTCTCATACTTGGTGCATGTGGCCAAATGCTGCTGGAACATGGGCAACTACAACGCTGTCATGGAGTTCTTGGCCGGCCTCAGGTATGGTCAGTGGGGAACACTGCGTCCTCCTACCAGCTGAATGGCACTAAATGAATTGGCCCAAGCCAGGCAATTGGTAGTAATTATCATGGGAAATATATTACCCTATTCCGTGCCACAAGCCCCATCCCTCAAAGACACTGCAGAATTCAGCCCCAATGGGCCACTTGCAATCCTACTTTGCTGTGTCTGCCCTGGTCCCATGCTCTTGGCCAAGCTGAGAGAAATTACCTGGTTGAATAAGCCCATCAACCCCATAACCAGCCCCTCTATTCCCTTTCCTGCCCCATAAACTTTGCTGCTGTCTTTCCCTTCCCAGCTCTCCCTTATGAAATTGTTCTAGCACTGTCAGCTCTCGACCACCGACTGCCCTGAGTACGAACAGTGGCTAACATTGACCACAGGCATCCAATAATATTAGCTCATCATGATCCAACACTTGCTATATTTCAAGCATTGGGCTAAGCACATTCCCTGCATTATATCCTTTAATTCTCACAACAGTTTTTTGAGGTAGATACTGTTATTATTCTGACATTATACAAAAGAGGAAGCTAAAGCTAAGAGGAGTTAAGTCATTCCCCCAAGGTCACCTGGCTTGGTTGGGAATGCAGGCAGCCTTGATTTCAGGGCCCGTGATCTTGACCACTATAATATCCTACTCTTATGCCTTCTCCATAAAGAGAATAAAAAATCACCATCTGTCAGTCGTCTCCCACTTATCTTTTCAGCCTCAGTCCCTTAGCACAAAGTAACTGCTCTCACTCCTTCCGGAGGCAGCGTGGTGTGTGAGTTGTCATATCAGAAAGCAGGGAATCAAATCCTGCCTCCCCCATGGAATAGCTGTGTGATCTGGGGAAGTTATTTGACCTCATTGAGCCTCAGTTTCTTTGTCTATAAAATGGGGATAGTACTAAAAAGCACCTACCTCCTTAGGTAGGATTCAGTGAAATAATATAAAGTGTTCAGCGTGTGTGCCTGCCATATAGTAAGGCTCCATAAAGAGAAGCTACTGTTGTTGTGACTATTTCCCAAGATTCACCATCCCACTGAGGGGGCGCACTATAAATGAATCTTACTTTATAGCATTATCAAGATTTTTCTTTGATTCTCCAGGTCCCTACATATGGATTCTGGGTTGGGGAGGGAGATGAAAACTCCCAGAGTTAGAATTTTTTCTTGTCTTTTGAACCTTCCTGAAAATAAACTCAAATGATCATATCACTGACATTTATAATAGTCATGCAAATGCACCAGGCATGGTTCAAAAGAAGGAAAAAATAGAAAAACTACCTGGAGAACAGGAAGCCAAATCCAGATGATTTGGGTTCTTTTATTGATAAATTTTCTACAAAGAACCTGTGTTACATTTCTCTTAAGAAAAGAATGATCATATTGTGATAAATAATTCCATTTTAATGATGCTTTTTATTCTGTGTTTGCATGGCAAGTTGGTGCTAGCTGTTGGCTGGGGACCTCACTTCCTGTCCCCATGGACATGACTGTCCTCACATCTTGGTAGCTGGCCCCTCCCAAAGTGAGCAATCCAAAAGAACTAGGCAGAAGCTGCAATGCCTCTTATGCCCAAGCCTCAGAAATCACACACTGTCACTTCTGCCATACAGCACTAGATCACTAGAGGTCATCTTGGAGGCTGGCTGCCACATACTGTCTACTAGATCATCTTGATATAAGAATGGCCTCAGGGCTGGGCACGGTGGCTCACACCTGTAATGCTAGCACTATGGGAGGCTGAGGCAGGAGGATCCCTTGAGGTCAGGAATTTGAGACCAACCTGAGCAACAGTGAGACCTTGCCTCTACTAAAAATAGAAAAAATTAGCCAGGCTTGGTAACCTATAGTCCTAGCTACTTGAGAGGCTGAGGCAGGAAGATTGCTTGAGCCCAGGAGTTTGAGGTTGCTGTGAGCTAGGCTGATGCCATGGTACTTTAGCCCAGGTGACAGAATGAGACTCTGTCTCAAAAAAAAAAAAAAAAAAAAAAAAAAGAATGGGCTCAGAATGACCCTGGAGGCCTGGGGTGAATGTGACTTTCTGATCCAACTTGGTTGGAATTGAAAATCCAAGAAGGTCATAGAGCCAGGTGATTCTCTTCCATGAGAAATAATCTCAAACCAGGCTAGACCTCGACACTGATCCCTGTGCATTTTGCCTTACACTCCAGACCCACTGCCACCTAGTTTGATGCTCCTATATTTGACTTAAAACTAAACTGATCTTTATAGATAGATAGGCAAAAGTGCCAGGTATAATAGTTCTTTTATTGGAACAAGGTCTTCAGGAGATAAGTTGCCAGATGTTCTTACGGTGGAATGATTGTAGAGCCGAGTTATGTTTTATCCTTTTTAAGCGATTGGATGGGAAGAGGGAGCAAGCATCCTTGCTGTTAAGTGACTTTAGTTTTCTATAGACATTGTACATTTTGCCTCCCCTAACTAAATTCCCAGGTCTTTTAAGGAAACAATTAGAAGTACTAAGATTTGCATCATGTTTACTCAATCATGGAATCAATTTAAAACAATACAAATGAACAACAATAGGAAAATAGTTCAAAGACATAAGATGATACATCTAGATAATGGAATGTTACTTAGCCCTCCAACATGATTTTTATGAAAAAATCTTATATCACTGGTAACATATAATAAGTAAAACTGTCTGGGAACAAAGCTATCTTTACATAATAACCTCAGCAATATTTATATACCCAGACAGACAGGAAAAGAATAAATACTGGAGGGAAATATACCTAATGTTCTCTGGGTATTGTGGTAGAATTGTGGGTGGGTGATTTTTCTCTGTCTCCCAACTCTGCAAGCACAGGACAGTCCACCGGACTCCTCTCTCCCTTTGTCATTGGGTAGCTCCAGCCAGCCTCTCATCTTTAGGCAAGAGTCACACTCCAGCCCGTGGGATCCACAGACTGCCCAGGACATGGGTCAGTGTCTCCATAGAGCTCACTTAATGCTCCCTGCACTTGGTGTGATTTTCCTCCTTCTCACATGTAGCCCTCCCAGAACTCTCTCTGAAAACATATTCCTGACCGTTATGCTCAGATCCAGTTCCTCTGCGTGGGCCCAAGGAGAGTGGGAGACTATTGTGGGCAGAGCAGTTCGGGCACCCCCTGGTGAAAACCTGACACCTCTCTTTAGACAGAGGGGTACAATGTCACCTATTGTCCTGGGCAGCAGTTTCAGAATAGGAAGCATCTCATTTAACATCCTGTTATGCAAATTATACTTTAAAACCAAGTCCCCTAATAGGGGCTGGTGGCTTAGTGTCGAAGCTTGATTCAGCAAAAAGCAATTCTACGAAAGAGGCCAAAACAAAAGGCCTCATGCATATCACTGAGGGACTGACTTAATCCAAGGATAATATTTAAAAGATCAAGAGGAGTGGATGGGCCAGGTTTCCGCACGCAATCCTCCATAAACATCTGTACAAGCGTATCAGCCACTCTGCTTCCCTCTTGGCCATCGCTGCCAGAAAAGCTCAACCCTGCATTCAGTGCCCAGCTCCCACAATGCCCGCTTGTATCTGTTATCTGTCCTATTTAACTTTTTGTTTCGATTTACAAAAGTAATATTCATATTATGTCGGGAAGCAAGTGGAGCTAAGAACCCTAAATAAATAGTAACAAGTAAAGAAGATTTAGAAGGTAAAAAGTATGAATCTATGTGGAATTTAGGCTATTTACTGGAAACTATATTATTTCTCCTTCGGTCTAAAAAAAAAAATGTCATTTGCCTGCAATAGGTCAAGAAAAGTCTTAAAAATGTGGCAGTTTATGGACCAGTCTGACATCGAGACCATGCGGAGCCTGAAGGACGCCATGGCTCAGCACGAGTCTTCCTGCGAGTACAGGAAGGTGGTCACCCGGGCCCTGCACATCCCCGGCTGCAAGGTGGTTCCGTTCTGCGGGGTGTTTCTGAAGGAGCTCTGTGAGGTCCTCGATGGCTCCTCGGGCCTCATGAAGCTGTGCCCACGGTACAATTCCCAGGAAGAAACTTTAGAGGTGAGGCCTCCCAGAGCCATCGTGACCTGACGTCACGGTTGCCACCTGTCTCCTCAGGCCCTGTCTGTGGTCACTAAAGCAAGAAGAGATCCCTCATGGAACCCAGGGTTAATCACTGTTATGTTGTGTCTGGGTAGCAAAGAAGTCCTTGAACATTCTGGAGAAAGGAATGCCAGCCAGCACTGTTCAGGGCTTAATCCTGTTGAGTTGGGCTTAATGTATTAGCCGTAATGTGTAAGTACAAGTGGAAAGGGAGGCTGTTTTCTGATTGTTTTTAAAATATTGACAGGTTTTTTTTGTATTGGAGGGGAATGTCTGGATGCAGAGGATAAAGAAAGCGTTAACTTTTCCATATCAGTGGAAAAATGAAAGGGGAAGTCAGCGTTGCCTTCTTCCCAGCCTTTGTGGGAAGATGCTGGGGAAGCCGGTGCCTTCCCCAAAGACAGACTCCAGGCTCTTGGTCACAGGTGCCCGATTCTTCCAGGCCCCTTGCTTCTCATTCCTGACTCCCAGCGCACAGAGGAGGGTGTGGCGTCGGACTCAGGGCACTGTGCGCTGGAGAGAAGGGGCACTGAGAAACTGGAAGGGAAAGATAAGGAAACCTCCCTCTAAGGTGTTTAAAAATGAAAGAAGGGACTAAAATAGAAAGAGCTCTATGGAGATTTTGAGGGGTCCTTTATCTGGCACTTCCAACCCCAAATCTAGGGCCATTCTTACCATAGTGACAGAACCCACCACTAGTCTCTCTCTCTCTCTCTCTCTCTCTCTCTCTCTCTCTCTCTCTCTCTCTCTCACACACACACACACACACACACTCACAGACACCCCCTCACTGTGGGAGGCGGAAGACTCTCCTCAGACTTCAGCCTCTTCTGTGTCACTCAGGAACAAAGGTGTCACCTGGTGTCAGGAAGATGTGAGAGCCCCTGACAAATGTAGGCCACACCACCAGCATCTCTCTGGTTTATGAGCTGGGATTAGAGGGCAAGAAATGGAGGGAAAAGCTTAGGGAAGCTTCCCAGGCCACACCCAGTCTAGCTCCCTCACGCCTTGGGAAGAGGAAGCCAGGAAGCGTGCAGCCCTTGGCCCAGCCCACACCTGTGACAGGAGAAGCTTCCTGCTGTCCAGTATAGACAGCAGAGCTTAAAAACCACCAACAAGCCAAACATCACCTTTTCTCAGCGTTTGCCTCGGGCCCCAGTCCTTTGAATTGGTCCCATGGAATAGTACACTCTGGTCATGGTTTTTCTCAGTTCTCACTACAAGGATAAAATAACCCTGCCCTTCCTCTGAAAATGGCTAATCTTCTCCTGAGGGAGCCCTGAAATAATATTGCTTTTTTGTGTTTTAAATTTGGAGTGGAGTGTTGATTCCTAGAGGGATTAAAGTTGTCTCAGTGGAAACAAGGGTGAGTTTTGATATTTCATGTGGTGAAATGAAAGAAAAAATAATGTTTTTCCTGGAGGTTCTTGTTTTCTTTCCAATAAAATAGGCACAAAAGCCATTATTTATTACTATTATGGTTTCATGGACCTAGCCAAGTAGGTTATGAAGACATATTAAGCTGCAATAGCACATTCTCAATATATTTTTCTATAGTTTGTCGCAGATTACAGTGGACAAGATAATTTTTTACAACGAGTGGGACAAAATGGCCTAAAGAATTCGGAGAAGGAGTCCACCGTCAACAACATCTTCCAGATCATCAGGAGCTGCAGTCGGAGCCTGGAGACGGAGGAGGAGGACAGCCCCAGTGAAGGGAGCACCTCCAGGAAAAATTCCTTGAAGGATAAAACCCGATGGCAGTAAGTTTTACATATTAAAAGGGGGGAAATGCTCATTTCTTCTTTTTTCCTATTGGTAAGTCTTTTTCCTACTTTAGTTTAGTTTCAGATGGGTACCTAATAAAAACCTACCACTTTTATCTGTAAGCCATGCTTCTTTATCTTCAAACTTTACTAATTCTGAATTAGAATTTACCTTTCTCATGTTGCTGCTGTGTTCTAAAATTACTATTCATAATTTAACTTCTTACCAACCTTTATTCCCTTAAAAAAAAAAAAAAAAACCTAGAGCTATCCTGCCATTTTTGAAAATTCAACAAATTTAATTTCAGGATTAGTGCTATGTTCTTTTCTTTATTTCATAGTTTCTGTAACAGTGGTTTTTATTAATATTAATTCCTGGGTGGGATACGAGGATGGGTGTTAAAATTTTTTTAAATCAAATATTTAGTAGGTCTGAGGTGATACCCCCAAATCAATATTTTTATCAGCTCCCCCAACCTCAGAATGATTCTAAGTCAGGGGTTCAAAGACCTCATTTTTAGAAACATTGCTCTGTGAGGTCCTTTCAAGTTAGCCTGGCTCGAACGAGGCATCTGCAGCTCTGTCATTTTTCAGTTGTTCCAGTCGCTGTTTATCAGCAGGCGTTGCAGTCTAGCCAGACGGGTGTCCCCGCAGCCAAATGAAAAGTGGAGAAATCAGTGGCTGGGGGCAGCCCTGGCATTTCTTCAAGGCCTTTTAGTCATGCTCAAGCCTCACATCAAATGGCAGAGCTTGGCCCAGGTGGAGGAATCCTTTTGAGCCACCCAAAACTATTAATATTAGTTTTACTGGCTTTGATGTCTTCCCCGGGAAAGGATTATTTGCAGCCAGTACTCATGAGTCATGCATTGCACTTTTCGTGCAGTCCTTTATACATGTATATATGTATTTGTAGGACAGTGCGATTTGTTTTGCAAACCCTTTCCTGTTTTGTGTGTGTCATCTGTGTGTGCGTGTGCCCATATTGGGAAGGACAACCGTGTTTTTAGAAAATAATTTCTTTGAAGTTGTAGCGTTAGATCCTTAGAATCAGGTGTGAACACAGAAATGAACATCTTGTATCTGAATTCCTAACGTTATTATGTTTTAACGAAGTATAAATTCCAGATTTCTCCAAAGTCTTTGGGCTTCCCTCCAAACCTTACTTCTTAGCTCATTCTCTCGTCGAGGACCCAGGTGCTCAAAGATTGACTGTTACGCCCTTACCATAATGTCTTGGACGTAAAATTCAAATTTGAATTTGTATCACAAACCTCTTCTACCAAATCTTTTTGTTGTTGTTTTATCTCAAATCAGAGATCATTTGAGAGCTTTCTCACTAGCAAGTTTTGACATGAGTGGCAATCTATATCTACAAATAAGCACATCTGCACAGGAAGTATCTCAAAGCCATTTAAGTCCTTAATCTATACCTATCTCTCTGCATCAGTATCTATGTATACATCTACTTCTACCCATAAAAGATCTATAGATGCTTATAAGAATAAAAGTGAATACTTGAGGCAATTAAAGGAAAGGAAAATAAGGATAGGAAAAAATAAAACATAACAAAAATGTATACTATCCAGTCTGTACAGTGACTGAATTTTGTTCTGAGATTCTTAGTGGCCAAAGGAAAGAGAAAATGATAATCCATTACAAGTTTCACAGTATTTGTAAGCAAAATCAAATGGATGTTTGAGATAAGAATACCTTTTTCTTATATTGAGGGCTAGCTGAAATTCCTTCCTTAAATCCTACTGTTAAGGATATATCATCTCTGAATAGATAAAATAATGAATTTCATATGGCTCTTTTTTATAACAACTTTCATTTGGAGCTGTGTGTGTACGTTTGTGGGGGAAGATGTTATTTAACACATCAACTGCTGTGTGAGTTGTATTTAACTCACACCAATTTTGAGCCCAGGGCCTTGGGAAGCACATGTAACTCACACATCTCTTTACCTTGGAAGGCACGTGAACTATTTTTTAAGTCGGATGGAACTCATGCACAGAAAATAATAAAAAAATAACAGATTTTTTTTTATTAACTTACAAGGGATCATTTTGTTTTTATTCTATTTTGGTAATAAAATACCGTGGTCCCTGGGGAAAAAGTTTTTTTCTAGTGTGGCCATCAATGTGTTAAAGATATGAAGCTTTCTAAAATGCCTTCAGGAATGCTACTTTTATTGAGTCTTAGAGACCTGGACTCTGGGCTTTTCTTTCACCATCCATTCCTTTGCCCTCAGGTTCCTTCGAGTGATGAATTGCATCATTCCATCACTCCTCATGGAATTTTTATTTCCTATTTTCTACTTATTCTCTTGTCCTCTTCTAATTGTTTTGTCACCTACATCCTAAGGACATTTCTCTTCTACTGCTCATTTGCCAGACCTTGCTGTACCCACTTTTAAAAGGGAAGAAAAACATAAAAATGCAAAGATTTATTTTATAAAACCTATGGAGTCATATTGAAATCATCACTTCAAAACCTAAGTACCAGTAATAGTTTTCTTACCTTGCATGACTGCTACCTGAAAGGAACCTCTGAACACACAAAATGGAAGGGGATGAGGGTGTTTAATAGAATTCACTGAAACCAGATCAGCAAGTATTGCTTCTGTGACCAGCTGCCAGGACTTGGGAATCCGTTCCTGATTCCGAGCCCACGGTAAAATGTCCAGCGCCGGGTTGTGTGTGGCAAAGGCATTTGCAGATCCCAAAGCCCAGAGGAACTGTGCTTTGTTGATCTGGCTTAAATGAAGACTCTGCAAACAACGACGTCCATTCCCTGTTCATGTGGCAACCACCAACGCTATGGAAATTACAGCAAAGAAGGACAATCTCACGGTCCCTTGGTTGACCCCGCCCACGGAGTGCTCTTATAATTCTTCTCAAACTTCTCAGCTATACCTTGTCTAACCTTTGTATAGATGAAGAAATGGTACTCAGAGAGCTCAAGTCACTTGCCCAAGTAATAAATAGCAGAGCTGGGCCAGGAGTCTGACCATATGTTCAGCCACAGAGCAGGCTTTTTTTTTTTGTCCTGCAGTGTTTAACGTATTTCTTTGGTCTTTAAAGGGGTTAGCATCTAATTCCTGTAGATTAGGAACATTTGAATTCTAAAAACATTCCAGTTACATTTCATATGGCCTATAAAGCTCATTAATAATGACTTTCTTAATTTACCAGCGTGAAGAATAAATAAACTATGCCGGTGTATGTTTAAGTGCTGGAGACATAAGAGTAGCATGTGGCACCATTGTTGGAAAATAGAGATTAGGAATATTAAGGCATGTAGAGAAGAGTGTTGGATCATGTATTAGTAGCAGCTGCAAGTTCTTATTATCATCATTTTCAATTCTGTTGACCCTCTTGGGCATGCTGCAGCTTAAGAAGGATTTGTACATTTGGAGAAATGGGATATAAGTAGATGATGAGTTCAGACAAAAACTTAGAATGGAGGGCTGCGTGAGCTGATTAAGAACTCAAACCTTGCAGTCGCATTGCCTGGGTCCGAATCTTGACACCACCACCACTACCTACCACTTACTATTATGTGTCAGCTGGGTCAGTGACTTAACCTTAGTAAGCCTCAGTTTTGTCATCTGTAGAATGGGAATGATAATGCTGATGGCATACGGTTGTTGTGAGGACTATGTGAGACAATACCTATCAATAAAGCAAAATGTATAGCACATTGTAAGTGCCATATAAATGGTGGCTATTGTGACTGTCTGCCATCATACCTTTCAGCTGCCAAGCTGAGGCTCTGAAGGCTGGAGCACTTAGGCATGGGCACCCTGGATAGCAGTCACCATTTCAAAAGCACCCCTTGGTCATACTTCCCTCCTTTACAGAGAAGAGTTGTTTACTGTGCCCTCCCACCCCAATAGCCTCCTCAGGGACGTGCCTGGAAGATAATCCAACCCCACAGGGATAGAAAATAAGAAAGCTAAGCACAAGAAAGTAGAATATCTGGGAGAAAATAACAGTTACCAGGATTAACCACACACACGCATGCATGCAATGTGGATGCCCACAATAATAAAATGATAGGAAGCCAATTGGTTACTCTGCATAGAGGACGCTGCAGACAAGTCCCGACCTTACCAACACCCACCTCCAGCACTCTTCATGGACAGCTACTGCTTCATCCCAGCCCAGACCTTAGCACAGTCTCGCTCCCCTGCTTTGCTGGGGATACCTGGGTCCCTCTCTTTCTCTTCCTTTCTGTCTCCTTGGCCAATACCTGAGACCCATCCTTGTTCTGTCATTTGTAACAAAGAAAGCCATTTTCCCACTGCCTGCACAGCATTCACTTTAGGCTTAAATTTATCACTTAAATCCCAACTTGAAACTTAGACACCGTTTTCACAGAGAAGCAGTATTTGTACAGATGACTTTGTTCTGTAACACTAATTTGTAAACACAATTCAAACAATAATGATATTAGCAACATTTAAGAGCCTAGTATTTTACTGAGTGCCTATGCTTAATCAAACACTGTCCTAAATACTATACATACATTAAAGAACTTAATCCTCACAACATTTCCATTTTACTGAGAATCTCACAACTAGCACGGCCTGGATTTAAATTCAGGCAGACTAGCTCCAAAATCCACATACTACTCGGATATAATTTAGAGACTGCCTGTAGTCAAGGAAGGTGCTAGGTTAATTAAAAGCAAAAATTTTCTAGAACAGAGCCTTAAAAACACTAGATTTTATTACAGCTGTAGCAAGTCCTTTGGAAAAGGTGTAGATTTGCTTCTCTCTTAAAAAATTAAATTTAAAATTGTTTATCACTTGATGATTCAAGTTCAAGTAATTGTATTAAATCTGCAGGAAGTAATGATCCTTACAAAGAAAATATATAACCAGGTTGACAAATACCCCTTTACCACCTGATATAAGATTTTCATCAGGGAACATTACAAATGTGTTTATCTGTCAATTTATGGTTTCTAGCTGGAGGATACTGTAGAAGGTCTTCAGGAATAGGATAAAAACCTTCCATTTTTACTCCTTGGTCCTGCTCTGAAGACACATGACTTAAGTTTGAGGAGGTAGTTTCTTTTTCAGTAAACCACATCTTTGATCTTTGGTTACCATTATTTAGTTCCTAAATAACTTTTCACATTCCACCTCATTCTTTCTTGTAAACCCACAGCAAATCGTCTCCTGAGAGAATCGGGCAGAGAATCGCATAGAATTTACTATATCATCTAAGATGCAAAAGCTACTAGTTTCCTGCTTGGAATGAATTTATTTCATTACAAACAATTGTCAATTTTATTTTGAGCATTAGTCCCTGGAAGATTGCTTTTTAATGGAATTATTACCATCTGGCATTAGTTCTTTTTATGTTCTAAAGTAAAAACTAATGCCAAGAGGGATCGTGTCCCTCTCTCCAGCTTACATCATCTCTGAGCAGCAGAAACAAGCTCCAGAAAAGCCTTATGATTTTCCTTTCCAAACATTGTTTTTCATAATGCCTGTAGCCTGTCACTGGAAAATGCTTGACTTAGCTCAGAATTTAAGTTAAGTGGAATATGGGAAACTCCATTTCTCTTGCTAAATTAAAATCAGAAGTTCTATGTCCAAATTAATATATGTTGTATTTTGGTGGGTTCTGATGCTCACCGGTTGAATCCTGTTTACTCTTTGAAAAACAGCAAAAAGTATGACCTGGAGAAACAGAAATGGTCCCTGAAGGAAGCCCCTCTAGAGGAACAGCTGGGCTGATTTAGCCTAGAGAAGAGGATGTGAGGAAGGTGAAGTGGAAGGAGTGAAACCTTGGTCTTCCTATGTTGAATTATAGTAGTGTACTTTACTGAGCCAGATGCTGTGCTGAGTGCTTTCCAACTATTATCTTATTTCATCTTTACCATTACTCTGAAAGGTGGGTGTTGTCTTTTTGTCATTTAACAGATAAGTACAGTGAGGCTCAGAGAGGTTGAGTGTTTTGATGAGGTCACACAGCAGACAGGTAGTGGAGCTTAACATTAAACCCAGTGTGACTCCAGAGGCATGTTCCTAAATACCATATTGTATGTATGAGGCAATTGTATAAGAGAACATAGTATTGGTTTTCCACTGTTACAGAGAGCAATTTTAGTGGGATGGAGCTAAGTTAGACACAACATAGTTTTTTCTTTTTTCACTTTTCACTTTAAGAAAAGTGTATAAAATACAATTTATTTGCACTTAGCACCCAGATCTTGGTTTCTAATACCATTCTTCAATAAAATGAATCAACTTTCCTTGAAGAAAGGGCTGGGCAGAAAATATACAAGATGACCCTGGGGCATCTTTTTGTGTCAGATGGTAAGGAAGTGCTCAAGAGAAAACATGCACAATGATGGGAGTAAGTAAGAGGAACACAAGAGCCAACTGGAAGAGCTCCCAAAGGACATAGCAACAAAATAAATGAAGTAGTATTAAATTATAACCCACACAAGGTATTAAATAAATGTTCATGAGCTCATACTAATATAAGTAAATGATATATGTAAATGATAAATAAACAAATGGGGGAGAAGAAACAAATACCCCATGCAGAAGAATTCAAATAACTTATGTAGATCCTTCACCCTCAAGGAGGCGCAGCATAATTCCCCACTCCTTTTTTTCCCTTTTTTTTCTTTTTTTTAAGAGATGGGGTCTTGCTCTGTTGCCCAGGCTGGAATGCAGCAGCACAATCACAGCTCACTACAGCCTTGAACTCCTGGGCTCAAGCCATTCTCTTGTGTCAGCCTCCCATGTAGCTGGGACTATAGGTGTGCGCCACCACACCCAGCTAATTTTGAAAAAGTTTTTGTAGAGATAGGGTCTCACCATGTTGCTCAGGCTGGTCTTGAACTCCTGGCCTCAAGCTATCCTCCCTCCTCAGTCTCCCAAAGTGCTGGGATTACAGGCATGAGCCACGATGCCCGCCTATTCCCCCACTCCTTAAGTGTGAGCTTGGCACAGTGACTTTCTTCTGAAGAGTATAGTGTGGAAAGGAATTAGGAAAAAAAGAAAAGAATAACTTTGCAGTGGGACGTGACAGACACTACCTCTGCCAGGTGATGTTGGCGATGTTTCTCGAGTCCGAGAAGCCGTCATAGTCAAGAGTAGCTTAAAGAGATGCGACAACTAGATGTGATGTGGTATGCCTGATGGGAGTCTGGGAGAGAAAAGGACATTAGATAAAAACTAAGGAAATCCGAATAAAGTATGGACTTTAATTAATAATAATGTAGCAGTATTTGTTCATGAATTATGATAAATATACCAGACTATTGTAAAATATTAATAATAGGACAAATTTTGTGGGGGGTAGACTGTCTTTGCAATTTTTCTATAAATCTAAAGCTATCCTAAAATAAAAAGTTTATCAAAAACTAATGTACTTCAAATGGGATCTGATCAAATTAAAAAGTTTCTGTACAGCCGAGGAAACCATCAGTAGAGCAAATAGACAACCCACAGAGTGGGAGAAAAATTTGCTCTCTACACCCCTGATAAAGGTCTAATAACAAGAATCTATATAGAACTTAAAAGAATTAAGAAAAAATCAAACAATCCCATCAAGAAATGGGCAACAGAAATGAAAAGCAACTTCTCCAAAGAAGACAGAATAATGGCATGCAAACATATAAAGAAATGCTCAACTTCTCTAATTATTAGAGAAATGCAAATCAAAACCACAATGAGATACCACCTAACCCCAGTAAGAATGGCCTATATCAAGAAGCCCCAAAATAACAAATGCTGGCGAGCATGCGGAGAGACAGGAACACTCCTACACTGCTGGTGGGACTGCAAATTAGTGCAACCTTTGTGGAAAAGAATTTGGAGATACCTCAAACAGCTAGAAATAGAAATACCATTAGACCCTGTAATAGCATTGTTGGGCATCTACCCAAAAGAGCATAAGACATTTTATTATTAAGACATCTGCACCCGAATGTTTATAGCAGCACAATTCACTATTGCACAGTCATGGAAACAACCCAAGAACCCATCAATTCATGAGTGGATAATTAAAATGTGGTATATGCTCACAATGGAATATTACTCAATCCTAAGAAATGACGGTGAGCTAGCACCATTTATGCTATCCTGGATTAAGCTTAAGCCCGTTATCCAAAGTGAGGCGACACAAGACATGGAAAATGGGCCCTACATCTACTCGCCATCAAATTGGTACTGACTGATTAAAACTATGGTTTTCAAATGGTGGCAATGCTCACCAGGGATTGGGGGGGATTTTGGAGGGGAAGGGCATAACTCTAACCCTTCTTAGGGAGAGGCAAAGATATACAATGTAACCAAAATATCAAAAACAAAACAAAACAAAACTTTTTATCAGGTGGTGGGCAGGCAGTAGGGGGGAGGAGGAAAGGGGTGTATGCTTCCATAACGTGTGTGACGTACACCACCGGGGGATTGGACACATGGGGGTGGAGGGAGAGGGGGCAGGGGCAATATTTGTAACCCTAACAATGTTTGTACCTCCATAATATGATGAAATAAAAAATAATAATAATGTACTTCAATAATTACCAAGTGAATGCATATGTAACTAACAGCCCAGAGTTAGAACACTGACAGTACCCATAAACTTCCATTTCCCTTCTCAATTATGTCACCACCTTTCCTTCTAGGGAAAACGACTATTATAAATTTTAGGAGAAGAACATCCTTCTTTGCTTTCTAGTTTTCCCACTAATATGCATTCCTAAGCTATACAGTATAGTTTTGCCTGGTTTTGAAATTTATATTTTTATAAATGTAATCATACCATATGTATTCTTGAATGTCTTAATTAAAATTTGTCTGTGTTGCTATACATAATTAGCTATTGCTTATTTATTTTCATTGCTGTATAGAATTACATTGTATGACTACCCTAAAATTTATGTATACATTTTATTGTTGCTAGACATTTAGGTTTGTCTCTGGTGTAGGACTCTGAAAAGGATTTTATGACCATCAGATTTGTGGGACACTAAAATTTGATATTTCTGGTAGGCTTTTTTTTTTTTTTTAAAGAATATCTGTTTATGTGGGCTATCGGGTTTGAAAGCAGGAATGGTGGCCTTGTTAGAGGATCACAGTCTAGAATGAGGAGGCTGAACAAGCAGGTTGTTCTCGCTTCTGATTATAAGACAGACAAAATTTGTGTTTCTTTCCATCAGGTTTATAATTGGAGATTTGTTGGATTCAGAAAATGACATCTTTGAGCAGTCCAAAGAATACGACTCTCGTGCATCCGAGAGCTCACAGAAGGCCTTCGACCACGGGACAGAGCTCATCCCGTGGTACGTGCTGTCCATCCAAGCTGACGTGCACCAGTTCCTGCTGCAAGGGGCCACGGTCATCCACTACGACCAGGACACACACCTCTCCGCCCGCTGCTTCCTCCAGCTTCAGCCTGACAACAGCACCTTGACTTGGAAAAAGCCCACCACTGCCTCCCCAGCCGGCACTAGAGCCAAACTTTGTGTACTCAGTAACACAGCTGAGCCTGGGAAATTCCCGCTACTGAGCAATGCTGCATTAAGTGGCCTGGTAGAGGGGGTCTTGGATCTGTTTTCAGTGAAGGCTGTGTACATGGGACACCCCAGCATTGATATACACACTGTGTGTGTTCAGAACAAACTGGGGGGCATGTTGCTGTCAGAGACTGGTGTGACACTGCTCCATGGGCTTCAGACCACGGACAATAGATTATTGCACTTCGTGGCACCAAAGCATACAGCTAAAATGCTCTTCAGTGGATTGTTGGAACTCACTAGAGCTGTGAGAAAGATGAGGCAGTTCCCCGACCAAAGACAGCAGTGGCTGCGGAAACAGTATGTCAGTCTCCATCAGGTAAGCGCCGCGGCCGTCCCTCTTCCCTCACAAGTGTAACTCTCAAGAGCACACACTTGGCGACTAGACCACCAGGTTCTTGCCCCCAGCTCTGCCACTCACTACCTGTGTGACCTTGTGCAGCTTTTACTTAATCTCTGGGTGCCTCGGTTTCCTTATCTATAAAATGTAAATAATAGCAACACCTGCTCATAGGGTGGCTATGAGAATTAACTAAATTAATATGTGTAAAGCCACAGTGTAAATTCATATGTATAAAGAATAGTATCAGTTCATAGTAGGTCTTCCTGTTATTTTGTATGACAATAGTGACCATGGTCATTGTGATGCCCACATCTTGGAAGAAACTATTTTCATTTACTCAAGGTTTCAATTGAAAGCACTGTAATCTGAATGCTTTTATTATTAATTGGTGGTTAGTTGATCCATTGGAAACCTTCCCTTTGGAAATTGAAATTCTGGTTCATCACCTAACATGCTATGTGACTCTTGGAGACTTATATAACTTAACTGCATATTGCTTTAAGGTTAAAAGAAACTTCCCCAAATGTGAGATGATTCTTACATGGAGTTCTTCCTCATCGGGTTTGTAGTGGCAACAAGCCCTTAGCAGGCAGAGTTTCACAGTCGGCTGCTTGAATTGAGTGAGTTTCTTGTTTACCCTAAATTATCAGGTACTTTAACACCCCAGCTACGGGTAGCAAAAGGGCTGGGCCAAGGAAATGGTGAGAAGAGACATAGGCACAACAGGAGTAGCATGCTTGTGGGGGTAGGAGGATACAGATTGCCTGGAAATCAAGTTGTCACCCGCCACCAGGTGACACTGTTGAAATGGCATTGTCAAATGAGTTGCATTGAGGTATTCAGTTTTTCTTTGCTATGCTTTTCTATCTTGATAGCAAAAAAATTATCATTTTTATTAGTGTCAGAGAACAAATAGAATTATGACTTAAATTACTCAAATGGCTAATTTTATGTACTTTTCACAGTTCTGACATGTTTCTGACAATTAAAAACATTTGTCCCCCTGGAAAATTAGTCAAGGCATTATATATAACACCCCTTCTTTCCCTTTCCCTCACACCCATGCAATGCTTATGAGTAGAGATCATATCCTGAATAACTAAGTTGATTAATTAATTAATGGCTAGACCCATATTCACGATTATGCAGTTACATAGCACAAAGCCCGTTTTCGTTAACTCATCTAAATGGAAACCAAAGTACCTGCTTCCTGTGTACTCCCCAGTAAGCTTTCAGTACAGTCAGCTACTTGGAGGAAAGGTCTTCAGGAGTTATTATGAATATTGATTTTTAATCACAATTATTTCTTAGCCTTCTAGAAACATGGACATACACCAAAGTCTTGGGGCTCAGTTACAGTCCCTGTCACAAAGCCTGTGTGGTTTCCTTTCTCCGTTCGTCTCCTTCTCAAGCTTATAGCATAAGTAACTGGCTTAACACATAAGATGTACTTGGTTTCTCATGTACCCCTGCAGCCTTCAGCTCTGGCTGAAGGAGGCACCAGCTGAGACCACGAACAGCAGACGAAGAGCTGAGAGTCGCTGCTGGAGCAGAGACAGAAGGACCTAGAGAAGACTCAGTCCCACCCAGTTGCAAACACACCTCCACCCAGCCCCTCCGCGTCTGTGCAGGACCTAGACATTGCAGGGTAAAGGCCAAACAGCTCCACGTGGGTCCCTCAGTCGCTTCTGAAATATAGATGATGTTCTTTCTCAAAACACTGTTCTACATGAGCCGTTCACAAAGCCAGGCAACGTGCCTTACAAACAGACACTCAAGATTTCTTTCCAAAGAAAAAAGTAGAAAAGGCCAACAAACTCATCATTGTCTCATCTTAGAGAACAGTTCCCAAATTGTCTCAGGGAGCACCAAAAAGATGCTAATTTGGTACTCAGAGAATAAAAGGTCAAATAAATTTTCTGTTCACGTTAAATGCCCCTCTTGGTTACTTATGATACTTGTTAGCAAGCGAGTTAAATCCTCTGAGATGCCCTAAACTACCAAAGAAAAACTTATTTAAATGTATCTATAAGTTAAAGAAATTTATGAGAAGTCTTTTGGGTTTTTCCAAATTTCTGTTAACAGCTCTAGAAGAGCATTTTGTTTCTTTATCCCCAGTTTGGGAAGTGTTTATATAGATGCTAGAGTTCTGTTATGTACTAAATGTATGTGCATTTACTTTCAAATATCACAACTATTTTAGTACTAGTAAATGTAAATTGATCTGATGGAAATAGTAACAAGAGATAATGCAAAAGACAATAAGAAATAGTAACATTGGTAGTGGCGCCTAAGAAAAATACAAGCAAATCAAAGACAATAAACTGTGCAGACATGCTGATGTAGGATATGGAGAAAAGACTTATCATGAGCTTTGGCTCAAGATTATCATGGACAGAGCTGAGGGCTGGTAATCATGGGTATTTGAAATCTGGGAAGCTGAGGTTAAATCTCTGACTTCCACATGATCTGTTTTCCAAAACTGGGAATGTACCTTCACTTATAATAGTCCTTCTCCCACATTAAAAAAGAAGGTATATCCGTCACCCATCCCAAACAAGTGTATTATTTTGTGTAAAATAAAAGAAAGGTGCAAACTGCATTTTGGTTCCCAGAAAGCTCTCTTTAAGAATTAAACAAAGGCATCCTGCCTTTTCCTGGCCTAAACATATTTCTGTTGGGGAAAAAGCTTGGCCAAGTTGGGATGTTCTGAAATTAGAAAAACCAAAGCAGTAGATGTTCATGGTGCTGATTCTTTTATGTGTAAACTGTACTGGGTCTATTCAATTTCTAAAGATGGGTTAGTTAAAATCCATAAGTAAAATTTTTATAAAACTTCTTTCAGATGCAGACTGTGATATTCCATAAGGTAGTTAAAACCTATTCATTATATCGTATCATGAAATGTTTACTCCAGTTTGGAGTCACTCATAAGTACTTGTTGGCAGGAACTCCCTACAGCAGGCCTGCAATAGGTGGACTGATCTCTAGATGTTTCCATTATCTGTGTCACTACATTCAAGAATCCTGTTCCAGGGAAGGAGATTCTGATTGGCCTTATCATTGGTCAAGGAAAGATGTTCCACCGTGAGTGACAGACTCACCAAGACTATATCCAGTGGAAAAAAAATAGTTAAAGTAAAATTAGAGAGTATGGTTAGAGAAGGGAGAAATAGATAATGGACAAGCGAAAGTCACAAATGTGCCACTACAGGATATCACCAAAATGTTTCTGTGTCAAGTACTCAAACTACTCAGCATCCTGGGGACCATTGCAAGATGCAGGAAGTAGGAACTCACAATTCAAGTCATAAAATCAGATAGCTACTGAACATTAGGATGAAGGAGTGAGCACACACACAAAAAGCCTCCTTATTCTTCTCATATGATCTGCAACACAGCAAAATCTACTTACCAGCACATCTTTGGAACTCCAAAGTAGGGCTAGCCTCAGAGGTTTTCAGAGAATAAAGACAGTAAATAAAAATTAATTTTAAAAGAGCCCTATCATACAATGTGTGAAATGTCATCAATATTGTCTTTAGTTCATACACAACTTTTTGTGGGGTTTTGTTTTGTTCTGTTTTGTTAAGAGATGGGATCTCACTCTGTCACCCAGGCTGGAGTGCAGTGGTTTGATCATGTAACCTCTAACTCCTGGACTCAAGTGATCTTCCCACCTCAGCCTCCTGTATAGCTGGGACCACAGACACCCGCCACCAAACCTGGCTAATTTTTTTATGTTTTTTTTTAGAACAGGGGTCTTGCTATGTTGTCCAAACTGGTCTTGAACTTCTAGCCTCAAACAATCCTCCCACCTTGGCCTCCCAAAGTGATGGAATTACAGGCATGAGCCACTGCAGCTGGTCTTTTTGTGCTTTTAACTGACTTTTCCTTTTCTCTTATGGGGAGAATCATGGACTGTTGTTTAATTAATAAATCCCTACTGTTATTCACTTACAATATGTTACACAGAGTTGCCTTATGAGCAACAGTTATAGTAAACCATTGCCTGCCCTTTGAGTATGTTTTTGCTGCTCACAGCATCATGTCTTGCATGTTGTTCTGAGTCTCATGGGTTCTCTATCTTTGGATTTTAGTCACTCTAGAGGATAGCAGCCCAAGTATTTGAGGAGCTCCCCAGGGCTCTACAAAGTGAATTTCATGTATGCTATGTACCCTACATTTAAAGTCAGACTGTCCCAAGCATCCAACATGGTGAAAATCTACCTGGCATGATGCAATAACAGACAAATAGAACTTGATTTTACTTAAATTCACACCCTGCCCCCCTACTCCAAGACCTACAAAGCCCTAATTTGCAAAGTAAGTCTTAATGAATATTCTTACAGTGGTAGTTCTAGAATATAACCTCTGAAACTGGGAAGGGAAATTTTTGTTCCCCAGATGATGTGTTAAAGCATGTCACTGAAACTCAGCAGCAATGTGACCAGGACAACAGGGGACATGACACAACCCCCAACAGAGAGTCTTGAGAGTTATGAAACAGAGCCACTTGGGTGGCCAGGCCATTATTCTTCTGTGGCCGCCTGTACTCTTCCACCTCTGGGAATTTCCTGGGAGCCATTAATATGTTTACTTCCCCAGTGCTTGCTGCTTCCTTACGTGTTCAGCATGTGGTTCTTTGACAGGAGGATGGACGGTATGAAGGCCCAACTTTGGCCCACGCTGTGGAGTTGTTTGGTGGCAGACGGTGGAGTACTCGGAACCCCAGTCCTGGGACATCAGCAAAGAATGCCGAGAAGCCCAATATGCAGAGAAACAACACCCTGGGCATAAGCGCCACCAAGAAAAAGAAGAAAATCCTCATGAGGGTAGAGTGTTATTTGTTTATTAAGCATCAAATCTAATCTTCTGGGACCATTGTATGATCTACATCCCACAAACCACTCCAGGTCATTTGAGTTGAGGACAAAGTGAGGCATAAAACAAAAGATACAAGGACTTACCATACACCTCTCGGGTGCCAGGGCCAGTGCCAGGAACCAAGTAAACACTGGAGAAAAGACAGTGTCCATAGAAGGACATAGACAGGTAAACACACACAGTGCAATCTGAGTAAGAGTCATTAGTCACCTGCAAAGTGCTATGGGAGCAGAGAGAAGGACAATATAGGGCTGCAGAGCAACAACAGAGTACTTGGCAGATGGGTTTTGAAGGGTGTATCAAAGTTTACCAGGCAAATGATACAGGAGGAAGCATCCCCAGCAGGGGAGACAGCATACAAGACTTAGCTTGTTCAGGGAAGCACATGCAGTCCTGGGTGGCTGGCACACGGGCACTCTGGTGGGCAAGGAAGGGCAGGGAAAGAACAGGAATCACTTGTGAAGGCCTTAGAAGCCAAAATGCTGCATGCAGAACACAATGGAAATATATTAGCACCCTATACTACAAATTACATTATATAATATGTATTATCACTATAACATGATAACATATTTGCTTCATGGCTATCTAGAAAAGTCCCATGCTTTGCATATGGGAGGCCTTGATGTTGAAGTTGAACTTTATCTGCTTCACAATTCTGTCTGTACACAGAGACTCCAGGGTTGTGTTCCTCCCCCTCTCTGCCTCTCTCCCCTGAGGAGTGCTGCTTTATAGTGAAGAATACATGAGATAATATAACATGAGAATACTTGGCCAGCCTTAATGTAGATCATGGTTTCACCAGGGGGAGGCTCTACTGAAGGGGGGAAGGTCAGAAAATAGAGACCTGCCTGAACTAAAGCAGTGACAGGGGAGAAATACAAGCCGGGGACCATTGTGAGCTTTGTGTTCCAGGGTGAAAGCGGAGAGGCCACTGACGACGAGATGGCCACTCGGAAGGCCAAGACTCACAAAGAGTGTCGAGGCCGGAGTGGCTCTGATCCTCAAGACACTAATGAACAGGAAGAATCAGGTAAAGGACCATGTGCACATCTGAGATTTTTAGTTTTTAATTTTATGGGAAAAAATATGTTTGTTTTAAATTGTGATTTAAGCTCTGTGGGCATTCTTCACAAAACTCTTTATCTTAACCAGATGAAATCCAACAGGTACTTCTGCAAGCATAGTGTCCTTGGAAAAAAATTCTCATTAATTAATTTGCTACCGTTGACAGGGAATATTAGATATACACGGTACAATTTGACGGATGAGACCAGTGATTCTCAATGCTACCTGGATATTGGAGCTTTAAAAAAGTATCTGGATGTCCTGACCATACCCAAGACCAACTGATTCAGATATTCTCTGGCTGGGACCTGGATATTGTATATTTTTGAAGCTCCCCAGATGGTTTTAATGTGCAGCCAGTTGAGAATTCACCAGATTAGTCCATTCATAAAAAATAGTTTGATGCTTCCTGTATAGAAATCAGCTGCGTAGATTGGTTTGCTCAGACATCCAGAAGCCTCTTTTCTTTGTGTTTGGTTTCTGAGGGAAAGTGTAACCTGAGCCATTGTCTCTTCTGTCTTTCATCCTCACAGAGGTGAATGCCATCGCTAGCCCTCCCAACCCCCTCCCTTCCAGAAGAGCCCAATCTCTGACCACGGCTGGGTCCCCCATCTTGGCTGCTGGGACGCCATCTCCCATCAGGCCAGTGTCCTCCCCTGTGCTGTCTTCTTCAAACAAGAGCCCGTCCAGGTGGGGCCTTAACATGATGAAACAGATGGACCCTTCACATCATTCCAGTTGTGTGGAAGGCATAATCTTCCAGTTGTCTGTGTAAAGACTGTCTCAGACTTTGACTTACAGTTAGATTGAAAACCCGCAAATTTTTAAATGATCCTACTTTTCCTGATTTTATACTTCTGCCTTCTCATATAACTATAGTTGTTCCTAATTACTTGAGAGACCAAGCCCTCAAGGGTCAGGAGTAGGAACAAAACCCAAGCTGTGATTCTTTAAGTCACATTGTCCAATATAGTAGCCATTAACCACATGTGAGTATTTAAATTCAAATTTAAATTAATTAAAATTAAAGAAAAGTTAAAATTCAGTTCTTTACTCACAGTAGCCATATTGCAAATGCTCCATAGCAAGTGGATGATGGTTACTATAATGAACAGTGCAGATAGAGAACATTTCTATCATTGAAAAAAGTTCTATTGTGCTATTGGGTAGCACTACTCTAAATGAAGAACAGATTAAGTTTTTGTTTTTTTTTTTTTTTTTGAGACAGAGTCTCACTTTGTTGCCCAGGCTAGAGTGAGTGCCGTGGCGTCAGCCTGGCTCACAGCAACCTCAATCTCCGGGGCTCAGCGATCCTACTGCCTCAGCCTCCCGTGTAGCTGGGACTACAGGCATGCGCCACCATGCCCGGCTAATTTTTTGTATATATATTTTTAGTTGGTCAATTAATTTATTTCTATTTTTGGTAGAGACGGGGTCTCGCTCAGGCTGGTTTCGAACTCCTGACCTTGAGCAATCCGCCCGCCTCGGCCTCCCAAAGTGCTAGGATTACAGGCGTGAGCCACCACGCCCACGCCCGGCTAGATTAAGTTTTAATGTAAGCTACTTGACCCTTTGTTAAAATTGATGAAATATATTTAATACTTTTCTCATATGTAAGTTATACATGTCCATAGAAATGAGTGCCTGTGTTGCAGCAGGTTGGGTATGTTTAGATATAATTTAAAAGCTGGTAATATAGTAAATTCCTTTATAAGATCCATGCAAATTATAGATTTGAAACAACAGCTACCCTCTCAGAAGAAGAAATGATATTAAAATGAAAGCCTTCCAAAGGGAACCAGAATGCCACCCATCTCCTTCTCTTCTACATTAAAGTTTAAGAAATGCAGGGGTTCCAGAAAGAACCAAGATAAAACAAACACTCTTTACTTTATCACACAAGGAGGAGGAGGAGGAAATGGGTCTGAGCAGAAATTGGCTTTGGAAATGTTAACTCCACGCACATAAACACACACTGTCTCTCTCTCTCTCTCTCTCTCTCTCTCTCTCTCTCTCTCTCTCTCTCTCTCTCTCTCTCTCTGTCTGTCTCAGAAGCTTGTTATTGATAAGAACCACACAGTAAATTATCTTTCAAAGGGAAGAATGCTTTCACAATGTGAGTTAATGAACTTGTAATTTATGTTTTATACATTCAGATTCTACAATTGGCTGAATGAGCCAAGGGTATATGAGCATTCTTTGTACCACTCTTGCAGCTTTTCTGTAAGTTTAGATTTATAGCAAAACTAAAAGTTACAAAGAATCAGAATTACTTCTGATTACCACATGATTATATTATGATTGTACATTATGTTTTCAGCCTGCATAGGATCCTGGGTAAATGAAATAGCAAGATAATCAGGATTAAATGGCTTTCTCCTTTATTTCAGTCACTCATGAGTACAAAAAGGCAGGACAGAGTAAGGGAGAAAAATCCTTTAAAAGAAATACTAACATGCCAGATGCAAGATCAAAGGGCCAACCACAGGAAGACGGGGTCAGTGCCCACTCAAGTATTCTAAAACAAAAGACAAGGCAGCAGAAGAAAGATCAGCCCCAATGCTGTTAAAGGCGGAAAAAGGTCTGAGTCCTCAGTCTAGTAGGAGAAAGAGTAGACAGATAGAGTTTCGGAGAGTCAGAGGGAGGTGGGTTCCTACAGATAGGACCTGGACCTGGACCTAAATGGAAGGAAGACAGGGAAATTATACTTGCATAAATGCAAATGATGAAGCTACCCTTTTCCTCTTCCTGAACCTCCACTTAATGTTTCCCACACCACATTTAGTACCAATAACCCATAATCTATGCCCAGGAAGTGCTATAAACCTATTAACTTGTAGTACTCTTCCATTGAGAGAAGTGACCTTCAGATGTCAACACAAAATCATTTTCCATGAGTGAACATTGTTAGCAGGACTGAGAGTAAACTGGCTAGTCCTTGTGCTGTTCTTGACACTTATTTATGTATTTGAAATATTTCAAAATTTTTTAAAACTCTAAGACAAAAAGAGAAAAAAAGAAAGATTCTGTTCGTCGATTTAACTAAAAAACATAGCCAAAACATTTCTAATACTATTCTGTCAGAGAATCAGTATAGAAAATAAAACATGTGACAAACTGTGACTGAATTTTTGACCACGTGGACTGATATTTTTATATTGAATAGATGCAGCCTTAGCAGGTACAAATATAATCCTAGGAAGAGTTGGCTTTTTTCCAATCTTAATATTTTTCTGACTCACATTTTCCATTAATATTTAAAAGCTCTTCCCTGTGTTCATCTAAAAGCTGGTTAAGAACGGAAAAAGGAAAGACACTGATGTGCTAAAAATTTTCTTCTTAAATGTGTTTCTACAATTTAGAATATAGAAAAGAATAAGCATTATTTCCCATAGATTATGATTGAATAATCTTGGGCCCTTTTTTAAAGAGAATATTCTCCAGCAAAACTGAGTAATTTTTCCCATTTATCTGTGATTTCCAAGAATTGTTTTGCTTAGTAGAGGAATACTAACCTCAGCCTTGGGCTCTCATTAAAGAGGCTGGAAGCATGAAGTCTTTTCTATATATGATATGATTTATTTCTTCTGACACACTGTAGATTAAGAGAGGCGAAGAGAGAGTACAGGAAAATAGCTTCACCCTTAAATGACTTGCGAGCCATCTCTTTGCTCGCATTGCTAATCAGAGAACGTCTGGTGGAGCAGAGTGGCAAATCTGCCCCGCCATTGTGCCCATGGACGCCTTGTCTTTGTTGCAGTGCTTGGAGCAGCAGCAGCTGGCATGGGCGGGTCAAAGGAGGGATGAAGGGATTCCAGAGCTTCATGGTTTCAGACAGCAACATGAGTTTTGTTGAATTTGTCGAGCTGTTCAAATCATTCAGGTATGCCCTGTGCTTCCTTCTTACTCTTTCTCAGGCCCACATCTCTGTACCGATACTCACGTGAGGTGTTTTCCATTCCTCGCTCAGTGTAAGGAGCCGCAAGGACCTGAAGGATCTCTTTGACCTCTACGCAGTGCCCTGCAACCGATCCGGCTCCGAGTCGGCCCCGCTCTACACCAACCTGACCATTGACGAAAACACCAGCGACCTTCAGCCTGACCTAGGTTTGTGTAACATTTTAGGATTTCCCTTTGAGACCTTTGTGTCTAAAAATGAAGGTCAGAAATCCAGTCTCACACACTGTCAGCCCGTCCCACGTGGCATGCTGTTACCAGAGCAAGATGAAACTCTTGGAGAATTATTTCAGAGTGTCATCTGGTGTCATGGGGCAAGTGCTGTTGGCATTTTAGACAAGGAGGTTGATCACTGTGTGGTTCTGCCCATGTAGTCCAGGATATTTAACCAATAGTGCCCTCCAGTCATGTCCCGGCCATTTCCAAAAGTCCACTAGGGACATAGTGTGTCACAGCTGAGAACCCCCAGTTTCTTCTCTACCTGCAGGCAGATGGGTGCTCAGTCCCAGGGCAGCAGTTTCTGCACTTTGAAAAGGAGAGTCTTGTGATTTCGGCAGAGTACTTCTGTGTGAACATCCAGGATATTTTTCCCACTGTGTAGACCAGAATGTCTCGTTCTTCTACCCCACTCACCATCACCACCCACGCTTTCCTTTAATCACCCACGCATTTCTTTCACCACCCATGCACTTTAAACCAATCATTTATCTCCTCTGTTCTTGCTGGAAACTATAAACACAGAAAAGCATAAACAAAAAACTTTCCTGTTTCATGAAGTTGCTTCATAATTATTTGTAAGCTTATGTTATCCTTGAACTAAGACTACTAATTATTGTTCAACTTTAGTCGTCAAATGTGCTTAACTATGGATTAGTCAAGCAGTTATACTTTGTAAAAATTATTAGACTGTTTTTTTAGAGCAATTTAGGCTCACAGAAAGTTCAGAGTTCCCATATACCTTCTTCCAGGCCCCTCTCACACACTTTCCTCTATTAGTAATATCTTGCATTAGTGTGGTACATTGGTTGCAGTTCAGTCAATATTGACACATTATTATTAACTGAAGTCTGTAATTTATGTTAAGGTTCACTCTTTGTGTTGTGCATTCTATAGGTTTTGACAAATGTGTAATGACATGTATCCACTATAATAGTATCAAACAGAATAGTTTCACTGCTCTGAAAATCCCCTGTGCTTCTTTTCATCGCTTCCTTCCTCCTTTAGAATCCCTGGCTATCACTGCTCCTTTTACTGTCTCCATAGTTTTGCCTTTTCTAGAATGTTATATAGTTGGACTCATACAGTATGTAGCCTTTTCAGACTGGCTTCTTTCACTCAGCAGTGTGCATTAAGTTTCCTTCCTCCATGCTTTTTTGCAGCTTGATAGCTATCTCTTTTCACACTGAATAATATTTCATTGTATGGATATACCAGTTAGTTTATTCATCCACCTACTGACAGGTATCTTGGTTGCTTCCAAGTTTAGGAATTATGAATAAAGATGCTATAAACATTCATATGCAGGTTTTTGTGTGGACATAAGTTTTTAAGTCATTTGGATAAATACCTAGGAGCACAACTGCTGGATCATAAATATGGTGAGCCTATGTGTAGCTCTATAAGAAACTGCCAAACTGTCTCCCAAAGTGGCTAAAATTAAAATGACTGGCCATACCAAGGTTGGTGTGAATGTGGAGCAATTTGAACATTGCTAGTGGGAGTGTAAGTGGTGCAGCCACTGTGAAAGAAAGTATGGTGATGTCTTACTAAACTAAACATATTCTTTTCATACAACCCAGCAGTCACACCCCTTGGTATTTAGCCAAATGAGATGAAAGTTCATATTCACACAAAACTTAACCCACAAATGTTTATAGTTATACTTTTGAAGTACAGAAAAACTATAGTTTTAAGGGGTTTATCTTCTGTCTCTACAACCATAAAAATGTTGAAGTTATTCTCAAAAACCAGAGTCCAAATTTGGCCTCAAGTCCCCACAGAACCTACGTTTAGTTTGCATGTAATACCGAAGTTCATAGGATTTCAAGATCAGCAACCTACCTCTATCCTCTTTTATTTATTGATTGATTTTTTTTTATTCTTTCAACTATATGAAGCCAGGTATGAGCACTAGTTTGATGGCTTGTTTAGATAGATCAGCAAAGAGCTTCTCCAGTATAGTAACTCCAAACACTATTATCTCCAGAATGAACCTTGTGAACGATGCTGGCTGTCTTGTCCATGTACTGTGGTGGTTCTGTTTCAGATTTGTTGACCAGAAATGTCTCGGACTTGGGGTTATTCATTAAGAGTAAACAGCAGCTCTCAGACAACCAGAGGCAGATCTCTGATGCCATTGCTGCTGCAAGTATCGTGACAAATGGCACTGGGATCGAGAGCACATCTCTGGGGATATTCGGGGTTGGCATACTCCAACTTAATGACTTCCTAGTCAATTGCCAAGGAGAACACTGCACTTACGACGAAATCCTCAGCATCATCCAGGTCTGTGCTGGTTTCATGTGTGCGCCTATGTGTTACACCTCTGATGATTGTAATAATTTGTTGCTAAATAGTTACTCCTTCTATACTTCTTTCCAAAGGCTTTAAGTCTGAAAAAGAGATTTTTTTAAAAATACCAAGTATATAAGTGTTCTCATTTAAGATATAATTAACATAGGTCCCAGGTCTTCTCTGATTGTATTATAAGGAATTGGTACATAATTTCTTCTTATTATTCTAGCACATGCAACAGAATTAGTCTAAGTTTTCAACCTCTTTAGCCACTTATAAATATTTATTAGTTCCTACTGTGCTGGCTCTGTTCTAGGAGCTGGGAATATACTAGTGACCCTCAATGCAGCTTTTATTCTAGTAGGTGAGGGAGAAAATAAAAATAAAGATAGAATATAATGTCAGGCAATCATGGATTCCAAAAAAAATTGAGCAGAGTAAGAGGATGGCATGATGCAGGAGGGCTGATGGGGGAGTAAGTGAAGGGCACTCTGAAGAGGTAGCTTTGGGACTGAGCCCTGGGTGAATCAGCCACCTGAAGGAATGAGGAAAGAGCATCCCCAACAGGGAGTAGCAGGCTCTAAGACCAAGGCAGGCATGAGATGGGGGTTTAGAAGGAACCACAAAACAGCTGGTGTAGTGGGAGCTGCATAAGACAGAGAAGGGCAGACATGGTTTCAGACAGGTATGCAGGGGCTGAATCATCTAGGCTCTTCAGACAGTGGGTTGCCTTTAGCCCATGTGAAATGGGAAGCCCTTGGAAATTTTTGAGCAGGAGAGTAACATGATTTGATTTATGTTTTTTAAGGGGTTTCCCTGGTCCCACTGGAGAATAAACCGTGCCGGTGAAGGAGCAGATGCAGAGAGGCTGGTTAGGGGGCTGTCACAATAACCCAAGTGAGACATGGTGATGGTTTAGACTAGAGGGTGGCCAGAGATAGGGGTGGTGAGACTATTCAGTGTGGCTGCATCACATGCAACAGAATTAGTCCGGGTTTCCAACCTCCCTATCACCTGATTGGGAATCAGTGTATTATTATAGCTGTCCAAAACGTGAGATTGTTACACGTTGTTGAGTGCTCACTGTAATACTGTTGAATAGACATGGTATTAAGTGCTCTATGTGAATCATCTCAGTTCACCTCCCCCCCACTCTACGGTAGCTATTATTATTCCCATTTTCACCTGAATAAACTGATATACTTTGTTTTCATACAAATCAGCCTTGTTCTTTTCTCTTGCTCTGCCTTTTGCTCTTAAATAAATATGCTTAGTATAATAAACTCACATATAATAAATGTTTTCTTTTGGACTAAAAACTACATCTTACCACTACATTACTAAATTAGTTCAAATATTTGGTTTAGATGTTTCCTGATAAAAACAAAACAGCTTTGAAAAATGACTTTCAAAAAATGGTTTTCTTTCCCCTTTTAGTTTCCTCTACCTAAATAACCCCCCTTTTTTTTTAATTGTATCCCTTGCAGAAATTCGAGCCTAGCATCAGTATGTGTCATCAGGGCCTTATGTCATTTGAAGGATTTGCAAGGTAAGTTTTTAAATAGCTTTGCCCATCATCTAAGAGTAATATACATTTTTTCCATGCAGTATTAAAAAAATTGTTTCATTTAGGTTCCTGATGGATAAAGATAATTTTGCATCGAAAAATGATGAGTCACAAGAGAACGTTAAAGAATTGCAGCTACCCCTCTCCTACTATTACATTGAATCTTCGCATAATACCTACCTCACGGGCCATCAGCTCAAAGGAGAATCCTCAGTAGAACTCTACAGCCAGGTATTAAGAATGCCTATCGGAATGTGGTTTTCATTAAACTTTATTATTTATGTAACTCCTAACATCACAGAAACCTGACCCCAGACTCCTTTGAAGAACTCAGAGAGTAAACTCTCATGTATGAAATGCGAGGAACCATGATGTGTGGGAAAACTGGCTATACATGCAGCAGTTGTTTTCTTTATTTCTTTTTGTTTTGTTCCCCCGCCCCATACTTAACCTTTATCCTAGGCAAAAAAAAAAACAAAAAACTTTTTTTGTTTGAGACCCGTAGCTTTTAGATCCTAGTTAGTCTGACCTACTCCTACTAAAATTAGATTTTCCCATGGGAAAATTATCTAATCATTTCACTGCATGCTAAATAAATCAATATATTGTAGTGGGAAAGCATAGTAGAAAATGAAACTTTCTATGGAGTTATTCCCAAAATATTGTTTGTTTTGCTTTGTAATTTGTTAGACAATCAATTCATCCCTATGGTACCAATAAAGAAAAAAATCTGCACACACTATAAGCACTGTCCCTACACATCAAATTCATGGGAATGTTCTTTGAAATTCAGTAGGCTCTCTGGACTAGAAAAAACACATCCGTTTGACCTGCATAGCCAATTTTTCAATGATATGCATGTCTGTTACCTCTCCGTTATATTGTCTACAATTCCCTCATCTATTCTGCCTGTTCTCGGATCTCCTACAAGAGGGGTTAATCAGGAAGGAGCTGGGCTGGTCCAGGGAGTAGTATGGTTGTGTACATGTGGGTCCAGATTTGAAAATTATAATTCTATTGTTTATACAACACTAGTATCAATGAGTTTCCTTTGTTTTCCAGATTAGTCCAGATATGTATCAAAGCATGGGGCAAATTTTTGTCCCGTTTTTTTTTTTTTTTTTTTGAGACAGGATCTCACTCTTGCTACGCAGGCTGGAGTGCAATAGCATAATCATAGCTCACTGCAGCCTCTAACCCCTGGGTTCAAGTGATCCTCCTGCCTCAGCCTTCTGAGTAACTGGGACTACAAGTGTGCATCACCACTCCTGGCTAATTTTTATATTTTTATTTTTTGTGGGGATGAGTTCTCACTATGTTGCCTAGGCTGGTCTCGATCTCCTGGGCTCAAGCAATCCTTCTGCCTCAGCCTCCCAAAGTGCTGGGATTACAGGCATGCGCCACCACATCTGGCCTTAAACTCTGTTTTCTAACGGACCTTTATTACGAAATAAAGATGTGTCCTTAGACTAGTGATTTTCTAAATAGAAGCTCTATCTAGGGGCCTCAGCCTCTGACACTGAGCTGAGCGAGCTGCAGGGTAGGAAGGGTTTCCTGCCCATCCCCACCGCAGCTGATGCAGTACTCTTCCTGTCTACGTGCTTTACATGTGGCCTTCCATTTGCACAGAGCATTCCCAAGCTAAAGGAAGTTTGAAATCCATTTTTCTATGGGAAAGAAATGAAATACATATATGAATATAGATACTATGTATTTTTCACATAGATATGCACATGTACACATACATACACGTGTGTACCTATACATATATATACACACATACATGTCTCTATATATCCACATACTCATGTGTGTATATTTCTCCCAGGAAAATAAGCAAGAACAAATGTCCTAGCTTTAATTTCTACTTCACTTTCCTGTTTGACTTCAAAGAGTTTTTAAACTCCTTAACATTACACCCCAAGTAGAGATTATCACAGCTTTTTGTTTGTTTTGTTTTGGTTTTGAGACAGTCTCTTGCTCTGTTGCCTGGTTAGCGTGCTGTCACAGCTTTTGAATAAAACATGAGAATCCCTCAAATAGATTCATAGACATGATTAAACTTAGTATGCAGAGAGATGCCTTTTGCTTCATTTCTAACCACTCTCCAGTCTCCCTCAGCCCTCCTAATTACCTTCTAACATTTCTCTGTGGGGTAGCTGGAACATGAGAATAAGCCCTGTTCTTACCTGCAATTTCCAGCCAAGGTTTCCCTTTTCTAGACATATATGGAGGTCTTAAGGTCATCCAGACTTTGGTGAAGACCTTTAGTCTTTTCATGCTGAAAAACCATCTCATCTACTTCTGGTTGCTGAACATTCTCCCCAGCCTGGCATCTGGCAGGCTCCCCACAGAGATGAGCCTTGTGTTCCAGCTGCCATGTTACATAGCGATCTGCAGCCCAAGGCAATGCACTGATAGGTACTCTAGCTGCTGAAAGAAGCTGATAGCTTTGGGATTCTAAGTTACAGATTATTCTGTATAATAGGAGGAAGCTAGCAAATATCTCATACAGAAATATTAAAATAAGAGGCATTCCACCATCTGAGTTTTGCTGCAGAATCTCTAGTGGCCATTAAACCTAGTAATGGATTTGTCACATGGAAATAGTTATGTGGATTCTTAAATCAGTGGGTAGGTACATTCACAGGTATATCAACCTCTTGGGTTGGGTTGCCTTTCCATTATGTGATCATTTTTAAGGTAGCATACAGATAGAGTCTATGGAGGAAGAGGTTGCTCCAAGCAAACATTATAGAGCTGCAACCCATGCACATGTGTCGGAGCTCTGCTTCCAGCTTTAGATCCAGGATAGCAAATAGGTACTATCTCATCTGATTCACTGGTAGTGTTTCCTGGAAGACTTGGCTGAAAGGACTGTGAGCTAACATATCAAAGGTGAGGGAAAGTGTGCTGTGCCTGATTACTGATGTCTGCTGTGGGTATGGGAGAGGGGAGTCATGGATTATTTGCCTTCTCTGCTCTACCTGCTGTTCTGGGGTTAGACAGCCAGGCAAATCCTTGATAACTCCTTGCTTCTACTCTGCTTACATGCCACATGTTCATAGCAAAGATGTTTGCTCGTAGCTTAATTTGAGTCTTAATGGAGGAGATTTTATCCTGATTTGCTTGATATGAATGTTTTAGTCAGTTCGTTAAGGAATCAGTGGCCTTATTTCCTTGGGCTGTGGCATAAGCACCTTTACCTCCACTGACATCTACCCAGACAGAGCACTTGCCTGGCTTGCTAATTTCAAGATGTGGCATTTCAAGGGGCCAAAGTTGCTAGGAAAATGGCCATATGTTTTTACTATCAAATTTTACCTTCCATTAATGTTCAGCTCTGGTTAACATTCTTTCTACCTTAATCTGTTCTTTCTCTTCCCAACCCCAGATTAATTATGGCCTTTGGCTAAAATGCAGTATTTATTTATTTATCCTATGCCCTTCTGCTTTAACCCTGAATGTGAATGCTGACTGATATGTAGAACTATGTGCTGGGTTTAGTTTGAGGCTTTATCTCCAGGTGCTCATCTGGAGTGGATTCACCCATTGATCACACAGGTCCTCTTGCAAGGCTGTCGGAGTGTAGAATTGGACTGCTGGGACGGAGATGATGGAATGCCCATCATTTATCATGGACATACACTGACAACCAAGATCCCCTTCAAGGTAATGCTTCACAACTTTCTTTAAATCAACTCAGAAAGAGACATTGTCTTCATTTATCATTCAAATCAGTGACTCTACCAAATTATACCTTTATGTCGAGGGTCTTTATGCTGGGTCTGAATGACTTCCCCAAAGTGTTTGCAATATCATGTGGAATGTGCACATGTTCATTTTTCTGGGAGTTAATCTTGGACTCTCACCAGATTCCCATTCAACAAAAGTTAGTAATCATTACCTTATCTTAATTAGCATGAAATAATATTGTTGTAATTTTTACATGATATGATGATATATGAAGGCAGGAATTAAAGGTCATTTGCCCTGGTGTCATGCTGACAAAGGCCAACATCATGTGATAGAAGATGATTAAATAATTAGCATTGTAAAATAATGAGCATCCATTCCACCAGGGAAGATTGGTCACCCAGGAAAACTGGTCTCATTGGATTATTGTTTCAAATTCTGAGTAGCTTATTAATTCAGTTGTGCAATTACTATCTCATTCAAAAGGCTTGGGCTGTGAAACATCATTTTTCTCTGAACTGTGGTGGGCTGGGAAGGAATATTATTTTTGTCTTAGATGTAGAAATAGTGGCTAAAATGCATTTTCTCCTTAACTCATTTTCCTATTCAGTACTCTTTTTTTTTTTTTTTTTTTTGAGACAGAGTCTCGCTTTGTTGCCCAGGCTAGAGTGAGTGCCGTGGCGTCAGCCTAGCTCACAGCAACCTCAAACTCCTGGGCTCGAGTGATCCTTCTGCCTCAGCCTCCCGAGTAGCTGGGACTACAGGCATGCGCCACCATGCCCGGCTAATTTTTTCTATATATATCAGTTGGCCAATTAATTTCTTTCTATTTATAGTAGAGACGGGGTCTCGCTCAGGCTGGTTTTGAACTCCTGACCTTGAGCAATCCGCCCGCCTCGGCCTCCCAAGAGCTAGGATTACAGGCTATTCAGTACTCTTAAAACTCTTGTACTCTATATTGCTGGGAAGATGAGTTGATAACTGTGTTTACATCTACATATAAATACATGTGAATATATCACTTCCTCTTATTGCCTCCAAATAAATTATAAACTCCTTGAAAGCAGGAAAACATCTTATACCTCATTATATTTGATACTATAAAGAAAATAGTGTCTTTAATTTGCAACATACTATGTGTATGTGTGTTTGAGTATATATATATAATTGTTAAATTCGACATAGTGATAGTTGTTTCTTCTAGTATATGAACAAGATTCAATCTGAAGAGTTAAATGCATTTATATAAAATAGCCTTTTCCTGTTGCTTCATTTGAAAATACATTTGAAAATATAAAGACCAGCTTCAGCCTGAGTCTGCTGCATGCAACGATTGAGATGCTTTCTGTGGCTATCTGACCATCCTGGACAGATACCTATACTCTAATGAGCTGTTCTGGCTCTTACAGGAAGTGGTTGAAGCTATTGATCGCAGTGCCTTCATCAAGAGTGACCTGCCAATCATCATATCAATTGAAAATCACTGTTCATTGCCTCAGCAACGAAAAATGGCAGAAATTTTCAAGGTGAGCTCTCAACTAAGAGGCAGGATGGTATCATGGCTCTTGTCTTGCAATTGTCATTGAGTTTCACATGGGGCCCCTGTGTTCCACACCACAGCTGGACCTCAGCCATGATGCATATACAATTTGGGTCCCACAGACTTGAGAAGTAGGGCTGTGCTAGGAGCTCGAGCCCTCTCTGGAATGGTCTTCTTTTTAGCTGGAGTGATATAAGCATTGTTCTCTGATCTCCTGGCCCTTTCCAGAAAGCTATAGGATATAAGGCTTCTGGTACCACAAGTTAGGGATGGCAGGATGTCACTTGTCAGTTGTATGTGGAAAAGCTGAACATATCCCAGGGCAAGTAAGTCAAATCTTCTCGTGGCCCACACTACAGTACTGAGATCCAAATTAGCAAAGAGCTTAGACTGGTCAGAACAGTTGCTGTGTTAACAGTCAGCCCTTCCTTTTACAAGGGAACTGTAATGCATACAGATTTAGGAGTAAATATTCCATTATACTTCCCCTTTCTCCACTGGTAGAGGCATTTGTAGAAACAGTGGGAAGGAGGAGCACAGGCAAAAGGACATGTCCCCCAATACTAATGCCAACAAAATTAGCCTTTCATGTTGCCTGGGCCTAAGCTTTGACTTTTGTTCTTTTTTAATTGAAAAATAACTAGCAGCTACTCAGGAGGCTTAGGCAGGAAGACCACTTAAGCCTAGGAGTTCAAGTCCAGCCTGGGCAACATAGCAAGATCCCATCTCTAAGAAAACAAAAAAGTAGAAATAGAAATTGCCATATTTTCTAGCCTCACTCCAGTAGATCATCCTCTGTCTACCCTCCCACTACCCACCTCCTTGAGAGACACTGTTTTGGAGATCAGTGCTCAAAATCCTTTGCGAGCATTGCATCTGTGGTTCTTTATACTTTGTGGGGGAAAATTCCCCTATTGTCTTTCATCTTTGTCCTCACTCCCTACCCTCTCCAAGATTTCTATCTTTTTGACTTCTTATCTTCAGACTAAATTCTACAAACTACAGCCTCCAACTGAATCTCTGTTTTCTTTGTTAATACATCAGATCCTAGAACATTTCCCCAAATAGAAGTGGCCTCAGCTGCAGAGCGGCCTAGATCTCTCTTCCTGTCCTTCTGAACACTTCCCTTCCTTCCAGTAAGAAACTATGGGAAGGGGGAAAAAACACCTTCTTTCCTACCTCCTCTTCCTAGGATTTTTAAAACAACTCAACCAGACTGAAATATTTAGTATATTTATGAAATATAAATGTATTTATCAAGTATAGATAAAAGGCATTGATTGTATGTTTTCCTTTATTCTTTTTTAGACTGTGTTTGGAGAAAAGCTGGTGGCTAAATTCCTATTTGAGACTGATTTCTCAGATGATCCAATGCTTCCCTCACCTGACCAACTTAGGAGGAAGGTGCTTCTGAAAAACAAGAAGCTAAAGGCCCATCAGACACCAGTGGATATCTTAAAGCAAAAGGTACTCCCCTCTTGTTAAATGGGTTGTGAATAGGCTATGTGCTTAGAACAAAGACATTAATGTCATCCTGACCATTCAGATGACCTTCTGAGTAACTAGTTTTGGAAAACTGAGTTTCCTGAAATGATAAATTTGATTTTGGGCATTTCATTTCATAGACCAATAAATTCTCTCATCTCACTCACCTAAAATTTAATTTGTGAAATTGTTCCCACATAGAATATTTAATTTATTCCGAGTGGGATGATGTGTGACTCTTGTGCCTGGAACCAAGCTTCAGGGTTGTCAATCCAACAGGGGCTGCTATAGTCCCCTTTGGGGAGAGCCCCCTTTAGGGGGAGCACCTGGCATGGGGCCTGTCGTGGAAACCCAATGGCAGGAGCCCTGTGATCCCAGTGTACCTCCGAAGTGCTGTGTCCCCAGGTGCTTGCACTCCTACCTCACCCCCGGAGATCTGTGCCCAAGCACCACAAGTGTAAGGATCTGTGAACAAGCTCAGGTCAGGACACCGAGTCCATATGCCAAGCTGCACCTACTTATCCTACAGCATGACAGCTGGCAAACCATCTGTCCTTTAGGAGGGCACTATTGGCCCTAAAACAGGACTTTTGAAACTAGCTGACTCTAGATTTGTTCTTAGATCAGCCTATTTTTTAAATTTATTTTTTTAGAGACAGGGTTTTTGCTCCGTCACCCAAGCTGTAGTACAGTGCCATGATCATAGCTCACTGTAACCTCAAATTCCTGGGCTCAAAGGATCCCCCTGCCTCAGTCTCCCAAAGCACTGGAATTATAGCCATGAGCCACCATGCCTGGTCTAGACAGGCCTATTTTTAAAAGAGTACATGCACACAGATTTTGAGGACCCAGAAACTGATTCCTTTAAAAACATCTGAACCTGTATATCTCTAGAGTCTTTGTGTGCTCTGGAGGTACACATTCCCCAACCCCAGGCCACCTCCAGGGCCCAGGGAGGAAAAACATTAATGTAAGGGGACAGCTAGATACAGAACAGCTGGAAGTGGCAGGGACAGGAATGGAGTGTGCATGTCCCATAAACAGACAGCTGTGATTAAATTCTTTTAAGAACACTGCACCAGCCAAACAAGGCAGGTCTGGAGGTGAAGTCGGCCCTGAGAGTTTTGAGTTTGAGACCTCCACTAGGTCTACCTCTGTCCAGTTGCACACTCTCAGAGGTGCTCAGGAGGCCTGCCCTTTGCTTGGGTTCCAGAGGCCACAAGACCTGTGCTGATGCATTTCGTTGTGAATTTGTTTAACTAAAACATGAACATGTGTACTCCAGCTGGCCTTCCTCCAATGCTGTATCAGTGACTGACCACCCAGCAGTGGGCGCTTCTTCTAGAGCACTGTTCCTCCATGCTGTGTTCTTTATCTAGCGACTCCTGCCCACTCTGCATGGCCGAGCAGATATAGCTGTTATGGACATGTACTTCTATGGTCTTTGAGATGTATTTGAATGTTCCTGTCTTTCTCATTCTTCACACAGTCATTTGCAGTTACTTATGAGCCTCCCATTCCACTAATGAATGCATCATGTTGTTATAGAAGTCTTCTTTATGTTGTGCCAAAATCTTCCTTCCTGTTCCTCCTTCTCTTTGGTCCTTCCCTTACCCTCTGCAGCTATACAGACTAATTTCATATTAGAAAACTATGATGTGTTTCCCTACCAGCTTTTCTCTCCTCTAAGCTAAAAATTCTTGTGTCAACTCTTCCTCGTAGGATATGGTTGCTAAGACTTTTTCCGTTAAGCATATTTTAGATATTCATAAATCTGTGGATATTCTTGAATTTATTAATCTTAAAGTGGGATTTCCAGAACTAAGTCAGTACTCTAGATAGGATCTGATAGCACAAAAACAATGAAACCATCACCTCCCTTAATTTAAACTTTAAACCTCAGTTAAAGCAGCCTCAGATTTTTCTCATTTTTCAAAGTCTTTAGCACACACTGGGCTCTGGTTGAGCTTGTAGAAAACAGAAAGAGAAAGAGTTCAGTTATTTTCATAGACTGTTCTTATGCCTGATCTCTCCATTTTTTCCAGGCTAACAATAAATTTTAACCTTTTATTAATATATATGGGAGCTTCATATTTATCTCTATTATATTTGCTCTTTCTTGGTTTTGATATATTGCAGCAGCCTACAAAGTGTTTTTGTGATTTTATTTTTCTGTCATCCAAAGCATTTATTGGCAGTTTTTCCAACTATTTCTTTGTCTCAAGTTGCCCTTTAGCCAGACAGCCATGTGGAGAGGCCTGTGGCCCTTCTGAAAGAGCTCCCTGGAGTTTAGGTGATTATTACTTCTGTCTGGTGCTCTCCACTGTTGTGCAGCCCACATTTTTCAAGAATGTACTTCAACTTCTGTATTAGCAGAATAGAAAGTGAAGCCTGGCCACTTACGTGACTTTCTCAAAGCCATCAAGCTCATAGTGGCAGAGCTAAGAACCAGTTTCATGTCTTTATGAAAGACCTTTTCAAAGATAATATGGAAGTCAGAATAAATTAATAAGAATCACTGGGGCACTTTTAAAAACAGATTCTTAGGTCCCAAATCTGACCAACTAAATCAGAATTTCCAGAAGAAAGTCCTGGTAATCTGTTTTTTTAAAAAATAATTCTTATTATCCTAGAAGTTTAAGAAACACTATTCATCTGTTTTCCCCAAAGTGAATCACCTTACCCCAAAAGGCAAAGGAAGTTCTTGTTCAGGAGACTTGTTCTTAGTAAATCCATCCTAACTCTTGCTAATTACCTCTTTATTTTCCAAGTTCTCACAAACTAACTAATTAATAATCCATCCTCAAATTTTGGCAGGTATCACCTTGACCCTGCCCACAGTATAATTTCCACAATTTGCCTCTTCCTTATTTTAGAAAAATAGGACAATGTGATCCCATTTCCAGATTTCTAAGACTGCTTGCAACCCCCGGCGATGGTTTCCGGGGGAACACTGGCAATGATTCCAGAATCCTATCTGCGAGGCCTTTTAGTTCTCTGGCAGGCTGTGGGTCTAGACCCAGCGACCTGACCTCTAACAAGCCGAGTGAATGCCTAGAGCGCCAGTATGCTGGGACCTAACCCCCAACTGGGAAGGCCCGGGTGACTTCCACACAAAGAACTCACCCACGGGAGGGACAGACTAGTGCAGAGCAGGATGTCTGAAGCCCTCAGTCTGCCCGGGCTTGTGCTAAGGCTCTTACTGAAGCCTCCTAACCATACTCCATCAGAACTCTCCAGAATTCTGACCTTCATCTCTTGAGCTCCACCCAGCAGACTCAAGTTTGCACTGAAACAGTTCACACCAGGTGACAGGCACTGTGCTGCGCACTGGGGGAACAGAGGAGGGTGAGACGTGGCTCTTGCCTAGCCCCATCGCAGCCAGTCTTTCCCGCTGACCCCCAGCTCTAAACTCCTAACCTATAACTGAATTGCTTTTATTCAAGGGCTTGGATCCTATTTTTCTCCCCCAGAATAAGTAGGATATTGCAAAGAAGAAGGGTGTCGTGTCTTCGCTGTCCATTTGCCACACCTTCCAAGCTTCTGTTTGAGCGTCTGTGGGGCCGTGGCAGTCCGCTTTCTGACACTGCTCTCTGTGGCCCTCTGAGCGGTGTCCTTCCCCCACACAGATCTCACGCTCTCCTGCCAGTGGGTCTGCCCAGCTCTTTCCTCACTGTCCCCAGAACTTGGCCCTACCTTGAGTGCTCTCTGAGTCCAGGCCCTTCTCTTATCAGTGATGAGCAGGGTTGGTTTGGTGGCTCACTTGTGCCCAGAACAGATTCCTCAGAGCTTTGAAGAACACTAACTCTATGAGACACTCTAAGAAAATAAAGAAAAGGGGAAAAAAAGTTCCCTAGTTAAATAAGCGTGGGAAATGCTGCACTGGAGATCTTGAGGAATCACGATGCCTTTTAATGTATTAAATGACGGCTATGTGAAAGCCTGTGGGAGGAATGTGTTTTGGTTTAGCTAAGCCGCTGTTTCCCAACTTTCATTTTGTTTTGTGGTTACTGTAATTGTCAGTTTTTCCATAACAGCTATTAACACCCACAGAGCTACATAAAACCCACTTTGAGAAATCTCAGCCTAGACAATGTCCAGTTATATGGGATGGACTGCATTGTAATATATTTTATCTAGACGGAGACACAGCCTAAATTGTATATTCCTTATATGTACATCTTCATTATAAAAATAATATTACCACATTTAAAAAACCACAGTAACATTGGCTGCACCTATGTCTTTGTTACCAATAGAAATAAGAGATTTTTCACATTATTTAAGTTGTTGCTAATATCTTTAACAATTATTTATGCTCATTAAATTAATGTTTTAAAAAATGACAATGGTAGATCAAGTAAAAAAAAGAAAAAAACGTAGTTTTTTTATGTATTAATAAATATTTATATTCTAATAGCACAATTTTTTTTATAATACTTAATGCCTGTATTCAACATTATTTTTTTCCTTTGTAATCATTTTATTTTGTGCATTTAAAACATCATTCTCGGGAGGCTGAGGCAGTAGGATCGCTTGAGCCCAGGAGTCTGAGGTTGCTGTGAGCTAGGCTGCCGCCATGGCACTCACTCTAGCCTGGGCAACAAAGTGAGACTCTGTCTCAAAAAAAAACAAAAAAAAAACATCATTCTGAGAAGGGAATCTTCCCTTACCAGACTTCTAGTGGGGTCTGTGACACAAAGACAAGTCAAGAACCCCTGCCAAATTAACATTTAATATCTAGCCTTTCTATGAATGTCGTTCCATATCATTGCACTTTATATATATACATATACACACACAAAGAATACAGAATTATATGTATATTATATAGATATATGTATAGATTTAAATGTATAGATATATATGCTCACACATGTACATATATATTACATATGCACACACATGAATTGTGTATGTGTGTACATATATAACATATTCAATATAAAAATATATATTATAATCAATATGTAAACATTGAACAAATTCCTTAATTTAACAAAGATATATTAATCAAATTATTTTTTTACGTCTCATTCTTTCAAGCAGTTATACCATTGTTTACTGACTCAATTCTTCTGTTTTTGGACTTTCAAGTTGTGTCTTATTTTTAGTTCATACAAATATCTTTTCCTGTATTGCAGATCATTTCCTTATGTCAGGTTCCCAGACCTATATTGATGCTTATGTCTTACACTGTCACCTCATGGTAATTCCAATAGAAAAAGGAAGCGTGTGACCTCCCTGGCCACATACATCAAGCTTCCTAAAGTTTCGAAGCCTGTTTTGTTAATCTGATTTACAGTTCAGATAAAGTCTGTTGAAAAACTTTACTGAAACCAACAATTATTCTTTGGTCTCTTTGTCCATAGAGATTCAAACATTGTTCTCAAGGTCAGAGGCCTGTACGTATTTTAAGAAGGAAAAAAAAATTGGTTTCTTAGCAGAGACTTACCTTTCAAAAACAGATGGGTTCTGGGGGATGGTCATGATGGAGACTCAGACTTGTGGGGGGAGGGAGGGAAATGGGCATTTATTGAAACCTTAAAATCTGTACCCCCATAATATGCCGAAATAAAAAAAAAAAAAAACTGATGGGTTGATTCACATTCTTCGGTTGTTTGGGGTTGACACTGGTTCTACAAAGCACCAAAGGTTTCCCTTAGAGGCTTTGCTTCAGGGAACCTGGCACGCAGCTTCCTTGGGACTGTTCCTAAAAGCTCCAGGATCCTTCCTGTAGGAATGTTGACATTCACCCAAGTGTTGACATTGCATTTTAAATAAATCTAGATTTTTCCCCCCTCCCAAATGTATCAAAATAGGTTAATGGCTGTGGTAAACATTAAGTGGTAGTTTGGGACATTATAAACAAAAGCTTGGCATCTGCAGTCTTCATTATTGCTGTCCTACAGGCTCATCAGTTGGCATCCATGCAAGCGCAGGCTTATAATGGCGGGAGTGCCAACCCCCCACCTGCTAACAACGAGGAAGAGGAAGATGAAGAGGATGAATATGACTATGACTATGAATCCCTTTCTGATGGTAAGAGAAACAGAGCCCCATGCTTGTGTGCAAAGAAATGCTTGGATGAATTTCCACATTTTTTTTTCAAAAATAAGTTCTGGAGCTCCACAGACCAGCAATTCAGATTGTTGTAATACTGTCCCAGAGTTTCTGAATCCGGTCACTTAGCAAGAACCAAGATGAGGAAAGGAATTATGTTAGCCACACAGACATCACTCAAGGAACCAAGGGATGGGTTCTGGAAGCAACAAGGGATCATTCCTAAGATGAGTTTTTAGGGGAAGAGATGAAATTACAGCAGAGAAACCCCATTTTCAGGTTTTCAGTTTCTGCTATGGCTGATGCTCTTGGCAGGAATGGTAGACGGTTACTGAATCCATTCTCCGTCCTGTACCACCTGCATCTGTGCTCCGATCTGTGCTCCGTTCCTCCTTTCATGCTCTCATGCTGGCGTTCTAGGAGTGTGGAACAGAAAGGAGCCTCATTTCCCTTCCCTCCCTCGTTCTCATATTTAAAAAGCCAACAAAAACATGGGTGATGGCTAATGATGCAGTACAAAAAAGTCACACGGACGATGTTAACTATAGATTGCTAGAAAAGGATCCTTCTCACATGAGAATGAGATTTCACATGTTTTATTTGCACTAAATTAGTGTCATTTTCTGCAGATTGCAAAATGTTCTCTTAGGTACCATTGTTGATAGACTGTTTCATTTTGGCAACTTCTGAAAGACAATAGTATAGTAATAAGAAAGTGCCAAAGTTCTTATTAATATAAACATAACATATGTAGAATATATTGTTTCTATGTAGAATAATTGTTTTGCTAAATATACAGATATGCTCAGACCAGCAACCATTAGCCATTGGCATCAAGACAACTGACAGCCACTCAGGGTTGTCTCCAACCAGGGTTCAGGTCCATGAGCCTCCATCGCTGGTTACAGTGCAGTGTCTTTCTGCCCCCAAATACAATCCCAGGCTATGTCCATTTCACATTTGTTCTTAGTAATAGTTGATGCTTTATGCTGTCAACTAAAAGCCAATTTACTTGGCCTGAAACCCCATGAGATAATACAAGGGGCACATCTCATCAGATAGTAAGAGGGAGAAAATTAAAAGGAATTAAGACAATTTCTTTGCAGCCTATTCCTGCAAAGTCGTGGGAACTTGAATATTTTTATATTGACTTATTCTTCCCCATGGATTTCTACTACAGTCATGGTAAATGTCCCAGAGAAAAACAAATTGATTTGGACGTGAAATGGAAACCCCACTTGAGAAATCAACCAATCCAGATGTCATTTGCCCCAATAAGAAATTAGTCCATTGGAAGACAAATTTACACTCTCTTTCATGAATTCCTTCTGTGCTTTTTCTGGACTTTTGAGAACAGGAAAGGAGAAGACTATTTAAAAGTATTGTTATAGATGTTTTTGATTTGCAAATAACAAAATGAACAGGTCAGAAAAGGATCTGTCTGGTTTATTTTCCATGGGGAGAATAAAATTTAATCCTACAATTTCTACAGTAGTTCCTTGGAATTTTTAAAGCCCACTTATGCTGGCAGGGATTATTGCTGGAAAAGGGGCCCCACCAGGCTCTGCTCCAGTGGGCTGTGAGACCTGGGTCTTTTCACCACTTTCAGCTTTAGGTGCCTCAGATGTGTAATAAAAAGGTTCTGTGAAGTGTTTAATGATGTTCTCCCCCACTTCTAGCACTAACATTCATGATCTATGACAACTTAAGTCCACTACCACGACGTGGGTATTTCCATTTCCCTGAAAGACCCCTCTGACTGGCTTCTTAGGGGGACCTCCGAGGTCTCTAAGCTTCTTGTAATGATGAGTCCCTTTGAGCATCAGATGGAAGCTGTGACCTATCACCTTGGAGAAATAAAACACACTCTCAAAATTCTGCATATGATTGCTGGAGTTTCACGAGCCTCCTTCGGCCCTCACAGGCATCCCAGGTTAAGAACTCATCTCTAAAATCAGGGTGCCCAGTTTATCTCTGTGACAGCTCTAGTCCTCCGTTGTCATACCCATAAGATAAGGGAATTAATCTAACATCCCTTTTGGCTATAAAAATGAGATGATGCCTCGCCACAGAATTATTGCAAGAAATCCCTAAGGAAGTTGAGGGTCATGTATTTTGGGGAATGGCTGCTCTGTCTTTTAGATAATAAAGCCTTAATGAATATTTATTTTATGTAATTTAATGAAATAAACATAGATTTTTTCCCCCAATCTTGTTCTTCACCTTGTGACTAGTTTTGAACATATATTGGAGCACAAATTTGAGTTTACAAATGAATGCTAGTGTATTTTATGACCATGATTGCATGACTTTAACAAATCAATCAATTTCTGTCTTTTGAAATAAAGTCATATTGAGAATATTACAACAGTCAGTAGCTGAAAATATGTAACATGAATGTCACAGCCCTTGGCATGATTCATGTTAACAGTGTTTGCATTTTTTTTATTGCTAGCCCTTGCATCTCTTAGTAGTCAAAATATTAAATCTATAGAGCATTTCTTGTTTCATTTATCTTGTAATCTAAGCTGTTGTTATTTATGCTTTGCTTCATCTCTTCCTTTAATTTATCTGGCTTTTTGTCTTAATTCTCTTTACTTTTATGGACTTTCTCATTCTGTTTTTCTGTAGCAGATGTCCTTACTGCCTCTCCCGCTCCTAACGGTCAGGAAGGTAAACACCATTTGAACTGGGCATTTTAACTGCATGGATGTCAGCACTCTGCTTCCAATTTCTTGGGCCTGCTTAGCATGAAGTTGTGACACTTCTATGAACACAAATGTAATGAAAAAATATATATCTTGTTTACTTCTTGGCAGCCTGCATGGCCCTGATTTGGTATAAGGGTATTTTGGTCTAAGCATTCTGTGGTCTAATGAGATAGTAAATCTTGAGTAAGAAATTACCTTTCTTGTTTTTCATTTTAAAAGAGCATAATCATGATATACTTCTAATACTTTTAGAATCATTCTGAATAGAAATGCAAAAAAAAAAAAGCAAAGTATAAGATTATCTCTTATACTTTGATATATTTAAATATATTTTGATTCCTATTCTTATTCTTATCACTAAATAAATTAATAACAATCATGAAAACTTTACTTTCCTATTAATTATAATTGTGAAAGCTTTGCATTGCACACAGTAATTCTCCCTCCTCCCCCCGGTTTTGACACTTCTCAAGGTAAAATAAGAAAATAATTTCATTTCAAAGTGAGAGTGATTAAATCATGCACATACCATCTAGAAGTGCTTCAACCACTAAATCCTTCCCAAATTTGTATGCTGTCAGCTTCTTGATGCAGAACATCTTCTATAATATTTGCACAGTTCAATCATCTGTAAGAAAATGAACATTCTCATTTAGATTATGTCTATGTGGTACAAAAACTACTGGTAAATGAGTCAATTAAATTGAAAATAAATGCACCAACCCAATTTTTTAAATTATGCTTCAAGCCATCCTTTTGGTAACAAGTAGCCAGAGCCTCATTCTTGCCGATAAGTACAAGTATCTGGGTGTCCTTGTACTGATAAACATGTAGCTCTTAAGTGCAACATTTGGTTCTTTTTCACTGAAGCCTTGCTAACTCATTTTCAGACAACATTTTGGAAGACAGACCTGAAAATAAATCATGTAATGACAAGCTTCAGTTTGAGTATAGTGAAGAAATCCCCAAGAGGATAAAGAAAGCAGATAACTCTGCTTGCAACAAAGGAAAGGTTGGTGAATGGTTTCTATTAAATGACACTTGGACCTGGTACTCTTGTTGGTTTCAGGTAGGATTCCTCCCTATCCATCCGTTCACCTTTCCCTTCACTTTCCCTTAGATGTCAGAGTTCACATGGTGATATTATGGGACACTCACCTTCCATTTGTGGAAGGTTAGCCATTGATTAATCCAGTGGGAATTAATCCCATTCACCTTTCCCTTCACTTTCCCTTAGATGTCAGAGTTCACATGGTGATATAATGGGACACTCACCTTCCATTTGTGGAAGGTTAGCCATTGATCAATCCAACCAATACCTGCTGAAGGTTTATGTGCTGCAGGCACTGATGTAGTGCAGAAGATGGTTTAGTGATGCTGACAGAATGTAAACAGTGCCTGTAGGTAAATGCAGGGAGCAGTGATTACACTGTGTTATCAGAGAATCAAGGACAGGCTCCCAGGAAAAATGATGTTTGAGAAAGAAGATTTATCCAAGCAGACAAAAATAGGGAATTCAGGCAAAAAGGATAGCCTGATATGTTCAGGGAATTGCAAGAGTTTTAAAAACATTTGGGGTAACCAAGAAGATAAATGGGGCCAGATTGTGAAGTGTTAACAGAAGAATGATACTGAAAGATAAATGAGATACCCAGACCCTACCCTCAAGTGCCTCACAGTATATAGACCCTGAGCAAAGCTATAGACATAGTTGCAATGATATCATTGGAGAAAAGGAGATATATAGTTGATCCTCCATTTATTTAACAAAGGTACATTGACTGTTCCATATGTATGACAGTGAACTAAGCACTGAGGGAAGATAAAGGATGAATTAGACTCATTCCTTGCCCTCAGAAAGCTTTTACTCTAGGAAAGCTGTTAGGACATGTATATGGATAATTAACCAAACAAGGGGAGACATACTGATGACACCAGACAAGTACAGATAAAGAGCTTCAGGAATCCAGAGGTGGGTGGCATATACCTTCCCTGTAAAATGGTATCCTTTTCCCTTGATAGGTCTATGACATGGAGCTGGGAGAAGAATTTTATCTTCCTCAGAATAAAAAGGAAAGCAGACAGATCGCACCAGAACTTTCTGATCTTGTCATCTATTGCCAAGCAGTAAAATTTCCAGGTAAGAGTAGACAATATCATCTATAACATTTAAAGGGATAAAAATATGCTATTTATTTAATTGGGCATTGTGAACACTCAAAATAACTAAATTTTGAGGGCAAAATAATTTTTATAATACCTTCGAAACAATTTGCTTTGATGCTCATGAAAAAAATTATAAAATATTCATTTTCCAGATCATATATCTTTTCATAATAGTTAATAATAATAATGTGAATAGTAATACAGTCATAATATCTAATGACTAGAATATATTAAGTACTTACTAGGATTTGTGCTAAGTATTTTAAATACATCATCTTTTTGACTATTTATAATGATTCTATGAGGTAGATGGTACTATCCATTTTTAAATAAAATGAAGTCTGAGAGAGATAAAGTAATTTGCCCAAGGTTTCAGAATGCATCAGTTAAATCTCTTGTTTAAAAGCGGCAGAAAATGGCCGGGCGTGGTGGCTCATGCCTGTAATCCTAGCTCTCTGGGAGGCCGAGGCGGGCGGATTGCTCAAGGTCAGGAGTTCAAAACCAGCCTGAGCAAGAGCGAGACCCCGTCTCTACTATAAATAGAAAGAAATTAATTGGCCAACTGATATGTATATAAAAAATTAGCCGGGCATGGTGGCGCATGCCTGTAGTCCCAGCTACTCGGGAGGCTGAGGCAGAAGGATCGCTCGAGCCCAGGAGTTTGAGGTTGCTGTGAGCTAGGCTGACGCCACGGCACTCACTCTATCCTGGACAACAAAGCGAGACTCTGTCTCAAAAAAAAAAAAAAAAGCGGCAGAAATTAACTTAAGCAAAGAGGGAAATGTATTAGCTCATGTCTTAGAAAATGAAGATATACAAATTGCAGGTATTGCTTGACCCAAAGCACATACTGTCTTCCCATTTCTCATTCTGCCTCCATTATGTTGGTTTCATTCCTTCTGTTCCCTTTGTGGTTGTAAGATGGCTACAGCAGGCTAGTACTAGATGCTTCCAGATTGTTTCAGAACTTCCAGCAGAAGTTTCATTATTTCTCATTGAGCCCTTTGCCCAAACCCTAACCAAATACTGTGTCCAGGGGGTACAGTGCTCTGACAGTCTGGAACCCTTATCACAAGCTCCATCCCTGAGCTAGGTAGTGAGGCTCCACGCAAACCACAAGGACCGAGGATGGGGGTACAATGGGAGGGGAGGATCCCTCAACTGGCCATTTCTAGAAATACAGTGAACTTAGACTAATAAACCACTTCCCAAGAAGCACTCATTTCAGTTAATATATGTTAGACCTTTGATTCTGAAGCCTGTCTGTCTTCAAAGTCCTGCCTTTAACCATTACACTACTCTGCCACTTTTCTTAGGGTATGTCATCAGTGAGCTCACCCAAATATGTATCCCACAAATGGGGCATGAGGAGATAGTGGGCAAACAGAAAATATAAATATATGGAAGTCAGAAAAATGTACCTCCTTATACTAAGAAAAAAGATTCCTTTGCAAAAGATTTCTAAGGACAAGAAAGTGGCTGAGATTGGAGGATCAGTCTAAATGTTAGTAAACAGGTTATAAAACTTGGCCTGGAGATGGGCATTAAAATGCCAGCCCTTATCTATTCAAGATGGACTGAACTAGATCCGGTCTGATGCTATCCCTGGCAAATGGGACAGAGATATTGGGCTATTCAAAAAAGTAGGTAATAGTGGCCTTTGCATACATCAGAAGAAAAAATAATCATAGCTAGAACTTCCTTAATTCTAAGTTTTCTCCCACAAATTATTTTTTAGCTTTTGGCAGCTGCAACTATTTGTCTGGTATCTTGTTGCAGAGGATAGGAATGAATAGGTAATAAGCAAAGCTTTCAAGGATATGCAAGAGCCTAGCCATTCAGGTTTAGTTTCACGGATCATGACTTTATGTCACATAAGTGCAATATGATCATATTTGCAATTGGTGAAACTGTCCTTATGGTGGGATAAAATCCTGTCAAAGCATCATGGCTGGCATGTCCTTCATCCCAGGAGCAAGTATGAGGGTCACTCTGATAAAGAGTCACACTCACTGTGTCTCTTATTCTCCGTGAATGCAGCAGATGCTACATCAGACCATTGCCCTGGCTTTGTCTTTCCTTCTCAAGCTCTGAGTAAACAAAGAGCACAAAATTCTCAAAGATGCTTGAAATCAGTGTGAAAGATAAAGTTTCTGTACCAACGAAGAATTGTAGAAGGGTCAAGGAGTCATTCAGTCGAGCTTCTGACCTGAGGCACAGGCTAAGCATGTGGCTATTTACTTAGTTTTAAAATCCCAAGTGTGTTTTTTTCTTTTTTAAAAAAACATAGCACACATTCTTTATAGGTATACTGCACTTTTTTAGTAACTGAAGTTTCTTACATTATTCTTTCCCCAACTTTATTTCCATTCTCAAAATAACTAAATTGTATTGCTGGAATCATTATCATACCTTCTAAATATCCATTGTTATTATTTGTTTTGATGCACATTGGAAGAATGCCATACAGTATTCATTTTGCTACACTATTGATTTTAATTTTTCTACATCGTCAGTTTCAACGTGTCTCACTTTTCATCATCCCAAGTCCCTTCCTAAGAGCCACATACAAAAAACAAAAGAAACCCTTCAGAGCGGTGAGGAAGCCAAAGGTCGTGTGGTATGAGGCCCACGGAAATCGAGGAACTTCCCCACCGCCAGGAACCTAGTTCAGAGCCAGGGCAAGAGCCAGAACTCGAGCGCCTCAACTCCCAGTGCTGTGCTCTTTTCACCACACCACGCACGAAGCTGAGTTTTTCCTACCTGCTTACTCTTAGAGTTTGTTTCTTGGTTACATTCAGTACTTGTATCTTCCTGTTTTTCTTCTCCTTCTAGTAGAAAAAAAGAAGAACATGGTATTTTTGTCATATGACACCACTAACTTAGTTTCCAGATAGTTCCCAGCAAGCTCCCCTGCATCCCCCACTCTCACCGGCCATCTACACATGCTTCAGCCTTTCCAGCTGCCAGCCCTTTGCTCAGACAGTGTTCTCAACCTGGCCTGTCCTTCCTTCTCCCCCCGGCCACTGTCTAGACTCCAAGGCCAATAGTCCCTGTGAAGTATATAAGACTCTTCAACCCATGGTGATGATGCCTCCTCTGGGAGCTCCTTGCATGTATAGCCCTGTGTTTGGGTACCTCCTGGGCCTCTAATTGTTCCCCAGCTAAGAGTACAGCCTTCTAAGAGAAATATTTGATGGTGACAAGATCATTGGATAAGGTCCCTGGTCAGAGGCCTGGGCTCTTAGTTACCGCGCTCTGTGACTTTGACCAAGGCAGATCCCCTCTGAGCCTCGTGTCCTCACTCAAAATTGGATTTGACTAGAATCCTTGTTTAACACACTCGTTGAAATCTCCGGAATTATCTGGGCAACTTGATTAAAATACCAATTCTCAGGACTCTTTACTAGGGATTTATATTTGGAAGGTAGCTGTCAGGCCCTGGTACCTGGGTTTTTAATATAGGCAATTTGGGAGCCTGCAGAGCTATACAATCTAGAAGTCTGATTCTGAGGGAGCCTTTGCCTCATTCTCCTTTGGATCCACCACAGGGTCCACAGAGCAGGTAACCAGGGATTCCATGATGAGGCTTGTCCGCAAGATTCTGTGGCTTCCAGGATTGGTTTATATTCCTACACCAAAGGACCCAGCTGGGAAGAGCCTTCCAGATTTCAGCCCATTCACGGCACACACACTCTCATTTTCCTAGTGCTGACAGACAAGCTTTGTTCATGGAACAGTGGTTTGCTAAGGAGCCATTTGAACACAAAAGTGGGACCCTGCTGCCTTGGACAGCTTCCATTGGCTGGGTGTGGGGTCCCTGGCATTAAAACTCCTCTCCCTTCCCCCCTCCCCCCATCACCCCTCCCTTCCCTTTAGGCTGGGTGTTGCCATCCTCCCCAAGAGTGCTGCTCTGGGTTACTCAGGCTGCACAAGGATGCCTCGGGGTGGAACACTGGGGGCAGAGGGACGTGGTTCAGGACATGAGAGGGTCGAGAACAGAGCTCTCAGATACATCACTGAGACATAACCCTGCTCACCGAAACTGATTACCCTCAGTACTCCCCAAATCTTGCAAAACCAGTGAAAACAACTTTTTGGGCATCTCCCAGTGACTGCATAAGTTAAGGCCCAGCTGTTGGGCCCTGCACAACATGTGGCAGGAAATTCACTCAGTTAGAAAAGAGAAGTATCTGTGCGACCCTGAGTGGCTCTCAGACCCTCTCCAGACTCAGCTTCTCTGCTGATTTCTCCAGCTGGTATGTTTGAATGCTCCAGTGTGTCTGAGAGAGGGCGTCCAGAAGAAAGCCTAGCTCGGATTATGTATATAGGCATGCTGCACTTAATAATGGGGATAAATCCGGAGAAATGAGATATTAGGCGATTTTGTCATTGCTCAAACATCATAGAGGGTCCCTACACAAACCTGGATGGTACAGCCTACTACACACCCAAGCTATATAGTATGGCCCATTGCTCCTAGGCTGCAAACCTGTACAGCATGTTACTGTACTGTATACTGTAGGCAGTTGTAACATAATGGTAAGTATTTGTGTATCTAAACATATCGATACATAGAAAAGGTACAGTAAAGACACGGTATAAAAGATAAAAAACTGTACACATGTATAGAGACTCACCATGAATGGAGCTTACAGGACTAGAAGTTGCTCTGGGTGAGTCAGTGAGTGAGTAGTGAGTGAACGTGAAGGTCTAGGACATTACTGTACACTACTGTGGACTTTATAAACACTGTATACTTAGGCTATACTAAATTTATAAAAAACATTTTTCTTGCTTCAGTAATAAATTAACCTTAGCTTGCTGCAATTTTTTTACATTATAAACTTTTTTTTAAACTTTTGGGCTCTTTTTAGTAACACTTAGCTTAAAACAAAAATACATTGTGCAACTGTACAAATGCATTTTCTTTCTTTATATCGTTATCTTTTCCTATTTTAAAAATTATTTATTTATTTATTTTACTTTTTAAACTTTTTGTTAAAAACCAAGACATGGCTGAGCACAGTGGCTCATACCTGTAATCCTAGCCCTTTGGGAGGCCAAGGCGGGAGAATTTGTTATATATGTGGTCCGCCATTGACCTAGATGTCATTATGTTACTCACGACTGTACACCACTTAGCTAGTTAGGGAGTTGATTTCACAGCCCCCAGATAAATTAGGATTTCTGGAGGAAGATATCATCATATGCTCTGGAATCAATATATTCTTTTTTTTTAATAATTTTTTTCTTTATGGAGATGTAGTCTCGCTATGTTGCCCATGGCTGGCCTCAAACTCCTGGGCTCAAGGAATCTTCCTCCTTAGCCTCCCAAGTAGCTGGGACTATAGGCATGTGCCACCATACCCACCTCTGGGGTCAATTTATTCTTACATGCCTATCAGTCTTTTGCTAGGTGTACATCTCAAATTTGTATCCCGAAGATTTAGCTAACATCAGATGTTTCAACATCTATGTCTAAAACAGAAGTCTTTTCATTCACAACCACAAGGAAAAACACGGATGAGAGGAAGGCCATAAAATTAACTAGAGGGCCTTAGCTAGGAAAGAGAGGCAGCCACTAGCCTAATCATGAGAGTTTAAATCCCAGCTCTGTCTCTCAGTGACCTTGACCTGGACAGTTATGTAGCTCCTGTGCACCTCAGGTTCCTTATCTCTAAAAGAGGTGTAACATTCCTAACTTGCAGTGTTGCTGTAAAAATTAGCAATAAAGTATATAATGTGATCAGCACACTATTTGGAACATTGTTGGCTTTCTGGGAATGTTGTCATTGATGGGTAAATGAGCCAGCAAGGTGGATGAAGGTTCTTTGTTGCTCCTTGCAGTTATTTTTCTGGGCCCCTTCCCACAATCAAAAGTCTTTCCCCTTTATCAATCTCCCAACCTTTGTTTTCTTGCTTCCTCTCCCCACCCCAAGAAAACAACCACGCTTTTCACAGAGGGGCTTGCATACATACCTCTGGGGGATATTGACATGTGGCAGGATGTGTGCAGAACCCCAGAATGAACACAGCCTCTCACTCCGGCCCTTCATCAGACTTACTTAGGAGACAATTGTTCCATAATTATGTCAAGAGTGAAGTTTACACAAACTATTAACTTCAAAGCATGAGAACTCAAGAATCTAAGTTTGTGCATCTTCACTGTTATGAGTACTCAAGAGGAAAAAAAAACCTTAGCAACCCCACATTCAGCTGTAATAAATAGTAACAGTTGGTATGGACAGAGCACCTTCCTGAAGAAGATACACAGCTAAGTATGTACACGTTGACTATCCCTAATCCAAATGCTCCAAAATTCAAAACATTTTGAGGGCCGATGTGACACTCAAAGGAAATATTTGTTGAAGCATTTCAGATTTCAGATTTTTTAACTGTGGATGCCCGACTGGTAAGTATAATGCAAATAATCCCAAATCTGAAAAAATCTGAAATCTGAAACACTTGGTCCCGAGCAAGCAGTTCAGATAAGGGACACTTAACCTGTGTGTGTGTATTTTATCTCATTTATTCCTGACCACAGACAGGCCTTTTACAGATGAAGAAAGCATGGTCCAGAGAGATTGAATAATTTGTGCAAGGTTGCACTGCTAGGAACAGTGTTTAATCCAAGTGTATCTCACTCCAAAGTCTGTGCTCTTAAACACCACTCTGCCCTGTCGCTGATGATGATGTTCTTGGAAGGTGTATTTTCATCTCAAAGATGAAATGTAGCTTTAGTGTAAGAAATTACACTCCAAAGGCACAATTATGACAGAGGGAACAATTTGGAAGCAACTCTAGTTTCATTGGTGTCTTTAAATCATTCTTGTTACATTGGAGCCAGGTTTGCGTGATGTGTGTTGATTTCCTCATGCAGCAAATATGTATTAAGTTCCTGCTGTGTACCAGACACTGTGCCAGACTTGAAGGATCCAGGGTCCTGGCTGGACCAGGAGTGAGAAAATAAAGCATCATTAGCATCACAAGATATTTCCCATGTAGTCTTCAGACTAACCTTATGAGTGAGGTCCTATAATTACACCCATTTTGTAGATAAGGAAACTGAGGAACAGAGAAGGAAGTGTTAAGTCAGGATTATACCAGCACGAATTGGACCTAGACAACATAATGCTAAAGCTCGAGATTATAACCATTCCTTCATCTCCCCAAAGGGAATAATCAGCCTCTGATAACTTAATATTGACTGCAGCACTTTCTTTTCATGCAATTTTTCAAAATCTTTCTGATGTACAATCAACCAAGTGTGTGTGTAATCTTATGGTCATTCTGTAAAAAGCATGTGATCCTTGTTGCATTTGCCTACAGAGATAAAAACCTTGCTATACTTCCTACGATACTATTATTAACAGAGCTAAAACTGCTAGTAGATCTTCCGTGCTAGGTTCCAAGGGAGTAGTAGGGCTTCAAATAAACATTAACGGGGATGGAAAATGTTGAGTTCCCTTGCTTGTAGTTTTTGGCTTATTTATTTTCATTTTATGGGAACAGGCCTGTCAACTCTAAATGCATCTGGCTCTAGCAGAGGAAAAGAAAGGAAAAGCAGGAAGTCCATTTTTGGCAACAATCCGGGCAGAATGAGCCCAGGGGAGACAGCATCATTTAACAAACCATCTGGAAAAAGTAAAGTCACCTTCTTCTAATATCTTTGCTTGATTCTGCATGCTGGATAATTTAGATATTTTACTGCCTAAGTACTTCCCTTGAATTTTTTTAGTTCTTTTTGTATTTTCATGAATGTTCATATTGTCTGAGTGTGGTATAAATTTTTTTAATTGCTAATTTACACTTTTAGCTTACTAAAAATAGCATTTCACTGAAGATGTTTTAACAGTGTTTGCCTCAAGAGTAAAAATTGGAGGCACCTTGGAACATTCTAGTGGTTTCTTGGAACTGCTCTCTTCACCATTATAACTCCAGAAGATATATCCATTTTATTTCTAGTTTTTATTATGAAAGTAATAAATTCTCGTAGTTAAAAACTCAAACAATTCAGTGTATTATTAAAATTCCTTTCCACTCTCAATGTCCCAGTGCTGTTCCCCAGAGGTAACCTCTATTAAGTTTATTGCATTTTGTTCGGGAAAAACAAGATCCTTTCTAAGATAATCTAAATGGGATATAGGCATACCTCGGAGATATTGCAGGTTTGGTTCCAGACCACTGTAATAAAGCAAAAATCACAATAAAGTGAGTCACATGGATTCTTTGGTTTCTCAGTGCATATAAAAGTTATGATTACACTATATTGTTGTCTATTAAGTGTACAATAGCACTATGTCTAAAAAAAGTACTACCTTAATTAAAAAGTATGTATTGCTACAAAATGCTAGCAATCATCTGAGCTTTCAGTGAGTTGTAATCTTTTCGCTAGTGAAAGGTCTTACCTTAAGTAGCCATGTTGATGGCTACTAGCTGATCTGGGTGGTGGCTGATGAAGGTAGGGGTGGCCGTGGCCGTTTCTTAAAAGAAGACAACACTGAAGTTTGCCACATTGATTGACTCTTCCTTTCACAAAAGGTTTTCCTTTATCATGGGATGCTGTTTGATAGCATTTTACTCACATTAGAACTTATTTCAAAATTGAAGTCGATCTTTTAAACCCTGATGCTGCTTTATCAACTAATTTTATGTAATATTCTAAATCGTTTGTTGTCATTTCAACAGTGTTCACAGCGTTTTCTCTAGGAGTAGTTTCCATCTTAAGACACCACTTTTCTCGCTCATCCGTAAAAATCAACTTGTCATTCATTCAAGTTTTATCATGAGATTGCAGCAATTCAGTCACATCTTTAGGTTCCACTTCTAGTTGTCTTGCTGTTACCACCACATCCGCAGTGACCTCCTCCAGTGAACCAACCTCTCCAAGTCGTCCATGAGGGTTGGAATCAGCTTCTTCCAAACTCCTGCTAATGTTGATATTTTGACCTCTTCCCATGAATCACAAGTGTTCTTAATGACATCTAGAATGGTAACTCCTTTCCAGAGGTTTTCATTTTACTTTGCTCATATCTATCGGAGGAATCACTATCGATGGCAGCCATAGCCTTTAAAAAAAATGTATTTCTTAAATAAGACTTGAAGGTTGAAATTGCTTCTTGATTCATAGGCTGCAGAATGGATGTTGTGTTAGCCAACATGAAAACACCATTAATCTCCTTGTATATCTCCATTAGAGATTTTTGGTGACCAGGTGCATTGTCAATGAGCAGTAATATTTTGAAAGGAGTCTTTTTTTTCTGAGTAGTAATTCTCAACAGTGGGCTTAAAATATTCAATAAATCCTGCTGCAAATAGATATGCTGTCACACAGGCTTTGTTGTTCCATTTATAGAGCACAGGCAGAGTAGAAATAGCCTACTTCTTAAGGGCCGTAGGATTTTCAGAATGGTAAATGAGCATCGGCGTCAGCTGAAGGTCACCAGCTGCATTAGCTCCTAAGAAGAGAGTCAGGCTGTTCTTGGAAGCTTTGAAGCCAGGCATTGACTTCTCCTCTCTTGCTATGAAAGTCCTAGATGGCACCTACTTCCAACAGAAGGCTGTTTTGTTTACGTTGAAAATCTGTTGTTTAGTGTAGCTACCTTCATCAATGATCTTAGCTGGATTTTTGGATAACTTGCTGAGCATCTCCATCCGCTCTTGCTGCTTCACCTTGTACTTTTATGTTATGGAAACAGCTTCTTTCCTTAAAACTCATGGACCAACCTCTGCTAGCTTCAGACTTTTCATCTGCAGCTTCCTCACCTCTCTCAGCCTTTGTAGAACTGAAGAGAGTTTAGGGTTTTGCTCTGGATTAGGCTTTGGCTTTAGGGAATGTTGTCGTGGCTGATTTGATCTTCCTTTCTCCATATCAGCAATAAGGCCATTTTACTTTCTTATCATTTGTGTGTTCACTGGAGTAGCACTTTTAATTTCTTTCAAGAACTTTTCCTTTATGTTCACCATTCAGCTAACTGGCACAAGGGGCCTAGCTTTCAACCTATCTCTGCTTTCAACATGCCTTCCTCACTAAGCTTAATCATTTTTAGCTTTTGATTTCGAGTGAGAGATGTAGGACTCTTCCTTTCACATAAACACTTAGAGCCATTGTAGGGTTATTAATTGGCCTAATTTCAATATTGTTGTGTCTCAAGGAAAAAGAGGCCTGGGAAGAGGGAGGGAAACATGAGAGTGGCTAGTCAGTGGAGCAGTCAGGACACACATATATCAGTTAAATTTGCTGTCTTATTTGGGCACAGTTTGTGACACCCCAAACAATTACAATAGCAACTACTAACATCAGAGATCATTGATCATAGATCACCATAACAGATATAATTAAAAAGTTTGAAATTTTGCAAGGATTACCAAAATGTGACACGGAGACACAAAGCGAGCACATACTGTTGGAACAACAATAGACATGCTCAGTGCAAGGTTGCTGAAAAAACCTTCAATTTGCAAAAAATACAATTATGTGCAAAGTGTAATAAAGTGAGGTACGCCTATATAGCCAAACATACTTATATAACTTTTATACCTCACACGTTACTTTCTGTATATTCATCTACCTTATTCTCTTTAATGCCTGTGTAGTATCCCATTGTATGGAAATACTGTCATTTATTTAACCACTTCAAACTAATACTCTTGGGTTACTTCCTGTTTTTGTTTTGTTTTTTCCTATCAAAAACAATGCTGCAGTGAACATCCTGGTACACATATTGTTGTGTATTTGTGCAGATATACCCACAGGACAGACGAAGTCCTAAGGGAAAGGACGTTTAGGCTTTTAATTTAAAGTGGTGTTGCTGCATTCATTTTAAAACTAAGCAGCCACCATGCTGTTTCAAGGTAGTAAACTCACAAGTAAAATCCCAGATGAATTCTGATGTATTTCTATGCTATTGACTGTTTATTGGGATATTGTTCAGGTTTATCTTTCTAAAATATTTAAAGTTTGTAACACTAATCTGAGGCTAATCTCTTGGGGGGTTTAGGTTCTTATGAAGGCATTCGACAGACGTGGGAGGAATTTTCTTCCCCTCTCAACCCAACCACCTCGCTCAGCGCTATCATTAGAACTCCCAAATGTTATCATATCTCGTCGCTGAATGAAAATGCCGCCAAACGTCTGTGTCGCAGGTACTCTCAGAAACTGATCCAGCACACCACCTGCCAGCTGCTGAGGACCTACCCGGCTGCCACGCGCATCGACTCCTCCAACCCGAACCCGCTCATGTTCTGGCTCCACGGGATACAGCTCGTGGCGCTCAACTACCAGACGGATGGTAACGGGCCTGCGTGCTCACCTCTCTCCTTTGCATCTTATATTTCAGTACATGGGTCTCAGCAAATGACATTTTTTCAGCAAGATTCCAGACTGGGGCACACCATATGTGAGAGTAAAAATGCAGATGATGGAAAACAGAAGTGAATTTGATACTGAATTGCACCCCTGATGTTTCTTGAGTTAAGGTGACAGAAAAGAACCTTGAAGGGGCCTAGGAGGTCCCCTGGTCCTGCCCCTTTTTTAAAGCACTTTAAAAGTACCAGACTGCTCTTGACAGATCTGTGCCCATTTTATTTTTAAAGATTTTGGGACGGGGCAGGGATTTTCTAACACCTCTTAGTTAACCTGTCTCACTATGCAATTGTTCTTGCAATCAAAAAGTAGTATTGCTCCAAATGCTTTGCAAATTAAAACCATTTTAACTTCTTCTCATCCCTTTGAAATTGAGATGGAGGATAATGGTCAGTGCTCTAGGAGGAGCTACCAAAAGGAAAACCAGCATGTGAATTACATGAACAGAGTTAGAAGTGTTCACATTTCTCCACTGCTAATGAGACCCTGTTATGAGGCCTAAAACTCCAGAGTGAAAGCAGCACTGATTGCGTGCTCAGTGTGTACCAGGCACCGTGCCGGATTCTTGATCCCCTGTTATCTTACTTAATCTCACCACAACCCTAGTACCTCTATGAAAAATGAGGATCATCCATTTCTCAGATGAGCAAACCAAGGCACAAAGCGGTTAATTTGCTCAAGGTTGCAGGATGACTTGTAACGATAAATTCAAGGAATCTAGGAGTTTAGAGGATAAAGTGTTTTGTTTCCACCTGGTTATGGGGGAAGGAGAGGAGCTATAGAAGGTGACGAAGGAGTAAAGGAGGAAGGTTTCCTAAAAGCTCATTTGAAAACCAGAGTCTTTTCTGTGAACAGTCAAGCAGTGAGCAGCCCTTATCATTGGTCTCACATGAATCAAATCTTTAACAAACCATGCTGAACCACCAGCCACAGCACGGCCCTGTCTCCAGCTGAGGTCAAACCACAGCTGTAGCTCTGGGACCAGCTAGCTACCTGGCGCTCGTGCCAACAGCGCCCATTTGTGGCTGACCCCAAAGGCATATGGTTAGAGATAATGGTCATGTGTTTTTGCCCATGTTATATTTGCTTTTTTCAATTGAAATTAAATAAGGTGATGCAGATGAAGTACCGTACTTAACACGGTGCCTGGCACATGGAAAGCATTCTGCAAATGTGAACTATCATTAAGTGTGTTTGATAAGTTGTGAAAACAGTATGATTTGGACACACAAATGGAAACAATAGTGAAATACTTTCGACATTATAAAAATTCTATTTTCTATTTCTTTTCAATCTTTCCAAAGTGGCTTGTGGGTTCACATCTCTGGCCCTGTCTGTAGCCCTGTGTCCACTGGTGCCGTTGGCTATTTTGATACCAAAATGTTTTAAGTAAACTGAAATAACTATCAAAGGTGGTCTCAAGGAAGTGAAAATGCATTTGGTTTTTGAATGTGGCCTTTCAAAACCCTGAAGTGCCAGGCCTGGTGCGTACACACTGGCTCCACTCATGGCAAAGGGAGCCGCAGCTGAAGGGGACGCAGGGAGTTGCCACTCTTCAGGACACCCCGCAGTCCAACAGCACATGCTAAAGCTTGTCCTTCACTCACCCCTGAAGGCCTTGCCTTTCTGTCAAATCAAGTATTGTATCGAATATGTGTTAGCATATTTGAGCTGCCACACACAGGGAAAGCAGATGACTGTGTTGTGTGGTTCATCCTTGAGTTTCTCTGCATAATCTTCCAAGCCAGGAAGGAGTGCTTCCATATAATCTCTCTCTATGCAAGCAAAAGGCACTGATTAAATATCTCCCACACTGGACAAAGCACAAGCTACAGGCAGTATCAGTGTGTTCGTCTGTAGAAATCGTCTTCATTTCTGCACACCGGGGTTAGAGCCTGGTTTAATACCTTACACACAGTAGGTGCTCAATAAACACTTGCTGCCCTGAGCTGAAGCAGATTCTCCCCTATCAGCCTCACTGCAACATGCACCTGGGGCTCTTGAGTTTTGGTCAAGATCTCTTCCAGGTACTTACTTCTCTGTGACTTGTAAACACAAATAGACAGATAAAAGTCTACATTGGAATCACCATTTAATTGTTGAAAAGAATTCTGATGTTAATAAGTGTTTGATTTTCCATGAAGCATCCCATCGAAACAGCTGAGAACCCCTCCCAGTGTCCCTCCAGCCTCCCAGTATGTCTCCTGGTTCATCTGCCTGGATTTGCAGATTTGCCTGGTTTCATTTGTCTGGATTTGCCACTTCCTGGATTTCAGGGGACTCTGTTGCCCCAAAGGGGTGTCCATGGACTTAGGGCCATCTCTTCCCAGGCTTTCTGCCAGGTTGCTCAATTCCAAGAAGGTCTGATGTGATCTGGAACCAGGAGTATCCCAGGTGCGCAGTCAATAAAACCAACTCTTAAGTTTGGAAACCGACCTGAGGCTTATCTGCAAACCCCTGATTATTGCTGGCAACAGTCCCTCTGAGTCCTTTCTCTCTGGGGCAGAATGATTCCTGCCTCATATGCCAGGATTTACAAGTGTGTAAACATGCAACCTCAGTCCAAAAAAAGCTTATTTTAAAAAAGCATTTATTGTGCTTTCTTAAATGATAGTCAGGTTTTTTTAAAAACAGGGACAGTGTCTCAATATGTTGCCCAACCTGGTCTTGAACTCCTGGCCTTAAGTGTTCCTCCTGCCTTGGCCTCCCAAAGTGCCAGGATTATAGGCGTGAGCCACCACACCAGGTCTGATAGTCACACTTTTTAGGATGACTTTTCCAGCCCCCAGGTGTAGGGATAAATATAATGAGAATGGTGTCTATTTAATGCAGGATTTTTTAATGAATAAAGACCATAAAGGCAATAATATGCCTGATCTACTATCATATGCATTGATTCAGAGGAGTAACAGGGTTACACTGATTGGTGCACACTCTTTCACTTGGTTAAATTAAGGGTTTTCAAATTATAGCCACAGATGAAGTTCTGGGACCACCCCTAGGGGACAGTGAGAGGCTAGATTTGAGGTCCCACCTTTATTTCTGAGCAGCTCCACCTAGACTTGTTTTATATATTGGGTCACCAAATGAGATCTTAGTTAAGAAAAAGTGCTTTAGAGTTTTGGAAAGCTATTAGGATAGACACAGTGCTACTGAAGTCAGACCTGAAACCCAAATGGGGTTGGTATCATAATCATAATATAATAGGTACTTTTATTAAGTACCTTCTAAGTGCCAAATCTCATTTATCATAAAAACACCCCTATAACATGTACATTATATGTCTCTGTAGTAAAGATTAGGAGGTCAAGCCATCTGGATTCAAATCATAGCATCCGCCACTTACTAGCTGTGTGCCTTGGGTGTTTTCACTTCTCTGTGCCTCAGTTTCTTCATCTATAGAAATGGAGATATTAAAAGAATCTAATTCATGGGTTACTGGGAGGCACTTGCACATGAAGTGCTTAGAATGGGGTCTGGTCGTTAGTAAGAGTGCAGTAAGTGTGAGCTGCCATTGCTGTTGGTAGCAGAATCTATCCACTTCACACTTACTGCCCCCACGTGAGCTCATTGGCTTCATTCTCTTAGCCACCCTCACCCTATCTGTGTTCTGTGTCACAGTGTGGCCTGGGAAGAGAACTCTCTCCCCCTGCAGGTCAGGCCTCAGAGAATCAGTCAGGACTAGAAGGGGCTTGTGGGATGAGGCCCCCCATCCACCTTTAACAGATAGGGAGACTGAGGCCCAAGGAGCTTTCGTACATCTGAAAACCTTACCACAGGAAGTCTTGCGCACAATCCTGGCCAACCCCACGTACATGGAAAAATTTTATACACAATATTGGTGGGGGCCAAGTTCTCATTGCTCCAAGACGCTTACCCCACTTTGCCTTGATGTCGGTCCATGTAGCAAAGTTCATTCCGCACATGGAAGGAATCTATCAGAGGGAACATTTGTCAGGTGTGTCTCATAAACTTTTAGCTCATTTGGGCAACTTGTATACAGACTTGCACCGTCAGATGAGCATTTGAATGTGTAAGAGCCCAGAAATAATGCAGGAATTCAATCACTCATCAAAGAACTGTGCCAAATAAAATTTGGCCACAAAAGACTCAAAGCCTTTGTGAGGGTTCCTGAAGTTTATGATTGAGGGGATTGTGGACATGATGGGAATCATATGTGATGATGACCTTTTTTTCATATTTAACTCCAGTTTTTTTTTAAAAAAAAAGTAGAAATATTATGATTTGTGTGTTGAAATTGAGGTTTCAAGGAAATGCTGTTTTTCTTGCTATTCTTCTAGTCTTCCTTGTATAATTAAGATTTTTATCTTATGTTTGAAAAGCAATAATTATCCATACAATTGTCTGCATAGCTCAGTGTTTGGGGATAAGAAGATGCCATTTTTCCTTTCCAAAATTCGGTATAAAATGAGGCGCAATCAGCCCTTGGTGTCCTTGTGTTCTGCATCTGTGGATTCAACCAGCTGTGGATTGAAAATATTTGGGGCAAAAAATGGATAGTACAGACTTTTTATTATTATTATTATTACTATTCTCTAAACAATACTACATAACAACTATAAACTTCTTTGTATTAAGTATTATAAGTAATCTAGAGATGATTTAAACTATACAAGAGGATATATATCAGTTGTATGGAAATACTACACCATTTTATATGTGGGACTTGAACATTCATGGATTTTGGTATCCTTGAGTAGTCTTGGAACCAATCCCCCATCCATACAGAGAGAAATCTTGTGTATGTCACAAGATTTTTCAGATGGCTGTGGTAAATTTTAATTTTCAAAAGGAGTTTTTGAGTGGCAAAAGCTGGTTTGGAGTGCTAACACTGGGCATATGTAGACCGTAAGCTCCTTGAGGACAGGGATTTTTATCTCTTGTTGCCTGCTGTATATCTGCTGCCTAACACAACCTGGCCCGTAGTAGGCACCCATCAGTCTATGGGACGAATGGATCATTGTCTCTTCATGCTTAGGGAAAATTGATGTAAAGTTCTTTTGAACTTTAAGTTTATTAGATAAAACTTAAGTGGCAGAGTAACAAGCAATGCTGACTTTGTTTCACAGATCTCCCTTTACATTTAAATGCTGCGATGTTTGAGTCAAACGGTGGCTGCGGTTATGTTTTGAAACCTCCAGTTCTGTGGGACAAGAACTGTCCCATGTATCAGAAGTTTTCTCCCCTGGAAAGAGACCTGGACAACATGGAGCCTGCAGTCTATTCTTTAACTGTAAGTATGTCCCCTACTGTCAGAATATAAGCCTTCCTAAATAGGAACTCGTTTTGAACTGAAGGCATTGCAAAGCTGTCATGTCACAATTTTGGTTGTGCAACTTGAGATCCCACAATAATTTCTTGGCATTCCCAGAAAGCAGTAGCTGTGGTCAGGTATGCTGTCACCAGGCATTCTATTTGCCAGCGCCCAGTAGATGGAGATGTGAGGTCCCCGCTTCACCTGAAATACTGGTGCTGGGCATCTGTTATCCAGGGTCCACAGAATCATAACTACAGTTACATCCTATAAAAGTTAACCTCCTTATTATCAATTCATCAGCTCTGTGATCCAACAAGCTCTGTGATCAGACAAACTGGCATCGATATGCAAATACAATCAAGAGTCTTTCCTCCTTATAGTTTAACTTTTTCACTCCTGGGCCTTTCCTTCTTCCCTTTAGCACCTAATTAACTTATTGTCAAAATTCCACAGACTCTCCTTAAAAACAGAAACCTGGTAGCTCTTCACTCAACTTTCTTTTCCCTTCCCGTTCTTTTGCACCCTCTTAGCTAACTGAGAAGAAAGCTGGGTGGGGCATTTGAAAGTAAGGGAGGGAGGAAGTCATGTCTTCTCACACCTTTAGATCTTGTGTCTCTCCCTCCAGAGGAAGAATGCCAAACAGTCCTCTGTGAACAACACCTGAACCCCCTGGGCTAACCCCATTCACTGACTTGCCTGCCACCCAACTTCTATTTCTTTCCCTAAGACAGTAGGGCAGTCACTCCTTTTCTCTTTGATCATTTTAGCTGAAGTGTAGTTTGATCTGTTTACAGAAAGCTGTGAATTAATTTTTAACAACATGTCTGTGACTTGCTCCAAAACTAAATTATCTAAGAAAAAGATTTTGAAGTTATAAAATACACTCCTACAGCATTTTTAGTAGAATATTAGTAACAAATTTGTGGTTCCATTGTATAATATAAGGTCTTCTTTTCTCCCACCTCCTGTGAGAGACTTAACTTCATCTGAATGGCTTGGTTTTTTAAGATGTTTGAACACTCTGACAGTTGAAAAGTTATAGCTAAGTGAATATTCTTCACAAAATAGGATTTTCACATGATTTCAGTCGTGATTACAGTCACTTCAAAAAAAAAAAAAAAACAAACAGTATTATGAATCATTCATCTTGTCCATCCCAGTGTTCTTTGTCTTTCTTTGCTGAGAGAAGCAGTGAGGTGTAGTGGTGGTCTTTGTTTCTTTTTCATTCTCAGTGGCTTTGATGTTCTTTTTTCTCCCTCCCTCAGATTGTCTCTGGCCAAAACGTGTGCCCCAGCAACAGCACGGGCAGCCCGTGCATCGAAGTGGACGTCCTGGGCATGCCTCTGGACAGCTGCCACTTCCGCACGAAGCCCATCCACCGAAACACCCTGAACCCCATGTGGAACGAGCAGTTTCTTTTCCGGGTTCACTTTGAAGACCTTGTATTTCTGCGTTTTGCAGTTGTGGAAAACAACAGCTCAGCCGTAACTGCTCAGAGGATCATTCCACTCAAGGCTTTAAAACGAGGTAGAATAACGTTGTCCACATGTTAACGATTGCTGTAGCTGTAGGTGGAGGCTGGACTTTCATTCTACTCTCTCCATTTGTGTATGGTTGACATTTTCATATTAAGAAGTTAAAATAAGAAGCAGAAGGAAATCTAAATGTGAACACTTTTTCAGCACATCTCAAAAGAAGTTCTTCTTTTACATTTTTTAAAAAATCTGAGGTATTGGCGACATCCCTTATAAAGTACAGCGTCTGTCCACCCTGCTGATGTTGGGAGCAATGGTGGTAGGCTCGGGTTGCCACACTGCCCTTCTCAAAGAGCACCCACAGCGGCCCTGGCGATTTGAAAGCAGGGATTGAAGAAAGGAGAAGAAACTGAGAGGAGGAAGAGGTGGGGTGTGGTAGTGGCATGAGTGAGCTGAGGTCGGAGTCGGTGTCTGGCAGAAGTCCGGCATTAGGTGTTAGGGGGTGTTTGGTGCAGAGAGGGGCATGGAGAGTCCTGAGCAAAGGCTAGAGCTGTTGGCTCGTGGGTCGGCTTGGTGGTAGCACTCCAACGTGCAGAGGACTCACCTGGGACTCTTGGTGATAACAGGCAGATCCAGATTCAGTAGGTCCAGGGTGGGGCTTGAGATTCCACCTTCCTAACAAGCCCCCAGAGATGCTGGCTCTGCTGCTCCACTTTGAGCACCAAGATTGTAAGTACGTACTTCCTCCCACAGCCACATGCAAGCTGAGCTCCACAAGCGGTCTCCTACTTTTTGCTTTTTTCCCTGTTTCTCTTCTCCATTGCGCAAGTACCCTATGATCATTTGATTAGTCTGCTCTGGCTGCAGTAACAGATACCGCAGACTGGGTGGCTTAAACAGCAGAGGTGTAGTTCCTCACAGTTCTGAAGGCGGGAAGTCCCAGATCAAGGTGTTGGCAGGGCTGGCTTCTTCTGAGGCTTCTCTCCTTGGCTTGCAGATGGCCTCCTTCATGGTGTCCTCACACGGTCGTTCTTCTATAGTATGTGTCTAATCTCCTCTTCTCATAAGGACAACAGTCCTACAGGATTAGGGCCCACCCTAATGACCCCATTTTAACTTAATTACCTCAGTAAAGGCCCTATCTCCAAATACAGTCACGTTCTGAGCTACCCGGGGTTAGGGCTTCAACATATGAATGGGGGCCGGAGAGTATGGAGATAATTCAGTCCATAATAGTCATTACACAAATATGAGAATACAGAAAAGTAAAAATAATTTTTTAAAAAGTATCCATTTTTCCATCTCTCCAACACACGCATCATTTCTGGTGTGCATCTTTTGCAGGCTTTATTTCTCTGCCCATGTGTATGACACTCGAGTCTACAGGTAGAGTTTTAACAAACAGGCTTTCTGCTAATCTCAGTGTTTTGTAACTACTGGTTTTCACTTACTAATATATATAGTGAGGAGCTTTTCATATTAATAACTATACATCCACGTTGCCACTTATACTGGCTACATATCAGTCCATTTTACACTGACACATAAACTCACACCATGACTTTTATAACCAATCTTCTCTTGTTGTAATATTATCATTAAAGCTGCTGTAAGTGGAATATTTATACAACAGGGACTGTAGATGCTTGGGTATCAAAATCATCAGGTTTTCCTACTATTTTTTATTTGAGTTTAAGGTTTTCTGTTTGAGTCTAAGTTAGAAACTGTACCGGACAATTTAATTACCACTGGTGGCTCAAAACCACCCCCAGGGGGCAACACTCTCCCGGTGAAAAGGCACCTGTTGGTTGTATGCGTGCTTGTTGACATTTTAAGGTCATATTTCTACCTGGCATTTATTGATGTCCATGAAGTACCTTCTTTTCTGTAGCGCATGGCCAACAAGCTTTCCCCAATTCTGCATTATTCCAGGATATCGACATCTTCAGCTGCGAAACCTCCACAATGAAGTCTTGGAAATCTCTAGTTTATTCATAAACAGCAGAAGGATGGAAGAAAATTCCTCTGGCAGTACCATGCCAGCCTCTTTGGTAATTAAATTCTATTTCACTCAGCATATTTATGGGGATTGCGGCACTGAAGGTGGGCTTTCTTGTGGTATCCCAAAGTGGTCAGTGAGAGTTATTAATTAGGTAGCTATGGACATAATAATGACAATAGTGGCTGACACCTGGCACTTACTAAACACTTTACATATATACTAACTCCTGGATCCTCTCAATGACTGCAGGAGGTGGCTGCTAGTATCTTCTCCATTTACAGATGAGGAAGGTAAGAGCTAAGTACATCCAAGGTCAGAAGCTGGCAAGCAGCAGACCAGGATTTAACCCAAGTTCTTCTAGTACCAAAGTGCTTGCTGGAGAAGTGAGCCAAAAATAATGTGGGGGAAAAGGTTTATTAACAAGGCCTAGTAGGAAGCATCTCAATACTTCTAGAAACTTTAGATTAAACTAGGAAAATCCTTTGCTTCTTTCGCAGTCCAGGTGCAGATATCACAGGGTAGAGCAGGGTTGGGATGGGCAGGTGGCACTGCTGGTGATGCCTAATTTGTACCCTGATGCTCAGGAAGATGCAGAATCTGCACCTGTGGGCAAGGGAGCGGGACACTGTAAAAAAAAGTGCCACCATTGCAGAATCTATGTATTAATAAATTCCCCATGGAGGGTTCTTGCCCACTGAAGCTTGAGAACCCTTGGACCAGATCTCACCCCACTAGTGCAAATTATTTCTTTAATCAATCAAGAAATTGCTTTAATTCACTGGCTAAATCTATTATGCTTCCTCTTTAAGTTAAAAATAAAAAATTGTTTTTGAGACACGGTCCCGCTGTCACCCAGGGTGGAGTGCTATGGCGTCATCATAGCTCACTGCAACCTTGAACTCCTGGACTTAAGCAATCCTCCTGCCTCCGCCTCCCAAGTAGCTAGGACTACAGGCACATGCCACCACACCTGGCTAATTTTTCTATTTTTGGTAGAGAAAGGGGCTGGAGTCTCATTCTTTCTCAGGCTGGTCTCAAACTCCTGGCCTCAAGCGATCCTCTGGGCTCAGCCTCCCAGAGTGCTAGGATTACAGGTGTGAGCCTGTAATTTAGCCTAATTAATTTAGGCGCCCAGCCTAAATTAAAAATGCATTTTAAAAGGGTGTCCATCAATTACCCTCTTTACATGTTTAATAATCTGATCACTTTTGTGTCATTCTCACACTTCGACGCGGTCCTACCATCTTTGGAAAGGCACCTCTGGGCTCACAATGGCACTGACCTTGATCACTTTCTTCCACCACCTCCAAATAGCCTTGTTTTCTTCTCTGCCCTTCTCTTGCCCTCACCCCTTTCAGTTTCTTTTCTCTCTGTCCCTGACCTTGTTTTCTTAGTTTTCCTTCTTTCCCTTCGTCGTTCCACAGCAACCTTGGCTGCACATCTGTATCACGTGAGAGCTTTAAAAAAGTCCTCGTGCCCAGGCCACACCCCACACCAATTAAAGCTGAACCTTTCGGGGTGGCCCCAGGCATCATTCTTTCTAAAGATCCCCAGGTGATTCCAATGTGTGCCCAAGATTAAGAACAGCACTTTGGCCAAGGTGGAGGGAGGTATGGCTCCACCTTGGGTGGAGGACTGATGCAGGGACTGGTACCAATGAGTTAAGAATCAGATGCTTCCAGAAAGAGCAAGGCTGAGCCTCCGGTTCTGGGTTTAATATCTATTAAAGCTGAAGATTCCACAAGTGCCATGAATGAACTGTTTTTACTCACAACACTTCTGACACCAAACAGCATGGTATCTTTTCCAACTCTCTGGCACCAGCTGGCTGTCCTACACTTCATTTCAGTTCTAACATGATCTATCTAGAATTAGTGTCAGATCCCACAAGTTAAGGATTCTGTCCCACAAGACTACCCTGGGAGTCACCAGGACTTCTGACCAACCAACTATAATTTCAGGGAGGTTAACCCCCTCCTCAGGATCAATAATTCTCTAGAATGACTCACGGAACTCGGGAAAGTGCTTTACTTACTGTTACCAGTTTATTATAAGAGAGACAACTCAGGAACAGCCAAATGGAAGGGTGCATAGGACAAGGCATAGGGGGAGGGGTGAGGAGCTTCCCTGTCCTCTGCAAGCCACCTTCACAGAACCCTGATGTGTTCACCAACCCGGAAGCTCTCTGACCCATGTTGTTTAGGGTTTTTATGTTGTTAGGGTTTTTATGGAGGTTTCATAATTGATTAAATCATTTGTCATCGGTGATTGGCTCAATCGCCAGCCCCTTTCCCTTCCCTGAGCTCTGTCAATGGGGCTGAGAGGTCCACCTCTCTAATCATGCCTTGGTCTTTCTCCGACACCAGTCATGCCATTGGTGACAAGAGACACTCTCATCACTCCAGCGATTCCAAGGGTTTTAGGAGCTGTGTGCCAGGAACTTGGGATGAAGGCCAAATATTTAGTTTTCATTATATCACAGCATGATAAATATGCATTCTTTGACCATGGAGGGCATTACCCTCCGTTGCTGAAGTCAATAACTGCAGATCATCCTAGACCTCCCCCTCTCTTCTGCCCCCTTTAAGATTTGATGATTCTGTCTGCTGAGTATCTTTCAAATTCATTCATCTCAGCTACCTACTGCCTTGGCTCTCGTTGTTTCTCACCTGGCTGGTGGCAGTGGGTTCCTAACTGGTCTCTATTCTTCTGAGTTTGGCCCCATGCCTGTCCTCCTTCAGCCCAAACAGATCTATCCAAAGCCTAAGTCCAAACATGCCACTCCTCTTAAAATTCCTTCACTTGTTCTCCATTGCTTTCAGGGCAAACTTTATACCAGAGGGAACAGGTTCAGATGCCAGGTGGTGCCAAGGGGACAACGTAGCAACACGTAGGTGTGCTGGGCAGGGACTGGGCTCGTGGGTCATTTAGAGGGCAGCTGTGGCCTAGCTCTCAGCTCTAGCTGCTTGTTGCCATGTGGTGTCACCAGATCTTTCCGTTTTCTAAGAGAATCAAGACGTCTGGATTTTTGTAAATGTTAATAACTATTTCACCTTTTAAAAAATGTAGTGCAAATTAAAATATATGCATTTTTATGGTATTTGAATCATACCTCAATAAAACTAATTAAATAAAAACATACTGTGCAAGGGCCGGGCGCTGTGGCTCACGCCTGTAATCCTAGCTCTTGGGAGGCCGAGGCGGGCGGATTGCTCAAGGTCAGGAGTTCAAAACCAGCCTGAGCAAGAGCGAGACCCCGTCTCTACTATAAATAGAAAGAAATTAATTGGCCAACTGATATATATATATAAAATTAGCCGGGCATGGTGGCGCATGCCTGTAGTCCCAGCTACCCGGGAGGCTGAGGCAGAAGGATCACTCGAGCCCAGGAGATTGAGGTTGCTGTGAGCTAGGCTGACGCCACGGCACTCACTCTAGCCTGGGCAACAAAGTGAGACTCTGTCTCAAAAAAAAAAAAAAAAACATACTGTGCAAATATTTGATAGCACAACAAAGTGACTACAGTCAAAATAAGTTATGCTATACGTTAAAATAAACAAAAGAGTGGATTTGGAATATTCCTGACACAGAAATGATAAACGCTTGAGGTGATGGAAACCCCAATTACTCTGATTTTGAGTAATTACCGATTTTTTGAGTAATTACAGATTACTGATTTTGATACATGCTGGAGATGTATGCCTGTATCATTGTATGCCTGTATCAAAACATCACATATATTCCATAAATATACACAACTATAACATTATGTACCTATAATAATTAAAAATAAGCCAGGCATGGTGGTGGCTCATGCCTGTAATCACAGCACTTTGGGAGAGCTGAGGTGGGAGGATCACTTGAGGCTAGGAGTTCAAGATCAGCCTGGGAAACATAGCAAGACCCTGTCTCTACAAAAAAAGTGTTTTCTAAAATTAGCCAGGTGTGCACTAGTCCTAGCTACTTGGGAAGCTGATACAGGAAGATCGCTTGAGCCCAGGAGTTTGAGGTTGCAGTGAGGTATGATGATGCCACTACACTCTAGCCCATCTGACAGAGTGAGACTCTGTCTCAAAACATAAATAAATAATTTTTAAAAATTAATTTAAAAAAGAAAAGAAACACATTGTTCAAGCATAACAAGACAGCCAACCTTTCCTCCCCACTTCAAATAAAATTAAAGTGTATGCTAAACAAAACACTTCAGCCCTGGGGTCACCATTTTGCCCATTTCAGTCTAAATTTTAGCTCGTTCGACAAAGCTCTGCATGACTATGCTTTTACTTGCATCTCCAGCCTTTATTCCTCCAACAGGTCAGTCACAGAACGTGCTGAGGTTCCCAGAATGTCTTGCTTTAGGCCACTTCTAAGTCTTTGCACACACACTACATCAATTCGGGATTCTCTTGACTCACTCTTCATCTGCTAAATCACACCAGGTCCTTCAATATTTAGTTCAAATTATATCATTTTCCAGAAGCCCTCCCTGGTTTCCCCAAAACCTGAGATAAGTCCCCTCCTCTGGGTTCCCAAGGAATTTGCCATGGTTCTTACAACTGTCCACTTTCTCTGCTAGCTGTCTCGTTGAACTCGGAGCCCTTGAGGGCAGGGATAATGTCCCATTTGTCCCTGAGTCCCCAGAATGAGGCATGATGTCTGATTCACTATAAACCCTCCAGAAATGATTTCATATTTCAAATGAATGAACATATCTTAATGCCCAAAGTGCTCAAGGAGTTGTGAGCTGCATATTTACTCAGCTCTTTCTAGCAGACATACTTTTCGTATTCTAATTATCTGTGTGCCTGGACAGTGAGCTCTCTAAGAACAGAGCATTTTATTTATTATCTTACCATTCAAACTTCTAGCTCAGTGCCCTAAAGAGAGGTGGAATTCAATAAATATTGTGGAATGTCAGTTCATAAGGACTAATATACATTTCAGATAGTATTAGCCCCTAATTATCATGGAAAGAGACACTATGATTTAAAATAAATTAATGTTTTGGCAGTGTGCAGCTAACTATCCTTACTAAACTATTGAGGAAGATGTACCATTGCCTCTTCTAGCACACTAAGATGCATCAGGTTACAGATGGATTGTCATCTTTTGCATTTACATGTCCCCATACATTCTTCTAAGTACTAGCGTTTTTGCCTTGAATGTAGCCTAGAAATATCATGTTGTTTAGAATGAAGGAGAAACCATGTGATCTTCTTGACAGATGTTTAGCACAGAAGAAAGAAAATGTTTGCAGACTCACAGAGTCACGGTGCATGGGGCCCCAGGTCCAGAACCCTTTACTGTTTTCACCATCAATGAAGGCACCAAGGCAAAGCAGCTTCTCCAACAAGTAAGTCCATGAGCCTGTGGTTGGGAGAACGCAATGTGTAATATGTGTGGATGTACATGTACATGTGTGTAAATATACACAGATGCACATAAATACAAAAAACCCCATGTTGATGATATGCCTTTTGGTGATTTATGAATGTGTTATTCAGTGTTGACATCCACCCTAAGAATGATCTGAGGTATCTCGGTACCACTAGACAGGCTACCTTAACCTGCAGAGAAGAATTCTTAACAATTCTTCAGCTACATAAAACACTGGGCACTAGAAGGATAAAGACCAGAATGAATGGCCCTTCAGCCAATGTATCCTCTTTCTCTCTAAGCCCGGATATGGGCCTCATCTTTCTTCTTAATGCAGAGCTTATTAATCAGTTAGAATTTGCACAGGCCAAATGAAGTCTGTTTGCCATCCCAGGAGTTGGATCAAATTCTTAGAGCATCAGCATGGACCGTGTGGGCCAAGAAGACATCGTCTGCCCTCCCTCCAAAGCCTTCCTTTGCATGTGAGCAGCCCCCTTGCTCCCTTTCCCCAGGCACTTGGCCTGGCCTTGGAGGTCCTATCCTTCTGGTGGTGGTAGGAGGCATGGAGAGCCAAAAACCAGGGAATGAGAGCCTGTTACCCCAATCCCTGTAGCAGAAGTGGCCTGAGCCCCCTTATGCTGTGCCACTTCTGCCCTGGATCCCCCTTAAAGATTTTTGTGGCCTCCTGCAGGCAAGGTCACCATCCGTGGGAAGACGTGAGAGTGGGAGAGCTAGGAGCAAGGAGCAGCAGCAAGAAGAGGGAGGCCAGCTCCCCAAAAGGGCAGGCAGGGCCCATGTGTAATACCTTTTCTCGCCACACTAGAAGCGCTACCTTTGCTTGGCACAGTGGCCTGATATCCTTGCAGATGATTCTTGTCCTTAACCTGTTTCAGAATTCCTTCTCCTCCATGCAGTAGACCAAGGGGAGCAATGACCAAGGGCAGTGACCCTTGAGCGTCCTCCAGAGTTAGGGTGTGTGATGAGATGTAGCTGGGATCATACAATGTATGGGAGAATTAAAACCACTGGAACAACCACACACGGTACGTGTTAATACGCTGCTCTGTCCTTTGAGGGTGCATCTCTATGGACCGGCCAACATTCTGCTCCACATTTAAGAGTTGACTTAAATAGAGTCTGAGAAAACAGCTTAGGTGTGAAACTTCATAGAGTATCAGACAGAAGCTGCTGCCAAGGGTTTTTGTTTTTTGTTTTAATCCTTCAGTCCATGAACGTCAATGCCCACTATCACAAAGCACTGTTGAGGTTTTTTAAAGTAGGGAAACCTTTCTGTGAGCCACCCATGAAAAGAAGCCCAGTACTTTCTTGTCACCATGCAAATAAACACATGGATATCAAGCAGGACTGAGCAGGGGGTGACACTGGCCCTGTCGTGGAGGTGACACTGACCCTGTCGTGGGGGCGACACTGGCCCTGTCATGGAGGTGACAGTGCCAGCTGACCCCCGGAAGTATCCCTGTGGTAGTGGTTACTTTCTTAGATCAGTCTGTTTGCCGTGGCCCCATAGGGTCAATAGCACAGTTGGTTACAGACCAAGGGCTGGGCTGGGGGGAGCAGAGTCTTCCTGAGAATCTTCTGCCCCAACACCCGCACAGATTACAGTCCGCTTTTCCTCCCAGTGAGACGTGTTAGCTCTGGTCTTTGCCTCCATTGGCAGGGGCCTGAGTAGAAGGGTGTTTGCTTAATCTAGTCCAGATGGTGACAGCTTTCTGTCATCAACAAGCTACTTCTCATAGGAAGGCAGAAAGGGAACATCTTCACCATGAACTCCCTTCGAGTTCAGTCTTCTGTAGTAACCTATACAATATGAGAGAGAAAGAATACATTGGTAAAAGTATATATATATATATATATATATATATATATATATATATATGACAGGGTATCACTCTTGTCACCTGGGCTAGAGTGCAGTGGCATTATCATAGCTCACTGCAACCTTGAACTCCTGCTCTCAAGGCATCCTCCTGCCTCAGCCTCCTGAGTAGCTGGGACTATAGGCATGTGCCACCATGCCCAGCTAATTATTTTTCTATTTTTTGTGGAGATGGAGTCTTGCTCTTGCTCAGGCTGGTCTTGAATTCCTGGCCTCAAGCCATCCTCGTTCCTTGGCCTCCCAAAGTGCTGGGATTACAGGCGTGGGCCGCTGTACTCAGCAAAAATAACTATAATGACGGCTCATCTTTATTGAGTTCTCATAATGTACCCATGTTATGTTTTATACCTCAAGCATAAAATGAAATTAAAGATTGTTACTATTATAATTCCCATTTTATACATGGAAAACTGAGTTTCCTTGGGGCTAGGTATCTTGCCCAACACCTCACAAGCAGTATATATTAAAGGCGGACCTCAAGCTCAGGCCTGTCTGGCTTCAGACCCTTGTCACAGGGTCTGTGACTGCACAGGGTCAGTAGCCAACAAAGAAAACCTTTTAGGCACATTGTCAGGAGTTTATTTAAAGGAGACAGGCACAGTGGCTCACACTTATAACCCTAGCACTTTGAGAGGCCAAGGTAGGGGGCAACTTGAGGCCAGGAGTTCGAGACCAGCCTGGGCAACATAGCAAGACCTCGTCTCTATAAAAAATTTAAAAAATTTTTTAAAATTAGCCAGGCATGGGGGTTGGTGGATGTCTGTATTTCCAGCTATGCAGAAGGCTGAGGCAAGAGGATCACTCGAACCCAAGGAGGCTACAGTGAGCTCTGATTGTGCCACTGCACTCTAGCCTGGGCAACAGAGCAAGACCTTGTCTCAAAAAATAAATAAATAAATAAAACATAGGTCAGAGGAGAATTTAGCCCTGCAAACTTTCCATGAGAAGATAATTAATTCTAATGTGAGAAGAAGAGATTATTTTAGTAAATACTAGACTAGGTTCTTTGTGGTTAGTCCTGTGTTGCAAAATTACAAAGGGCTAAGTTCATGGAATGAAAAACCTAAAAATTTTAATTCAGTAGAAGCTCTCATCCAGCAGTGGGAAAAACAGTCATGCTGTCTGGGGATTATGAATAAATTGTGTCATTGCCCAGAGTGGACATAAACAATCCTTTTTGGACATAGGAGAATTCTTAGAAGATTTTCCAAAAAGAATTATATAACACTGTGGAGTAAGTTCCACTTACAAATTGCATATCGAACCTCTCTGAACACCATGAAAACAGAGTTGTTTTGAATCTAACTTTTGCTTCCCTTCTCAGAAGCATGCTTAAATTTGCCTTTGCTTTTTCTTTAGATTCTGACAACTGAACAAGACACCAAACCTATTACCACAGACTATTTTTTGATGGAAGAAAAATATTTTATATCTAAAGAAAAGAATGAATGCAGGAAACAACCATTCCAGAGAGCCATCGGTCCAGAAGAAGAGATCAGGCAGATTTTAAGCAGCTGGTTTCCAGAAGAGGGATATGTGGGCAGGATTGTCTTAAAAACGCAGCAGGATGTAAGTGTGTCCGGGAGCAGTCTACACAGTAACAGCTCAGTGCGTGACTAACCACTGCCCGTCACCACCTCCCTCACATTCAGAATTTCTTTGAAAATATTCTGTTACTTCACACAAAGTAAGAATAATCTCTTGGCCTTGGTCAGAATTAGTAACACTTTATATTACGTGTGCTACTATCCCCATGATCATTCTGTGAAGGAAAGAATGCAACAATTGCCACGTTGACTCCAAAGTGGTGGCTCCTGTTTGACTTTGTTGATGGAGCTCCATTCTTTTCCTCTGAATAAACTTGTAAGACCCTACTAACTTACTGCCATTTTAAAAAATGACATTTAAGGTCATTTTCATGAAGCATAGAAAATCATGCTTCAAGATGTGTTGATAATCAGGCATTGAATTAAGTCAGTTCAACAATTTGATTAAATAAATACTTACTGAGCACCTAGTATGTGCCAGGCTCTGTTCTGGGCAACATGCTCTGCTCATTTGGGGCACGTAATAGAGTTTGACTGGTAAGACGCCCATCAGTGGTCCATGCTAGCTAGGGCACAGTGGAGAGAAGAGAGAGCCGATGTTCTCCACTGCGTGTTACTTTTCCACTCTCTAGTCACTGTGAACAGCCTCAACAGAGCTCCAGCACCTGCTCTAGGGACCTGAGCCACCACCTTCCTTCCCTAACTTTGCCTCTGACCATAAAAGGACACTTTATTTAAGAAAAAAAAAAAAAAGTAATTGTCTCCCCAGCCTTCTCTCCCTATCAGACATACAAATTGCTAAGACAGAGAACAAGCAGTTCTAATAATAATCACTTTACGAGAAAATATCAGAGGGCTTAGCTGGACTTTTGAAGCCATCTTCAATGTCTCTCTAAATTTTGTTTTCTATTCCTAGTTGTCTTGCCTCATTAATTAGCTACATGTAAAAAAAAAAAAAAACTTTAAGTGGTAATGTCTGTGAATAAGTAAAATTTGAACCACTTATTTGCATGATGATTTACAGTGTTAGAAGTTCTCAAACACCCACTATGTTGAATGATTTCTTGATATAATGGAAAACATTTTACACCTAAGGAAACACATTCAGAGAGGTTAAATCATGACAGGGTCAGAAGTAGAAAGAACTCAAATCTTATGGTTCCTTTTGCCATCCTGTGCTACCCGAGCTGGAATTGTGGATCATCCACACTCAGCACTGTGGCAGGAGCAGGAGGCAGTGAGTGGGTGGGAGGGAAGACGGCCCGCTGCTGCGTGTCACAGGGGACTCTATAACATAGTTAGGACCGGGGAGGGGAGGGGTACCCGTATGCACTGTGAGTGTATATGACAACAGGCATCGGAGACCTCAGGAACAGAAGCTTAATAAAGCCTGGGGTAAGAAAGCATTTTGAAGAAATAGGGGGGTTAAGTTAGAAAGGATGGCTAACAGGCTTTTTCTGGTAAGTAAAATACCGCCAAGTTGTCCCTTACATACCTTTCTTGGGAAGAGATTTTTGAAATGACTGAAATACTATATCTCAAAAGATAAATCACATTAATGTGTCTAGGTTTACTTGGTGCATAGTGATACTCAATAAAAATTTACTGCTTTAACAAATGAATTTAGGAATTATTGAATTCAAGAGGGTACTATAGAATTGGTAGATTTGGGCTGGATTTCCATTCATTTTATTCTGTGGAACTAATATATATACAGTTTACTCATATATTAAAATTCCCCAAATTACTATTGGTGACCTCTGGTCTCTCCTGCCTGCCTTTTAGAATTTTCTTGTCCTTTGGGCTGTCAAACTGTCAGGTACCACATCTTTCTGTGGTCAGTGTGCCCTCCTCTGACTGTTACTAGATCCAAAATAAGCCAAACTGGGGCTCTGTCACAAATTAGATGATCCTGAACAGGTCACCTAACTTTCGTAAACCTCACGGCTCTAATTTGTAAAGTCCATAATAGAAACTACCTTACTTGACTCAAAAAAATTATCATGAGCCTCACATCAAACATGTAGACAATATGTAGAAAAATGCTTAGTAAAAAAAGGGACATTAAGTGAGAACAATAAATCTTCTGTTCATAACCTGTGGCTTCTAACTAATGTGGCTGAAAACTCCTTCAAAGTAAATAAGCTCTGAGGTTCTAAGGAGCACTCTTAAAAGTAATGTCTAGTGCATTCTTGTTGGGACATCTTATGTGGCAACTTAGAACCTTTTTTGGTGTTTTTCCCCCCTTCTTGCTTCCTGATATGTGAATTACCCCCAACCTCACTCTCTGATTAAATACATTATGATCAATGCAATGACATATTATGCAGCCACATCCTATTATGTAGCAGGCTCTTTAGGAATAGACATGAAATGATGAGCACAATCTTTTAAGTGGGAGAATAAACAGATTGTGAAATGGTCTATGTAGGAGAGTACAATCTCATTTTGTGTAATAAAAATAGACAATAGTGCTTCTCTCCCCCACTTCCATTATAGAGTGAATTGGGTCCAAGAAATCCATTTATGTAAATTGCAGGGCCATGGTTCCAAGGTTGATGGAACGGCTAGGGCAGGGCTGTGGGAGCTGTGGTTGGCAAGGGTCAGCTGCCAGTCCTTTCTGGTCCTGGTTAGTTTGGCGCCACCTGGTGGCAGTTATCCATTCTGACTTGAATATAATATCAATGGGGAGAATTCTGAGTCATCTGGCTGGTTGGAACTTCCAAGATAGTGACAGCAGTTCATGGATTCTTCAGGTTAGCAAGCACCATTGCAGTAGCCTGGTCTGGAGAAATTGGGCTAGGTTGAGAATCCTGGATATTGGAGGCTTTTCCTGTGACACCCTTACTTCCTCAGATAGGGTTGCCTTCTGTTTACTTGCCTTGTCTCTCCTTCCTCTTTTATGTGCTCCTCTTGCAGAAAATAACTTTTCACATTTGTGAGTGGGCCTGACAAAAAACAAGGGCCACTTGACAATCACATTATATCTAAATTCACATAATTCCCAGATTTTGTTGTATATATTTATTCACATACACAAAAAGACATTTGTATATCCATGGCAAATGACTAGAAGGAAATATTACCTAACAATAGTGGGGGTTTTTGTAGAGAATGAGGTGGGAGAAAGAAGGAAAAAGGGTGAGAATGGGAAACGGTTCCTCTTTTTTGTTTTTACTGATATACTTCTGTACTGTTTGAACATTTTTAATAAAAAGACATATATATAAAAGTTTTAATGAGCCATATCTGTGGCTATATATATAATTCACTGAAAGCCAATTCACTGTCAATTAACCTGGTGACCAGTTCTCATAACTATTGAGAATTTTGTAAATATTTGAGAGTGGCTCACCTCCAGCCATTGTTTCAGCCTTTTCACTGTGGGTTTTGTTCATCTAGTATAACTGTCAATTTCCTATGTTTCACATTTCAGATGCCCAGCATTTCTTAAATGCTTAAGGCCTCTGTGGGAATGGATGGGCTGCTTTTCAAATGCAATTTACTGTGTGTTTTTTCTATTTGGCTTTTGGAAGTTAGCAAAATGGTATATTGTCTTTCTACAAATGTATCTATAATTTGGACTCTCAAAATCCATAGTTTATAACAGCAGATAAATTTGCATGTTCTGGGCCAGACCTATGGGTCTGTCAACATCAGCAGAAATATAGTACTTTCTTCCTCTCAAAAGACAGGTATATCCTTTAGAATAGTTTAGGAAATAGTAACCAGTATATGAAATATAGAGCTAAGAAGTTATTTCTACATTACCTAGATACAGCTCAAATTTTTGCTAGTTTTTTTATTCTGCATCATCTTACCTTTTACTCATAACTTTTTTTTATTTTTTACATAGAACCTAGAAGATAAAAGCCTTGTCCAAGATGACAAAGAGGTGATCTTGAGCACAGAGGAGGAGAGCTTCTTTGTCCAAGTGCACGATGTTTCTCCAGAGCAACCTCGAACAGTCATCAAAGCGCCCCGAGTCAGCACTGCACAGGATGTCATTCAGCAGGTAAAGCCTCTCCTTCACCACAGTTCTTTCCTCAGTATAAGTTACTAGCATAAATGTCTGTGCATTAACAGTTCATCTTATGAATGAAGTTCTAGAACAATGGGGACCTGAAAAGGTAAGAATATGCCTCTTGAGGCTGGAAAATATTAGTTCATTCCTTCAACAGATACTTAGGTAGTATCTAAAATGAAAATGGATGTCTATGAAGCACTAATAATAATGGATTTAAGAAGTGGTTCTCCAGAATGGCTATTTCAGTGTCCCCAAAATGCCTGAGCCAAATGCCTAATAACCATCTCTCAAGCATCCTACAGAAGACAAGCAGGCCTACTCTGACACTTTCCCCTCCTCTAGGTCATGCTTCTCTGTTTACATGGTTCCAGAGAGCTATGTTTATTTCCTTCAGAGCCTTACAGGATTTGCATTCATTAAACACCTTTTTGGGAAGTGACAGAGACTAATGGTTAAGAGCATAGTCCTCAGATCAAATTGCTCTAAGTTCACATCCCAGCTCTACTTCTTACTAACACTAGGCTCTTGAGCAAGATCTTAGATCTATGCCTTAATTATAGTGGTGTGCTGGTAAACTAGATCTTTAAGAAAAAAGAAAGCCCTGATTTGTTTCTATTGTGTAAATACTCCTCCCACATCTGATTTCACTAGCCTGTTCCAATTGGCTCCAGCACACCACTATATGGGGTAAGCTGCCACATAGATAACTTGGAGATAGTATAATAGTACTTAACTCACAAGGTTGTTGTGAAGATTAAGTAAATATATGAGGCATTTAGTACAATGGTAGCACATGGTAAACACAATTTAAGTGCTATTCTTATTGTGTGATAACTTGGTTAATATTAGCTTCCTTAATCAACTTTGAAATCCAAAAGGCCCAGACTTATGTTTCTTTTGCTTATCTTTGTCTCCCCAAAGTACAGCACAGTATCTGGGACATAATAGGCCCTAATCAAACATTTGATCAATGAATAAATGCATAAGTGAAAGATATTTTTGTACCAAATGAAAAGAGAGATCAAGTGACTTCTAAAATTCCTTCAACATCCAAGACTCAATGACAAGGAGGAGCCTCATGGGACAGAGGCTCCAGAGGGGCAAGATTCTGTTCCTCACTGGCCGTGTGACTTTTGTGTCCATGAGCTTTGGAGTGTGCAGAAAATCTGGCTCAAGTCTTTATTCTATTACTTATTATCAGGGTATACTCTGGAATCTGTATAACCTCTGTAAGGTTAAGCTTCCTCATTGAAAATGGGGCTATTAATACCTAAATCATGGACTGCTGGGAAGCTCAATGAGGTGATGGAAAGTATAAGCCTCAACTACCCAAACATCAAATGAGGAACTGGATGACATGATCAGAAGATCCCCTCCATCTCCCAAAGTCCATGCCACGTTTCTATTTAAGAGTCCCATTTAGAACGAATGTCAGTGTTAGAGATACTGCCTATTCATTTGATCCTAACTTATCTTTCAGACCTTATGCAAGGCCAAATATTCCTATAGCATCTTGAGCAACCCCAACCCGAGTGACTACGTGCTTTTGGAAGAGGTGGTGAAAGACACTACCAACAAGAAGTCTTCTGTCCTGAAGTCCTCTCAGCGGGTCCTTTTGGATCAGGAGTGTGTGTTTCAAGCCCAAAGCAAATGGAAAGGTGCAGGAAAATTCATCCTTAAGCTAAAGGAGCAGGTGCAGGTAATACTTAAAGTTATTTTGCTCTCTTCATACATTATTTGATATTAATAATCACATCGTAATCAGATTTGGGAGCTAGTGAACGCAGGAGAAAGTTCTGAGTCAAGGAATGGAGCCCGGAGAAGATTGTTCGGTTTTGTTTTCCTTGTGTGAAAAAAGATGTGCACCACCACCACCACCACCCCTGCCTGCCCCCACCCCCCCAGGTTAAGCAATCTTGAGATGGGAATACACCAGCCCTTCTTTCCAAAGCTCTATTTACTAGAGAAAGACAAGGAAAGAGCTCTTTCTGACAGTGTCATGTGATTGAGGGCCTTGAATTTAACCTAATACCAATGAAAGGTTCTTTTTCCCCTACAGGCATCCCGAGAAGATAAAAAAAAAGGCATTTCTTTTGCAAGTGAACTCAAGAAGCTCACCAAGTCAACTAAACAGCCCCGAGGACTCACATCGCCTTCTCAGCTCTTGGCCTCAGAAAGTGTCCAAAGTAAGGAGGAGAAATCTGTGGGTGGCTTGTCCTCCAGTGACACAATGGATTATCGACAGTGATCAAGGGCAGCATATTTTACCCAGGTATACAAAGTCGTTGCACCATTCTGAAACAGGGCTCAACTTAAACTACTTTCGAAGGCATAGTTAGCACAGTATCTTTTATATTTTCCAAGAGGATTATGTCCCCCAAAGCCAGGTAGGAATGGTACCTTAAAACAGGCAAAGGGCTCTGAAGATATATGTAACATGAGCTTTTACAATTTTAGGCCTCCTTATTTTGCAGATAACTAAGCAAAGGCCCCAAGAAGGCAACCACCTTGCCCAAAGTACCACAACAGCCTTATTTCATCAGACATAGAACTGTCTTCATTATTAATTATTAGTAAGTCACATGTACATTCTTCAAGGGCTCTGTGGATCATTCAGCCTTCACTCTTTTGGATTTCCAGTTTTATGTGGTCTAATTTAGATTTGATTTAGCCTTAACAACTTCATGTCCTCTGCCTCAATTAAAAAAATAAAAATCTGGCATCAAGGATGTGTTAAAAGAAAACAAAATAACAACATCCATCTCAAAAATGTAATAAATCAAGGGCTTCAGTTGCCAGCCCACAGCTTAGAATTTACATACAGAGTAAATTTCATTCAATCTGAAAGCAAATTATTTATATGGGACCTATAAAAGCATGTCCAAACATAAGTTTCTTTTCACTTAGTTTCTTAATGAACCGAAGGGATCATTAAAGTCCACTTTTCCCCTGTCCTGTTGTAGTTCTAAGACTTTGAATTCATTAGAGACCAGCAGCATAGTGAAGGCATTGTTGCTTATACTACAGAGCTTCACCATCTGTCTTTATCACAATCAGGAATTTTTCATATAATATTGCAAAAATTGAAGAAGCTCACAAAGAACTCACTGATACCTCTTGACAGAGCCAGATTTGATTTATAACTCCAAGACAAACCAAATACATTGAGACCATGTTTCTACATTTAAGGAGCAACTCCTAAAATAATTGGTGCCCCATACTATGCTTGCAAAACTCTTTCAAAATAACAGGCAAGGCCAGATACAGAAAAGTATCCCCTCCAAATATCAACATTGGTGTTTAGTCATAAAACTCGCTTGGTTTTTGGAAGAGGCACTAATTCCAAGAGATCCTGTATGCAAAGACTCATGAGAAAGAAATCTCACTACTATAGTAACAGTCCACATCACATAGCATCAGATAATAGTATGGGTAGATTAATGAAGCTCTGAGGAGGTTCAGCACCCTTTTTCTGTTGAATACATCTGGTATATCAACTTTTAAAGTTTGAGACTTTCTTTTCTGCCCCAGTGTTGCTAAAACAATCAGTGCCTCTTCCAAAAACCAAGCGAGTTTTATGACTAAACACCAATATTGAGCATCTCCGCCTTTGAGAAAATGACTCACCATGGTAGTGGATCTGTGACCAAACCATTAAGGACAGTGATCAGAATTTAAAATATTATTTTCCATATCTAGAACTTAATATCAAATAAATCATAGGTGTGATATTATATATACCTCTATAACTTCGGTAATGACAGAGTGAAATTACACTAAGGCTGGTAAATTGGTCACATACTACTCTACACATGAAGAGCCCTCTGTGTACTATAAGATCATATTAAGTACATTAGAATACAACTCCACTAGAAATTGGAATTAAAAATAATATGTATACTATAATGGAGCCATGCACAGTGGCTCACGCCTATAATCCTACACTCTGGGAGGCCAAGGTGGGGAGTTCTCTTGAGGTCAGGAGTTCCAGACCAGTCTGAGCAAGAGTGAGACCCCCATCTCTATTGAAAATAGGAAAAATTACCTGGGCAACTAAAAATAGAAACAAAAAATTAGCCAGATGTGGTTATAAACACCTATAGTCCCAGCTACTCAGGAGGCTGAGGCAGGAGGATTGCTTGAGCCCACGAGTTTGAGGTTGCTGTGAACTAAGCTAATGCCACGGCATTCTAGCCTGGGCAACAGTGAGACTCTGTCTCAAAAAATAATGATAATATATGATACGTATACTATAACAAACATTGCTAATTGCTTCTATTGTAGGAGAATGCGGGAGGGTGACACTGATTTAGATGATTACCTTTGGATTCAATTTCCCTATAGCAAGCAGACTTTTAGAATCATTCAGTTGACTTCACATTGCTTAAAGTTGGGGAAGCTCATCTTTCAAAACTGCCATTGGTGTATCTATGGGGATTTACATCCCATGTTATGACCTCCTTTACAGTGGTGGGGGGGCCTTTTTGTATATATTTTAAGAAAATAAGTGTATTTTTGCTACTTTCTGAGTTACATATTTCATGTTATTTGTTATAAAATAATGATTATTTCTAAAGTTTCAATAATAATAACTTAAGAATTTCTAAATAAGTAAATATTCATCATACTCTTCTCTGAATACATATTTAATTGAAGAAATTCCACCTTTTCTTAAAGTTGAATGATTTATTTGAATGTGATTAAAAAAAAAAAAGACTTTCCAAGGAATCTAGTGATCCAGGGCAGAAATAGTCTAATGTTCTACCTCCCAAGAACACTATGTTCTAACATTGTGAGTTCAAAACAAACAGTCTCTTCCCCAAACTCAGCCACCAGAGCTATAGGTTTCTGTTGGTCGAACCCTTGCTATACTGTAAATGTTTCTGTTCTTCATTTTCAACATACTAATAAGCCTATGTATACAACAATTACAGGTGAAGATCTTTCAGCAAGAAGTTAAAGTCAAGCGTGAACATGGTGGAGACAAATATAATGTACTTATTTTCATTAGACTTTAAACTGGAAACTGATGATTTTGGAACTGAAGTCCTCTTCACATGTGAGGAGCATGCTGAGGACAACCAAAACGGCACAGGGCTAATAAGCTACCAAACAATTGATGAATGAAGCAAAGAAGCCCAGGAGATTGACATTTTACAAGTTGCAGCAGTTGGAATAACCATCCCTAAGCTTGTAATAATTAATTTAGAACAAGGGTCAACACTTTTTGCCTGTAAAGGGCCATTTGGTCTTTGTTGCAACTGAACTCTGCCATTATAGTACAAAGCAGCCACAGGCAATATGTACATGAGTGAACGTGGCTGTATTCCAATAAAACTTTATTTATAGACACTGAAATTTGAATTTCATATAATTTTCACGTTACAAATAATCTTTTGATTTTTTTAATCATTTAAAAATATAAATACTATTCTAAGTTTAAGGGCCATACAAAAATAGGTAACAGGCTGGATTTGGCCTGAGGGCCTGACTTAGAGAACTGGGAACAACAAGAGGCACAGAGGTCTGAAAACAAGAAAGCTAGTTTAGCCATATATTTTATGGCCGAGAATTGGAAACTTGGGCATTGTAAATGTGAATATGTCCCATAAGATTCATTAAAAGCAATTCAATTTAGTTCCTATGTTGTGTACCATAGTGCACTCTTCTTTAGGATTTCTTTTTACATATAGAAATATTTGTTTTTTAAAAAGGTCATTGCTTACATATTCACAGATTATTCCATTTTTGGTTTTCACAAAATTAATTTAGAATGATGTATAATTTAGTATCTACTGAGTTGTGGTGTCTTAAGAAACCTAACCATTTTTTAAAAGAAAAGTAGATTGAGTTGGTGTTTAAGGTAAATTTATTTATTTTGCAAGGCTTGAACTGACACTGTACTTACCTATTTATTATACATAGCTTTCTTGATATTGCTATGGATTAGAGGCATTAGTAGTTCTATTTGAAGGCAAACTTCTAAAAGGAAAATATATGCTTTGGACATCTGAAATGGGGCTAGACTTTCATGTACAATAGCTTCATCTTCATTTCTGATTACCTGAAGAGCTAACCACAAATGAAATGATCCAAGTCATATTTGTCATTTAATGTAAATTATTTTTAAAACCTTGCTGTACACTATCAACTAAGCGTCAAGGATTCTTTTTATTCTTGGCATAAAGCAAATTATGACTTTAAAAGTAAAAGATGTATTCCTCTAAAATAAACCCCAAACTTTATCTTTCCATTGGTTTCATTAAATTTTAAGACATTTTTCTTTGAATTATAAAACATACTAAGAATCCTAACCTTTGCTATGAAAAGTTTTTTTTGCTGGTTATAAAAATGAATAAAACAATCCCCATGTCTTCTGCATATTTTAAAAACAGAAGTGTTAAAAATACACCACAGCTTTCATGTCATTAAAAGTTCTGAGTCAAAGCCTTAATACTGGAAGAACTACCACTTTCTTGGTAACAGAATTCAAGCTATACCAGTTTAATGCAATTTGTATAGTACTATAGGTTTCCTTTTAAATCAGTCTGTAACAAATGCACAATGCTGCCCCATTTTAAAAAATATTTTGCAATCACTTTATCAAGCCTCTATAAATTAACTGGCCTAATGGTTTGGCTTACCATGTGTTGAAAACTGACTTACTGATCTAACTGGCTAGAGCCAAAACTGTGCAGAGTAATGAGATGAAAAGCAAGACTGGTCTCTCTAGGTTTATCATTTGGCATTGACACTTTCTAAATTCTGCCCCACATGACTCTCATGGCCTTTAACATAGTTGATTTGGCTACAACACAAATCTGAAAATACCCTGAGACTGAATGTGAGACTATGTTGATTAGCAAATGAGAAAACCCAGCCTATTGCCTAAGTCGCATCCCAACGTGGTCATATATCACATTTTGAGGTAAAAGTACATAATTTATTATATTTGTGTCTTTGGGATTTTAGGAAGGACACACTGCTTAAAAATATAAAGGGTCTACTCTACTTGTATATTACAAATGCCCAGCACAACGTGATGTTTGCTGAAAATTTTAATGCTTATCTGAATTATACAGCTGTATTAATATACAAAATGAAAGAAATTACCCAAAATAGCCACTATGGCTATACACACTCATTACCATTTCATACTTTTTAGGCTATAAGAAATCTGGGTAGCAAACTCTTATCAGTAAAGTTGATATGGAAAGGAATTTAAATATGCAAGCTGGGTTTATTATAATAATTTAAGAAGCAATACTAGGGTAGGCCTGGTGGCACACTCCTGTACTCCTAGCACTCTGGGAGGCCAAGGCAGGAGGATCACTTGAGGTCAGGAGTTTGAGACTAACCTGAACAAGAGTGAGACCCCGTTTCTACAAAAAATAGAGAAATTAGCCCAGCATGGTGACACATGGCCTATAGTCCCAGTTAATTGGGAGGCTGAGGCAGGAGGATCACTTGAGCCCAGGAGTTTGAGGTTGCAGCAGTGAGCTATGATGACACCACTACACTCTAGCTAGGATGACAGAGCAAGTCTGTTTCAAAAAAAAAGAAAGGAGCATGAATTCTGTCCCTCTGTTAGGTGATGCTTTTAAAAATCTATTTGGCAGGCCAGGCGCGGTGGCTCACGCCTGTAATCCTAGCTCTCTGGGAGGCCGAGGCGGGTGGATTGCTCAAGGTCAGGAGTTCGAAACCACCCTGAGCAAGAGCGAGACCCCGTCTCTACTATAAATACAAAAGAAATTAATTGGCCAACTAATACATATATAAAAAATTAGCCGGGCATGGTGGCACATGCCTGTAGTCCCAGCTACTCGGGAGGCTGAGGCAGTAGGATTGCTTGAGCCCAGGAGTTTGAGGTTGCTGTGAGCTAGGCTGATGCCACGGCACTCACTCTAGCCTGGGCAACAAAGTGAGACTCTGTCTCAAAAAAAAAAAAAAAAATCTATTTGGCAAGAAAGAATTAGTGTAAGAATCAAATGTGATATGTGATTCTAGAAGTAATGGAGATTAACTTCCTCTCAGTGGAGATTAACTTCCTGTTCATCTGGAATTGGTTGTTTTGCAAAATAACCTAAGATTCTTGAAGGTGAAAGGGAATTAGGGATACCTGAAGATAAATCTGTAGAAAGTAACAATATTATCTGGACAGATAGTATTTACCCTGTTGAAGGAAAGCCTCTTTTTATGTCATCCTTACTAAGTAAAAGTTACTTACAAATTCTCCCGCTGGGAATAAATCTGGAGTCTAGACTCAAAAGCTGAGTACAAGTGGCTTTTGTTTTTTTTTCAGAGACAAGAGTCTCACTCTCTTGCTGGGGCTAGAGTGCATCAGCCTAGCTCACAGCAACCTCAAACTCCTGGGTTCAAGCAATCCTTCTGCCTTAGCCTCCTGAGTAGCTAGGATTATAGGTATATGCCACCATGTCTGGCTAATTTATTTTTATATATATATATATATATTTTAGTTGGCCAATTAATTTCTTTCTATTTTTAGTAGAGACAGGGTTTTGCTCTTGCTCAGGCTGGTTTTGAACTCCTGACCTTGAGCAATCTTCCCGCCTAGGCCTCCCAGAGTGCTAGGATTACAGGCATGAACCACCATGCCTGGCCAAGTGGCTTGTTTTTAATCAAACTTGCTTTCATAAAAGCCTTCCATCTCAATAGAGAAGCGGGAGGAGAAGCGGGAGGCTCATCAATGAATGTGCACCCCCCCATATGTACTGGTTTCCCTTTTTAAATTACTTCTTCCCCTTCCTATACCTCTACAGACCTCTCGTCCTCTGCCCAGACACCCACACGCCTTAATTCTGAAAAATAATAAGGGCTTGCTCACCAGTCCAATAAGATTGAATTAACTCCAAAACACAAAGTTACACAACTATGCTTCCATGCCAATAAAGAAGAGTAGGATTTTATTGCCTGATGTCTTTGATCTTATATTGGCAGAGTAAGAGGCAGCCTATAGGGAAAGTGCTCCCAAGGTAGCAGTTTGACACTTCTTCAGTTGCTTCTCTCAAATCAGTAGTAAGACCAGCAAAAGTGAATACCTGAGCCCCCCAAAACATCAGAAAAGGGAGATTGCCTCTTACGTAAAATCCATAACTTGGGTCAACATTTCCATGGTCTGTTGTTAATAATTTATGTGTTCTCTGCATCTCTATGTATCAACTTCCTAAAAGCAATTCTTGGCTGATGGCTAAGGATTTTGACATATGAATACCTAAAATAAGTTATATTTGAATTACATACTGAATCTTCATGATTACCAAGCTATTCTTATATATCTCTTAGATTCAAAACAAACGAAGCCCATGCCTGCCACCAAGCAGTCCTCTGAAACTTTCCCTACTTCAGAGGAAACAGGACTCTAAACTTTTGAAATAATTCATTCTGATACTGACCTGGGTAATGTTGCATTTTTTAAGTGTTGTATGAATGATTTATGAAAGATCACAGAAGACTGAGGCTATGTCTTACACTCATTATTACCCCACGTCACTTTTAAGTGACTAGCATAGTGCTAAGTACGTAACAGGTGCTCAATATTTGTCTAGATAAAAAGAAAAAAAAAAATTAAAGCTGTAGCTTAGTATAGCCTCAGTATGTATGTGTTTTTGTATGATCGCTAATGACTACAACATTTAGTTCTGAAAATAAAATTTTCAAAACTAAATGTATGTTTTTGTATGATTTTACTAATGACTACAACATTTAGTTCTGAAAATGAAATTCACCAATATAAGGTTATATAAGTTAATGCACAAATATATTTCATCCTCAAATTCACATAGGATATTCAGATACGTAATTTTATGGTCCTACTGCCCCGAGTCTCTATTTTAACAAGAGAGTTACAAGCATAACACAGGCATGAAATAGCTAATCAATTTCCATTTTTAAACTGATTTTTCACCTTAACTAGTCTCTGCTGCCAAACTGAGGTACAAATGTATTTGTATATGTTTGGAAAATAAACGATTTATGACATGTATTGGTCACTTGTGCTCTGATGGGGACAGACCCTTTGGTTAGCTACACAAATATTAATAACATTCCCAGATTTTGTTTTATATCTAAAAGGTGAGTTAAAAGCAAATCTTAAACGTCAAATTATACCTTTCCCATTAAAAAAAATCAAGCCAAAAAAGTTTGACCTCAGAAACACTTTTAAAAATCTCATGTAAGAATATGCTAAAAGCATATTTTGTTAAGCAGATATTCCCCCACTCTAGTGGAATGGTAAAGGAATTTTCTATTTTAATTTACTTCATCAGAAAAAAGAGCTCTAAGCTCCAGGCCAAAATAATTGACTTCTGTGGCTTTGAAGCAATAAGGGATCTAGTTGGACTGTTGTGTTATGTTTTTAAAAAATTCCTTCATCACAAAAATAGGAAGCAGAGAAAACAGCTGTTTTATTCAACTATTCACAGTAGAGAATATTTATAACCTGGTCACTGAAACATGCATTTCTTAGGCCATTCCTAGAATATGGGAGTAGCTGTTGCATAAAATACTGCTTTATAATTATTAAAAAAAAAAAAAAGCACATTTTACCTGTTGGGGGCACAGGGGAACCCCTCACTGGGTACCCTTTGTCCCTAGAACAGAATGGTAAAATCTTGGACTTGGTTCTTCTGCCCTGGAGCAATTCTTCCCCCATCACCCTCCAGTTCATGTAAGAATATGCAAAGAATTTCAAATATATTCAAATCACTTTCAAACTTTCTTTGGAAGTAGCCACAAAAAACACTCATCCTTTTTTAAAAAGGTCAAATTAGCTTACTTCTAGAGGTGTATTGGCAAGAGCTAATAATCCTAAGTCCAATTTCAAGCTACTTTTTTCCTCAAAAATCATCATAAAAATATATTCACTCAAATTTAAAATGTTTCTTGTTTCCATCTGTAGTGTTGAAATAAAAATAATATCTATTTAGTTAAAAAGAGTAGGTAAATGATAAAAAGTATTCTCAATGGTCTTGATTTTTCTATGCTCTATGCCCTAATTTTAATATAGCAACTGAATTTCAGTAAGATCCAGTCCAAAGATTTTGTTTTTTAAACTGTACAACTTATATATTTTTTAAACATATAACTTAATATGTACATGAAGTTTTAAAAACCCAGCATCTTACTGAAAAAAATTTCCAAATATTGGGGGGAAAATGGCTTTCAATCTCCTTAACGAAATGACATTTTCAGAATTGGGGCAGAACCCTGTGCCATAAAAAGGGTAATTCTTCCTTCCCTTCCTAATCATTCTTAAGGAGCTTTTCTTGTATAAAAAGAAAAGGTCCTAAGTTAATAACTCATCTTTATGTGAATCTGCATACACACATATATACAAGAAAGTCCACTGGCTCTTCATTCTTCTACTGTAGTGATGTTTCCAAATATTTGGCAAAATCCAGAGGCGACTGTGTAACAACCTCATTGCAATGTCTGTTGATTAGTTGATTTAAATCTTCATTCAAAAATGAATCCCCTTGTAACACTTTACTCTGGAAAAATATTAAAGTACAAGGTACAAGTTACGCATGCCATAAGCAAAAGCCAAGGTGTGAGCAAAGTTGAAAATGACAATAGCTGACAACATAATAATGACAGATGTTTGTTCAGATCTTGGACATATTCTATGTTGAATGAACAGTCTCATGACCATCTCTGAAGATTCCAACCCCATGCATCCATCCTACTATCAACTCCTAAACATTAAAAAAAAAAAATCTACCTATAAAACAATAAAGCAAAAGCTGGAGTTAGAGTTACTGAGAGATATTAATTTAGTTTTAATTTTCTCTTTTAAAAAAATGAAAACTATCACATACCTTCATTTTGGGGTTTGAAGATTCAACAGGAGGATTGAATGTCATTGCTGCCATGCTATAGGCCTCAAAAAGTTCAGCAGCAGATCTATAATCACAAATGTAAAAACTGTAAAGATACCACCAAATCTGTATAACTCAAAACAATTAGATTATACCTGGAGAATGACTAATTATTCTAAATCCATATATTAAGGATCAAGCAACCCACTCACTTAAAAGAAATCCTAAATTCCCATGTAATGTCAACATTATCCAACAAAATCCACCTCAGAGAGGTCTGGTATACATTTAGAAACATAGGCAAGGAGCACAGAGAGAAAGCTAAGCCAAAGAACCCCAATTCAGTGTAATCAAATCTTCAACCACAGTTATATGAATCATATGCAACCAAGTCTAACTTAGTCATGGCAGCCAAAGGAGTGAAGCATGGAGTTACCCTTCACGGACTTCAAACAGAGCTCAACCCTTTAGCTGTTGGTCTAGATGAAAAACAAGGAGAGGCCATTCAGAACAGACTACACATCTATATCCATGGCATGTAAATGAATCCTCAACAATTTGGGATTAATTCATATTCTCCTGAGGAGATGGGCAAGGGCCTACAAAGATTGTGATTAGGCTCACATCCCAAGCTCCATTCTTCAGAAGGTCACTATGAGTCTCCTTTCTCAAGCCATTGAGATAAACCCATTCCTTATCTTTCTCTAGAAAAGGAAACATCTGGCATAAAAGAGGCAAATGTTCAAGATGGCTAAGGGAAGTGTGCTAGAAACTGATCATTAAAAAGAATGACAAAGAACTTTTTTCTCCTTTTCAAAAACAAGGGTGGGATAAGGATGGGGGACAGGTGGGAAGTCAGAGGGAAGGAAAAGGTAAGTGGCCATTTTATTCAGTAACATCAAACGTTATTTCTATCCTACCCAGAGAAAGGGTTTATGGAAAACTGTAACATTCATGCCTCATGTAGAGGGGCAGCAGCTGACTTACTGCCTATAAAAATACAAGCTGCTGTTACCAAATCTCCTAGCATTTCAAGAGAAGCTGGAAATAAATTTTAGGTGAATTCTTCCAATATTTAAAAGACAGCAACTAATTCAATTTTTGTTCAAACTCTCAAGAGGCCAGAAAATCAGCCTGACCCACGTCACTTATCTGTGATCTCTGAAATAAAAAAACCAGTGGGCTTGCAAGGGAAAAATCTACAGCAAAACGTTATTTCTGAGTGGTGAGTACATCACAAGGTGGTATGGTCTGAACGTGTCTCCTCCCAAACTTGTGTTGAAACTGAACAGGCCCATGTGATGGTATTAAGAGGTGAGGACTTTAAGAGGTGATTAGGTGATGAGGGCTTCTCCCTCCTGAATGGGATCAAGGTCTTTGGCCCTGTTCCACTTGTCCCTTCTGCCACATTAGGACCGTGTTTCTCCCCTCCGTAAGATGCAGCAACAAGGTGCCATCTGGGAAGCAGACAGCAGCCCCCACCAGTCAACTAAACCTACTGGTACCTTGATTTTGGACTTTCCAGCCTCCAGAACTGTGAGAAAGTAAATGTCTGTTCTTTATAAATTACCCAGTCCCTGACATTTTTATAGCAGTATAAATGGACCAAGACACCATGGTATCTTTCATACTATTTTCTCCTCTTTTCTGTATAATTGAAGTATTTCCTAAAGTCAGTTTTTCAATTTCCAAAATGAAAAAAAGAGTTCAGTTAGCTGGGCATGTTGACACCTGCCTATAGTCCCAGCTACTCAAGAGCTGAGGCAGGAGGATCCCTTGAGCCTGCAAGTTCAAGGCTACAGTGAGCTATGACTGCACCACTGCACTGCAGCCTGAGCAACAGGGTGAGACCCTGTCTCTGCTGGAAGTACGCATCCAAGCTTCTTGTAGGTCAGAAGATACTCCTGGAAGGGCGACCCTGGTGCCCCTCTGGGTGGCAGTGTTCCAAAGCACCTCTTTTCTTCTGTCTTCTCATTTTCTCCCTTTCTTGCCTAACAGGATCATTCAAAAAAAAGACAAAACAAAAAGAAAGGAAAAAGAGGAAGCAAGGAAGCTCACCTTGGTTGTCTTGTGGTTTGTCTTTATATATATAAAGCAAATATGATATCTTATTAATTGTTGAACCTGGGTAATGGTGGGCATTTGGGAATTCACTATACTAGTCTTTCTACTTTTTTATACTTATCACACTTTTCATGATTTAAAGAAATATTTTAGGTGATTATCAAAACTAATAAAATCACAGCCAGCATGTTTTCCCTTTAAAGCAATTCAGAAATATGAAGTGAGACCAAATCCAGATACCCAACTGGCACTTTACATTTTGTAATATACTGCTTTATAAAACAGACTCTCATAGTAATGGCTATCAGGTGAATGCTGTAGTTTTAGAACAAGGCAATGCTACTAAATACTACCTTCGACTCAACTCCGGTTTGAGTGCTTCAGAGCCCTCAGAAGGTGCTCCAGCGATCAGGTGAGATGCAAATCTCTGCACTACGGGATGATAATGTCTCTGAAGAAGAAACAAGTCAACCATATTTGAAACAGATCAGTACTTCACAAAACACTAGCTACAGCAAAGATTTTAACAAAATTAAACCATTTAAATAAATAAATATATATATATATAGTACAGTATATGTAATTCATTAGAACCACATACCTACAGAAAGAATACTATCTTTGTTCATGGGATTGAAACACAAATCTGTTTGATGACCAAGTTATTAGTGACATAGCTTAATCTTGTTTTTACAGTATAAAAAGAAAAGCAATTTCTATTTCAGAGTGAAAAAAGTTAGTTTACAACAGGTTACCTGACACTTATATTTTCTACACATCCCATTCTAATGCTGTCCATAATGTATGATCATTATACAGGTGAAAACATCTTGAAACTGGGCCTATTGAAGTATCCTTTGATAGGACTCAATACAAATGTACCTGATAACAAATCCTCTTCTATTCTGAATAGTGTTAGGGAAAGATTTCAATGAGTTCTCCATAAAATGTCATTTTCTGCTTCCTTAGAAAATGTACTTAAAGCTTAAAGAACAGTAAAAGCAAAATAAAATGTAGCATATTAAAACAGGAAATCTAAAAAAGGCAGCCCCAGAACAAAATATGTAACATAACTAAGTATTCTGGCAATAATAAGTATTAAGAGAAAAACTGAAAAAAAATCACTCACATACCAAACCAACCAACCCACCCACCCAGGACTCCTCTTACCCGCAGTGCATGCAATTCCCACAGCGCTGTGTTCTGAGCATTACAGTACTCAGGCTCATCCAGCTCAGGGAGGAAAACCCCACTTCCCTGAGATTCACTGTCAAGTAACAAATCTGTTTTGGGGAAAGTCTGCAAAAATGTCCCATAAAAAGAAGGATTAATTACATTAACATTGTTAATTGGTCTGTGCTTGTGTTTGCATTTAAATTTATGGCTGTATAAGAGTTATAACATCTTCATACCTAGTTTTAATAAAAACAATTTAAATTTATATCACACAAGAGCAAGAATTACAAAAGAATGTTTTATCTTGGCTTGCTTTGAATAGAATTTATTTTATCTTGCAAAAGAAAATGAGAGTATTCTTTTCACCCTGCAATCCCACTTTTAAGGAATCTTTCTTATAGAAATAGTTACATACACGTATAAAGATATTCACTATAGCATCATTTGTAATAGCAAAAAAAGAAATAACCTATATCCATCAAGAGAAACAGAAAGAAGCAAAAAAGTCAGACTGCTTAGATTGGAATCCCACCTCTACCACTTACTAGTAGTACCATGTCCTCTCTCGATCTCAGTTTTCCCATCTGTAAAATGGGAACACTACTAATAGCTATCTCAGAGTCATGAAAATTAAGTGATTTAATTTTTATAAAGCATTGCCAACAGTGGCAGGGACATAGTTAGAACTATATAAGTATTTGTTAAACAAACAACCAAATAAAACTGACAGTCAGGCCGGGCGCTGTGGCTCACGCCTGTAATCCTAGCTCTTGGGAGGCCGAGGCGGGCGGATTGCTCAAGGTCAGGAGTTCAAAACCAGCCTGAGCAAGAGCAGACCTCGTCCTACTATAAATTAAAAGAAATTAAATTGGCACTGAATATATATAATAAAATGTACCTGTGGCATGGTGGCCATGCCTGTATCCCAGCACTCGGGAGCTGAGGCAGAAGGATCACTCAAGCCCAGGAGTTGAGTTGCTGTGAGCTAGGCTGACGCCACGGCACTACTCTAGCCTGGGCAACAAAGCGAGACTCTGTCTCAAAAAAAAAAAAAAAAAAACTGACAGTCATTAAAGAAATAAAGTAATAATATTTGCAGTGACACGAAAATGTGTCTACTACAATTAAGTGCTAAAAAAAAAAAAACTGTAGAGTGACAATGTACAGCACAATCCCTTTTCCATTATAAAAAGGTTGTCTTGTTTGTGGGTGTGTGTAGTATATGTGTTTATACATAATTTTTTTTTTTTTTTGAGACAGAGTCTCACTTTATTGCCCAGCTAGAGTGGTGCCGGGCGTCACCTAGCTCACGCAACCTCAATCCTGGCCAAGCAATCCTCCTGCCTCAGCCTCCCAAGTAGCGGGACTACAGCATTTCCACATGCCCGGCTAATTTTTTTGTATATATATATATATTAGTTGGCCAATTAATTTCTTTTATTTATAGTAGAGACGGTCTCGCTCTTGCTCAGCTGTCGAACTCTGACTCGAGCAATCCGCCCGCCTCAGCCTCCCAGAGAGCTAGGATTACAGGCGTGAGCCACCGCGCCCGGCCTATACATAAATTTTTAAAAATTAATCTGGATGGATACCCACCTAATGGCACTCTAGGGGAATGTCAATAGCTATACAATTTTATACTTTTATGTACTTTCCCTTTTATAATTTTATGTACTTCTTGTGTCACCTGATTTTATTATAAGTATGAATTACTTTTGTAATTAAAATGATAACATAAAACGGGAAAAAAGACACACATGAAACAGAATAATCATCTATTCATCTGTATCACTACTCACATGCATTAATATTCTGGTAGTTGCCAAAATGCCAATACTTGAATTTGGAAGAACATGAAGAGCGAGGGTACAAAGGCGCTTGATGAAGGCAAGGGCTCGCTGCTGAGAAACTTGCTTTCGGCGCTTAGTCAGCATGACATCAAGGCACTGGAGTACCGTCTCAATACCTTCATTGGTAGCACCTAAAACAGCAGACATATTCTTCAAGGCTGTTCTCATTACTTTTTTATCATGCAACTGCACTGAACTCCAGAAAAACCCAAGATGAACTGCTGTACTGTCCCAAACCATTTCCCTATCCAATAAGGTAATGCCATACTGCTAAGGAGATGCAGTGGGCTATATTTACTGCATCTCCAGTCAACTCCAAAAGTTCCCTCTCTCCAAGTCTTACCTAAGATTAATACAGATGCATGGCACTGGCAGACCACATGTTCTGTACCAGATCCTATTTCTCATTTGTCATTGACTACAATTCTGGTCATAACACATTCTTGGAAGATAAATATGTATTAAGGAAACATTATCTAAACATACATACCTGCATGTAACTTGAACAGTGTTTTGTAGAGATGTGTATAGAATTTCATTGGATCAATATTCAGAACATCACCTTTGAAATGACAGCAAACACCAATTAGGTACGTTATACCTCCAAAGATAAAGCAAACAAAACTTCATTAAGAAAATATCTTATTACCTTGTCCAGAAAGTATATGAAAAGCAGTCTGGACACAGTGAAGACTTTCTTGATAGCTTAGGTCCTTTAAAAAAAAGATATTAAGAATGATAATTTCTATTTATATATATTTTTAAATTTATTTTTTATTTCTGCATATTATGGGGGTACAAATGTTTAGGTTATGTATGTTGCCCTTGCCACCCCCCCAGTCAGAGCTTTAAGTGTGTCCATCCTCCACATGGTACGCATCACACTCATTATGTATATATATATATATACCCATCCCCCCCCATCTGCCTGACGCCTGATAAATGTTATTCCTATATGTGCACTTAGGAGTTTATCAGAGAAAGCAATTTGCTGGTGAGTAAACATGGTGCTTATTTGTCCATTTTGGGGATACTTCACTTAGTAGAATGGGTTCTATCTCTATCCAGGAAAATACAAGAGGTGCTATTTTACCATTGCTTCTTATAGCTGAATAGTACTCCATGGTATACATATACCACATTTTATTAATCCACTCAAGTACTGATGAGCACTTGGGTTGTTTCCACATCTTTGCAATTGTGAATTGTGCTGCTATAAACATTCAAGTACAGATGTCTTTTTTATAGAATGTCTTTTGTTCTTTAGGGTATATGCCCAGTAATGGGATTGCTGGATCAAATGGTAGATCTACTTGTATCTCTTTAAGGTATCTCCATATTGCTTTCCACAGAAGTTGCACTAGTTTGCAGTCCCAATTATCATTTATATCTTTAAAGAAGTAATTCGTTAATAGAGTTTACTTACTCCAGACTCAATGAGAGTATGAAGAACTACTAATAAATCATCAAAAAATTCCACATTTATAAGGTGAGCAAACCTAGAATCAAATAAAACTGAGTTAACAGATAACCTAAAAGCAGAAATAAAGCAGGTAAAAATTAGTCTAGACTTTAAAACTATATTTTTAATATTCCTCATTTCAAATGTTAGCTATGTCGATAATGGCAATTATTGATACTTTTCATTAATTCAGATTGGCCCTTTTGACAATTCAGATACTGTTGGATACTATACTCAGTAGGAATATATGAGGCACTAAACAGACTAAAAATAATTAAAAAATACTTTTGCCCTGAGAAAGAAGTTGCTAAGAGCCAACAACTTCCCTAAAGAAAGTTTACTATGCATCCAGCACTATTCTATGTCATAAAGGAAACAGCGGCATCAGCTTATAAGAAAACAGGTGGTAGGGCTGGGCACGGTGACTCATGCCTATAATCTTAGCATTTTGGAAGGCAGAAAAGGGAGGATCACTGGAGGCCAGAAGTTCAAGATCAGCCTGGGCAACATGGCAGGAGATCTTGTGTCTACAAAAAAATATTTTAAAAATTAGCTATGCGTGGTGGCATAAGACTATAGTCCCATAGTCCCAGCTACTCCTCCAGAGGCTGAGGTAGAAGGACTGCTTAAACCCAGGAGTTCAAAAAAAAAAAAAAAAAAAAGAAGAGGGAAAGCAGGTGGTGGAAAGAGAGAAAGGAGGAAAGAAAGATTCTGCAATTTATAAGAATATGGGCCGGGCGCGGTGGCTCACGCCTGTAATCCTAGCACTCTGGGAGGCCGAGGCGGGCGGATTGCTCAAGGTCAGGAGTTCGAAACCAGCCTGAGCGAGACCCCGTCTCTACCAAAAATAGAAATAAATTAATTGACCAACTAAAAATATATATACAAAAAATTAGCCGGGCATGGTGGCGCATGCCTGTAGTCCCAGCTACTCGGGAGGCTGAGGCAGTAGGATCGCTGAGCCCCGGAGATTGAGGTTGCTGTGAGCCAGGCTGACGCCACGGCACTCACTCTAGCCTGGGCAACAAAGTGAGACTCTGTCTCAAAAAAAAAAAAAAAAAAAATAAGTCAGGATATCTCTTCAATATTAGTGAAGAATTTTTGACCCTAATCTTAGAACAAGCCACTAGACATAATATATTCCATGTGTATTAGTACAACTTTTTGGAAAAGGAACTTGGCAATATTTATCAAAATTTAAAATGAGCATATCCTTTGATCTGGCAATACATGCACACAAGTACATGAAGATATATTATATAAGCATTTCCAGTGCAACACAGGGGACTAACCAAATAAAGTATCACATATCCACAAATGGAGTATTATGAACTTTAGAAGTTATAGGATGCTATACACAGCACAATTCCACTTGTGTGAAAGGCAGGCAGACACATCTGCATACATATACAGGAGGGGGAACTCGTAATTTTAAATTTTACATTCTTCTGAATTATTTGAACTTTTAAAATGAGCATGTATTATTTAAAAAACTTTTTTAAATAAAGGGATTGGACATTAAAAAAACAAACAGCAGGTCATATGCAATCTAGGCATAATTGCTTTTCTGACCAGCCTCTCTTTGAAGATTTTCAAGTTCAAGAACTACAATACCATGCAAGGAAATGCATCCCACGGCCAAATAGCTCCATTCATTAGAAAGCAATTTCTTACGATGAACAGAATTTGCGTTTTTAAAAATCTTCCAGCCACTAGTCTTTTTTCTAACTCTATTTCTAAGGTTGTGCTGTCCAACAATAGTAGTCACTAGCCACGTGTGCCTAAGTAGGCACTTAAAATGTAGCTAGTCCAAATTGAAATATGCTCTGTTAAATATATACTAGTTTTCAAAGACATGTTATGGAAAAAAAGAATGCTAAATATCTCATTAATGCTTAAGACTGCTTGTATGTTAAAATAATTTAGATAAATCTAATTTGATAAAATACATTAAAATTAATTTTACCTGTTTCTTTTTACCTTTTTAATATGGCTAACAGAAAATTTGAAATTGCATATATAGTTCACATTCTATTTCTATCGGATAGCAATGTTCTACAGCTGCAGTCCCCAACCCCTGGGCTGCAACCCACCCCCGGCCTGTTAGGAAACAGACTGTGCATCACTACCTGAGCTCTGTACCATCCTCCCCACTACCCACAATACCCGACTCCCTCAACCCGCGGTCCCTGGTGCCAAAAATGTTGGGGACCACTGTTCTACAGGATACTACCCCAAATAACTGTGGAAGTTATCATGACAACAATTATTCTAGCTAACACCCATGACAAGGTCATCAGTACTGACAGAATATACAAAAAGATCTATCTTAGCAGGAACAGATTACACAGAACTAGAGAAATGATGTGCAGCTAGATTAAAATAGATTTAAAGAGTCATTTACATGATCCACTCAAACTATAACAGCTGGATGCAGTAGTTCACACATATAAGCCCAACACTTTGGAAGGCCAACACAGGAGGATAACTTGAGGCCAGGAGTTCTAGTTCAAACTATAACGATGGATAACTGACTACACAGTGCAAAAGGAACCAAGAACAAGAGATGAACCTTGGAGACACCCAGAATTTGGTAACCAGAAGGAGCAGTTAATAAAGGAGATTTTAAAAATAAAATGTTTGAAATGAGAAAACCAAAAAAGCCAATCATTATGAACAGTTTCAAGGAAAGACTTGTGACAAATAAAAATTAATGAGAACTGAGGACAATAAATGGGTTATGATTAGTGAACCCTATTTATTGCTTCTTGGCCTTTTAACTAAGATTAGGTGTACCCTATTTAAAATTCATGGTTACTTTGGTCTTATCTATTTAGAAAGAACCTAAAAAGTTTCAACCTACACAGCCCTTACTTGGCAAGACCTTCTAGAACTGCTGGCAGAAGAGGTGACCTCTGGGCCTTCTTCAATATTCTGAAGTAAGTTACAAACACAATATTCAGAGTCTCTGTGTGCTGGCAGAGGAAATAGACAAAATGACTTTAGAATAAGCTGGAATGCTTTCTTCTGAGTTAGCATAACTATGACTTCCAAAGTGTAACCTTCTTTTATCCCTTCCCACCCCTCCCCACAATTCAATCTATGGAACTTTAATAAAATAAAGATACACAACCTGTGATTTCATAAAACTAGCACTGATCACATTATAGCTTCTTGCGCATCACAAAAATCACACATCTAAATCTCATAAATAAACCAAAATTACATAACTACAAGTTGAAACATTTCTAGTTAAAATCATTTAAAAAACATTTTTAAAGCATAACAGAATGTAAAACCACCCACAAGTTTAAGTTTTTTCTCAGTACTCTCTGAAGCTTCTGCCTCCCGAAGCTCTCGTTCTAGTTTCTCTTCTGCTTTCTTCCACTGAAAGAAAAAAAAAAAATCTAACAGTATATATACCACTGAAAAGAGCAGAGGCAGAATATGTAAATATTATAAAACACATACAATACCACATATTGTCTATGAATGCCAATAAGCAAAAGGAGAAAAACATAGATAAAAAGTATACACAAACCGGCCGGGCGCTGTGGCTCACGCCTGTAATCCTAGCTCTTGGGAGGCCGAGGCGGGCGGATTGCTCAAGGTCAGGAGTTCAAAACCAGCCTGAGCAAGAGCGAGACCCCGTCTCTACTAAAAATAGAAAGAATTATTGTCAACTGATATATATATAAAAATTAGCCGGCACGTGGCTCATGCCTGTATCCCAGCTACTCGGAGGCTGAGGCAGAAGGATCACTCGAGCCCAGGAGATTGAGGTTGCTGTGAGCTAGGCTGACGCCACGGCACTCACTCTAGCCTAGGCAACAAAGCAGACTCTTCCAAAAAAAAAAAAAAAAAAAGTATACACAAACCTAATTAATGATGGTGGCTGCCTTCTTGGGAAGGAGGCAGAAGAATGAGATGGAGAGAGAAACATTTGGGATTTTTACTCTCTCACCAATTTCTTTCTTTCTTTTCAGGGATAAAATAAGTCTATTAACATTTGTTCATCATGAATGGTGGATACATGGGATATATTATTATTTTCTATAATTTCAATTGAAATTTTTCTTTTCTTTCCTTTTTTTTGAGATAGAGTCTCACTCTGTTGCCCAGGCTGGAGTGCAGTAACATCACCTCAAAGTGGGCTGGGCTCAAGCAATCCTCCTTCCTCAGCCTCATAAGTAGCTGGGACTACAGGTATATGCCACTATGCTCAGATGATTTTTCTATTTTTTGTAAAGACTGGGTCTCATTCTGTTGCGTAGGCTGGTCTCAAATTCCTGGCCTCACGTGATCCTCCTGCTTTGGCCTTCCAAAGTGCTGGGATTATAGACATGAGCCACTGTGCCAGGCAATCAATCAAAATTTTTCAAAAAAGAATAAACAAAAAGAACATGTTGAGCCAAAAATAATTCCTAGTGCTAAATCACCTATAACATGGAAGACAATCATCAATACTTCCTAATCACATTTACATATAATGCATAAAACCAGATACCATATAGAAATTCAATAAATAAAATAACCATTTTTCCCCATGTCCCAATGCTGTAAGAGGAGCAAACAATGGTTGCTAAGCTACCTGAGGCACACGGGACTGACTGAAGAATAGTTTCCTTCTCTCATGAGAAGATGTTAAAGGCTGCCATGTTCTTAATGGGTCTTTATTTCCCCACCAAGCTGTATACTGGCTGTTCCTAACAGATATTCAACTTATATTAGGATAGTATAAATAATTAAAATATTTACCTTCATTTGTTTATGATTATTAAGTCTATTTTGATACTTCTGAAACTCATGAAAACATGAGTTTTCAAAATTTATTACACCCAAAGATGAATACCCCTGGAAATTATGTTTTTTGTTTTGCTTTTACAAGCAACTTGATAACTCTAATAAATTGTTTAGAAATGTTTTAAGACATGATAATAAGAATAAAAATGATGGTAGTGGTAGTAACAACTAATGTTTATAAAGCATACCCAGTGTTATGAACTCTAGATGCTTTACATACATAATCTCGTGTAAGCTGCACAATGACCCTGTAGGGTACGGTAGGTACTATTATTAGTCCCATTTCTTAAAAAAATAAAAAAGGAAAAAGTAGAATGTTGCCAAAGTCTCAAAATAAACAAGGGGCTGGAATTTCAACCTAGGTTTAAAATATAAACCAATAAAGAAACATGATTCAATTAACAGAAACTCACTTTGCTGCCAAATTCACATGAATGAATCCTTTCTGTTAAGGAAGGATTCTGTGTATCACAATTCTAAACTGATCTAAAAGGTCAGCCTGTCAAAAACGTCTTTCCTTTCTTTGCCAACAATTATCAGTCCCAAATGATTTAAGAAATCATTTCTTTGCAGTAACTGGGAAAAGTAAAATTCTCTAAATATTAGATTTTGAAATTCTTATATTTATGATTTAACTATATTTACCTGTGGCTATACTATGATTTTAATCTAAGATTAAATGAAACAAACAGAATATTTAAATGCAACAATAAAGAAAACAAGTCAAACCTTTCTCTGCATTCTTGATAGAGTTTTTCTCTTTTCCTTGAAAGTCATGAACCTTTTTGGCTTATTAATGTCCTCTGTATCTTTTTTCACTTCTACTTCCTTGATTCTTAGGCACAAAAATGTTTTTAACATCTAATATTTAAAAAAAAACAAATACACATTTTAATATTTATACCGCCCTCAAATACTTTATATTGAAAAATAAGCACTTAACAATGTTATTTCCTTCATTAATGCAAAAAAACTTTGAAACATCTTTTATCACATTTTACGCAAAGTTCTCTTTTTGCTAATCATATTCAGGACCTTGTATCTATGAAAGAACACTAGGTAAATACACAGAAGGACATTAGTAAATACAAGCTAAATATACAAAACTCTGTTTGCAGTTTAATGAGTATAAAGGAAGAGAGAACACATTACTTGACATTGGTGCACAGGACTAGGACGAGTTAAACAGACCAGAGAAAGGTCTGGACCAGAACCAAACCTGCTTCACATTTGCAGTTAATAGCACTAGTCTTCATCCTTTTCTCCTAATAAATAGTAACATGAAGACTAGTGTTAGCAATTTGAAGACAACTTATTTTCTTTTAAGCCAATGGTTCTCCAACTTTAGCAAGCATCAGAATCACCTGGGAGGCTTGTTAAAACACAAATTGCTGGGGCCCACCTCCAGAGTAGCTCTGAAGTGGAGGCCCAGACATTTGTATTTCTAATTCCCAGCTGATATTGATCCAGGGACCAAAATAACATGTATTGGCCTAAGCCCTTCAAAAATTCAGAAACTATTATGTAATTTGGAAATTGGTATTTTGTGTGTTACAGCAACCAGTCTCATATTCAAACACAAAAAACAAAAGTGGTTCAAAACCCTATACTTTCTCTGGAATAAACCACCCTACTGACCTCCTGCATGCACAGCAGCATTCCTGGAACAAAATCTTGAGAACTACAGGTTTGTATTATTTGGATGTTCCAATATGCACATTTGGAAGAAAGCTGAGTATTTTGGATTACAGAGCTAAAAGCACAGAATGAAAACAAAGAATAACTAAAGGCATAAAGAGTGAACTTGAAGTCATTCTAAGTATCAGAAAGATCAATTTCAAATATTTTGTAGGTATTCTATGTGGTCATGAAATATCACCCACCAATGAAAAATACCTCCAAATTAAAGGATGTAGTTTTTCTTCTAGCATCGCTAAATCTAAGAGTTTCCTTATGGCTGAGTTTCATGTTCAAGCCTTATCATCTGAACATTCTATGATTCTGAATAAAGATTCTGAATAAAGATTCTGAATATTTTCTGTTCCTTAAGCCCAATATTTATAATTTTAGTGACTCAAATTAAGTCATCACTTTTAAGGAATGAAAGGGATTTGATGAGCCGGGCGCAGTGGCTCACGCCTGCAATCCTAGCTCTCTGGGAGGCCGAGGCAGGCGGATTGCCTGAGATCAGGAGTTTGAAACCAGCCTGAGCAAGAGTGAGACCCCCACCTGTACTATAAATAGAAAGAAATTAATTGGCCAACTAATACATATAGAAAAAATCAGCCGGGCATGGTGGCACATGCCTGTAGTCCCAGCTACTCGGGAGGCGGAGGCAATAGGATTGCTTGAGCCCAGGAGTTTGAGGTTGCTGTGAGCTAGGCTGACGCCACAGCACTCACTCTAGCCTGGGCAACAAAGTGAGACTCTGTCTCAAAAAAAGAAAAAAAAAAAAAGGGATTTGATGACAAAGGACTGTGAAATTAGGAAATAAAACAGTAGAAAATATCAGCTTAACAATCAATACTATATTACTAAAAATAAGTTTAATAAAATTATCTATGACCTAAATGAAGAAAACTATACAACTGGACTTAAGTCTCAGCCAAGGATGGTGGCTCATGCCTGTAATCCCAGCACTTTGGGAGGCCAAGAGTTCGAGATTGACCTGGGCAACATAATGAGACCTGATCTCTACAAAAACCTTTAAAAAATTAGCCAGGCATGGTAGCGTATGCCCATAGTTCTAATTACTTCAGGAGGCTGAGGCATGAGGATTGTTTGAAGCCCAGGAATTTGAAGCTGCAATGAGCTATGATCACACCACTGCACTGCCATCTAGGCCGCTGGGCAAGAGAGCAAGACTGTCTTTAAAAAAATAAAAAGAAAAAGAAAAAAAAAATAAGTCTTAAATAAATGGTAAGATACATGATATTACTGAAGAGAAAAAAAATCAATTCTGTAAGTATTTTAATTCTCTCAAACTAATCTACACATTGAATCAATTGCAATCAGATTCTTTGCGTGGACTATTTTGGGAGAAAGAAGTAAAAACCGGATTCTAAATTCCATCTGGAGTAATATACAAAAATAACTAAGACTACTTTGGAGAAAAAATAATGGTCCATGTCTTTTATCACTTATGCCCATTCTGATCAGTATTATCCTACCAGATATCCAAATAAACTATAGATGTAAGGCTACATGAATTAAAATAGTATTATACTTGCAAGGGACTGACTCAATAGAACAGAAGAGTTCAGAAATAAAATTTTATGTATGTAGGAATTTAGTATATAATAAAGGCAGCATTTTAAATTAGAAAAAGGAAAATGATGATGGAATAACTGCTTGTCTATTTCAAATACATATATAGTATAAATATTTAATATATATTAGCTATATACAAAATATATATTCATTACATATATTAAACTGCATTCATGCCAGACACAAAGATGTCAAATGGTTTAAATATTTAAATATAAAAATTAAGATTAAAAATCTAGAAAACCTATAAATCTAGAGATTGAGTAGGCTCTATGCATGACAAAATACAGCCTCATATCTAAGGCTCAATGCAAAATTAAAAGGCAGAGTGACAGAGAAAGAATTGCACATACATAACAAAGAGTTGATATTGTTACTATACCATGTAAGCTCCATAAACACACAGTGTTATTTCTTTTGTTACTATTTTACCCCCAGGACCTATAATAGAATAGTGCCTGGCACATAGTAGATACTTATTGAAATGGATATACATTAAAAAATTACCACAAGTCATTAAAAAAAAATGAGGAGAAAAATTGACAAATATTACAAACAGGCAAAAAATTCAAATGAGTAAGAAATATATAGAAGGAAGCAAAACCTCACTACAATAAAGATGTACAGATAAATACATATGCAATATATATATATAGTTTTTCATCAACCAGACTAACAAAGACTAAATGATAACATTCTGGGTAGGTAGCAGGGAAATGACACTCATATCATTAGTGGGAATATAAGTGATAAAATGTTTCTGGAGGACAATTTGACATTCTCTCTCAATTGATTAAACGTGATTACTGTTGAATCTAGTAACTACACTTTAGAAATTTAATTCAGTGAATACTCACACAATATGAAAAAATAATATGGCTAAAATGTTCTCTTCAACACTGACTATAAATCAGCAAAAACCTAGAAACTACTCAGCTAACCATCAAGTAGGGGGCTATATATTTATATAATGGAATACTATGGCAAATATTAGAAAGAATGGAATAACCTTACATATAAGTTCACAATATAAAATGAAAAGTTCCAAAACAGTTTTCATAGTATAGGTTCATTTTTTTCTTTTAAAATATAAGCAAGCATGTATACCTATATCTGCACAGGAAAATATCTAGAAGGATACAATGCCAAACTGTTAACATTGCTTGCATATAAGATTTGAGTACTTTTACTTTATACACTTCTATAAAGAATTCCTCATAACAACTGAAAATTAACTTGGTAATTTAAAAACAAATAAAACACAAAGTAAGAAAAAAGAGACTTACCTCTGGCCTAACTTCGTAATTTCTGCCCTTCACAAAACCAGAAATCACTTTAATTACACCAAGAGAAGCCTGGCCTAATTTATCTTGTTTAAAGAGTTTCTTTACGGCCTCACAACACATTTCAGATATCTGAAAAATAAAATGTTACACTTAACAGGTGTTTCTCAACCTCAGCACTTTTGGGTGAGATAACTGATATTTGGGGTGAGACAATTCTTTTTTGTTGGGGAGCTGTCCTGTGCATTATAGGATGTTTAAAGCTTTCCTGGCCTTTACTCACTAAATGCCAATAGTAACACTCCCCCAGTACCAGTCATGACATTCAAAAATGTCTGCACTCACAACTGAAATTCCAGCACTTTGGGAGGCTAAGGTGAGAGGATCACTTGAGGCCAGAAGTTCAGGACCAGCCTGGGTAACATAGCAATGCCCTGTCTCTACAAAAAACTTTTTAAAATTAGCCAGGTGTGCTGGCACATGCCTGTGGTCCCAGCCACTTGGGAGGCTGAGGCAGGAATGCTTGAGCCCAAGAGTTCAATCAAGGCTGCAGTGAGCTATGATCACATCACTACACTCAAGCCTGGGCAACACAGCAAGACCCTATCTATAAAAAAATAAAAAATAAGAAAAAATAAACAATGTCTGTAGACATTGCCTAATGTTTCTGGGGGGGGGGGGGGGGAATAAAACTGCTTCCTGTGCATTAACCTTATGTTCAAATAACTTTCTTAAAGAGACAGAGTTTAATAAACTGACACTATTTTATGAATTTGGGGGGGGGAGGCCGGAGGGGGAAATCACGTGCTCTGTAATTTTCCATTGAGGACAACAGCAATAATTATTTAGAGTAACCTACTGATTTCGAGATGTCATTCATGAGAGGGACAATCAAAACAATGATGTTGTTGTGAAAGTTGAAATGAGGTAGTGCCACCAATAGCTCACACAAGCTCTTCACAGCCACTTCTGCCAGTCCTTTGTACGCCTTTAAGGAAACTACATTACTTTTCTTCAGCTTCCTTTGTTTCCAATCTAATCAAAAGATAACTGCAGTTGTTACTCACTTTACTCATTGGTCAAAACTTAAACTAATTGGCTTTCTTTTATAATAAATATGTTTTACCACACAAAAAAACCTTAGAGACTTCACAATAGTTCAATCTGCTTAGAAAAGGTCCAATACACATGTTATTAGACACCTGTGAGTGGCAATTGAGCATCTGAAATGTGGCCAGTCCAAATCAAGATTATGTTGTAAGTACAAAACATGTCAGATTTTGAACTTAGTATCAAAAAATGAGAATGTAAGATATCACACTAATTTTTAAAACTGGATATATTTAGATATATATAATTTACTATTAAAATTAATTTGCCTTTTACTTTTTTTCTAGTGTGGTATATTTTTTTAAAATGACATATGTGTCTCATCAGTTCCAACTGGGACACCGGAGCACAGAAGCAATATCCATACCACCCACCCCACCCAACAACTATACTCTACCACCTTCACCCCCTCATTAGGCCAACAGGATTCAGTGGTCCTTTTCCAGCTCATAGCAACTGGATGATCCTTGGTAAAGTTGCAGAGTAAATGAGCCCAACTAGGTCAAATGAAGGCTCCTGGCCTAGGAAACTGAATCCCTTCCCTATTCACACCCCAATTTTTTCTACACCCTTCCTTTTCTGAAGAAAGAGAACAAGAGTTTAATAGAAGATTTTATCATCCTGAATAAATGACTCATAAGTCCATTTTCAAGGCACTCAAACATCCATTTCAAGTTATCCTTCTCCCCTGACTTCGGTGTCTCCAATTAAAAAAATAGTAGATTAAATCCCAACTATTCATAAATTCAACAAGCATATAACTCCTTACGAGGTAAAGGACTGCAGCAACAATAATATTAAAAGCTGAAAAATATAGTGCCTAGTACATGCTAGGCACAGTTCTAAGCACTTCATATCTATAAATTAAATTACTTCTCGCTATCATCCTGTGAGGTGAAGTGCCATAATTATTCCCATTTATAGCTAGGAAAACTAACGCACAGAAAGACTATGTAATTTTACCATCACATAGGTAATTAAGTGTGAAACCAGGATTTGAACCCAGGAAGTCTGACTCTAGACTCTCCCCCGTCCATACACTATACCAGCTTCTCACTAAACAACACAGAACACCGTATAGAATTCACATTCGTGATCAAAGCTAAGTATGTTACATGCTTTCAAGATATGTTTTAACAAACCTTTAACCATTTGCTCCAGATTTTCCAAATAAAATTTGTATTGGCTAACCAGGCCTTCTTCAAACTCTCTCAACTTTTGGGTTTCTTTGCGCATCTGAAAAGGCCAAAAAGATCAATTATTTTTTTAAAATCAGAATATGAAAACCCAAAACTTAGCACAAAATATAAGTGCCTATTATTTAGGCAGTGCTATAAAACAAAACAAAACAAACAAAAAAACCCTACTGTTTCTCCCATTCCCAGTTCTCCAAATTCTCAGCTTATTTTATATAATAATTATTATCTAACATTACCTTGGTAGATTTTTCTGCTTCTGTGAGGGGTCGGATTTTATATGAAGGAGTAATGTCTTTAAATAATTCCATCAGAGAAACTATCACCAGCTTTCGAACCGTAACAGCCACATCAGGATCCTGTTCCATCAGCATGGAACGTAACTCTTTCAATTTTTTAATCTATTAAAGAAATAACTTATGAGGCTAGAGAAGTCATGGCAAAACAATTCTCAACAAAAGACAACAGCCCTATATCTGGCACAACAAGTGGAATTCACACAATGACTGAGAGTTTAGTCAAGCCATGTAGAACTCCAGATACTGCTCACATTTCCCACAGATAAATCACTAAAGTTATAAGGTAGTCATATTTTTGTTTTATAGTTAGAAAAACATACTTTTTTTTTTTTTTTTGAGACAGAGTCTCGCTTTGTTGTCCAGGCTAGAGTGAGTGCCGTGGCGTCAGCCTAGCTCACAGCAACCTCAAACTCCTGGGCTTGAGCGATCCTTCTGCCTCAGCCTCCCGAGTAGCTGGGACTACAGGCATGCGCCACCATGCCCGGCTAATTTTTTATATATATATCAGTTGGCCAATTAATTTCTTTCTATTTATAGTAGAGACGGGGTCTCGCTCTTGCTCAGGCTGGTTTTGAACTCCTGACCTTGAGCAATCCGCCCGCCTCGGCCTCCCAAGAGCTAGGATTACAGACGTGAGCCACAGCGCCCGGCCAGAAAAACATACTTTTTTTAAAAGGTTTAAATTTGTTAATTTGTTAATTTGCCTATTTTCAGAAATTCTCTGGGTTTTTCTAAAGTATGCATGTTCTATTTTTCTAAAATCACTTTTTGACATATAGCAAAATGTTACATACATCAAATATATTATTCACACACACATGAATTAATTGGGAATTAAATATAATATAGCCACATTAACTTTGGCTTCAACAAGACTGATGCAGAGATAATATTTGACTATGATGTAATGCAGAAGTAAAAAACTGATTTCAACTAATGTGACTGCTCTGATGAACTACTATTGCCTGATGGAGTAATATCTTAAGAAGGTAGGTTCTGGTAGGTCAGCAGTGTTTACCTTTGCCAAGAAGACAAATATGCCACTACTCTACTTTCTATCCCTAAATTGTATGTATGAGCATAAGCCTCCAGAGTAGAAGACCTGGGTCCTAATCTAATGGCTGTTAAAATCTGGAACAAATCATTAGGTTTTTAAGGCTCAATTTTTTAGCTATAGACAGACATCAACAGCTCTTATCTCTATGGTTTTATAATGATTAAATGAGATAATACAAGAATTCCAACTCTATATTCTGCACTAGATCTTCCCCTCACTCTATTTAGAAGATGACAAGTACCACACTAAAGCATACCCACACAAAATTTTTTCTATAAATGTAAATAATGTATTTTATTATTCAGTACACATTGTCATAGTAAGATATTGGGACACTTACATAATAATAATAATAGTATCACTTTATGTAAATTCATATATTTTTATCCTTTAATCCCTATAACAAAAGTTTTGAAATAGACGCCATTCTGTTTTTCGAGATGCAGAAAGTAAGTCTTGGGTAACATCACTTACCCAAAGTCTCACAGATACTATTATACTTAGCAGGGCCAAAACTGAATCTAAAGTGTTGTAACTGTCACTACTTCTACTACTATACACATGGCCCAATAAGTCCTAATTCTGACTCTATTTCACTGAAGATATTTTCTACTTACAAATACTCTTGAACTAATTTCACTGACTTCTATGTAACATGTTCTTTATTAAAAACTCTATAGCACCAGTAATCCCAGCAATTTGGGAAGCCGAGGCAGGAGGATTGCTTGAGGCCAAGAGTTCAAGACCAGCCTGGGAAACAGAGACTTCATCTCTACAAAAAATAGAAAAATTAGCAAGGCATGGTGGCATGTGCCTGTAGTCTCAGCTACTTAGGAGGCTGAGGCAAGAGGATTGCTTAAGCCCAGGAATTCGAGGTTGCAGTGAGCTATGATCACACCACTGCCCTCTAGCTTGGGCAACAGAGCAAGGCTCTGCCTCAGAAACAGAAAAAAAAAAATCCTATATAGGTCAGTCAAGTAAATCTGCAAGAGGGTTCCTCCTCTCTGATTAGTTTTTATACACTTAACCACTTTTAGAGTTACAACAGTAGTAAGTCCACATCTTCATATGAAAGATGAGGAAAATAAGACTCAAGAGAGTTTCATTGACTTTTCCAAGATCACAAAAGAAATTAAGTTCAGATATAAGATTAAGCTAAGATGCTGTCTACTCTTTTATTCTAACCCAGCTACTATGGTTATTTAATGCCTTTCCTTTTAGTGCATGCTTACAGGAAACAAGAGACTCTTATATTACACATTTATACCATACATAAGAGCCTAAAGAAATTAATATTACCTACATTACTTTCTGGATCTGATATTATAGCAGATGCCAAGGATGCAATATGCAGTTTCTTCTCCTGTAGTTTCTTCCTTCTCTCAATTAAATGTTCTTCTACAGTCAGCTCTCGAATAGGATCTTCAGTGATCTCTGAAACAAATCAGATTTCCCTGTAAATATTCCTTTATTTACAAGTATCTAAGAACTTTAAGTAATAAAATAATGTTCTTATGGTAATTAATAATGATAGCTAAGAATTTTGTATTTATTACCATACATCATCCTTTCAAAAATCATATAAGACAGGTACTCTCATTAGACCTATTTTGTAGATAAGAAAACTAAGGCAAAGGGAAAGAAACTAACAGATACTGGATTTAAACCCAGGCAGTCTGACTATAGAGCTCATATTAAGAACTTCTATTCTAATAAACCCACAATAATTCATATTAATTAAGGAAAATGACATTCTCATTTAATTTGTTTTTAAGTACAAAATATTCTCCTTTGTTTTCATCTCTATATAGTACTCTGAACTAAACAAAGAATGTCTACCTTAAGAAATTCACAGGGAACTAGATATAACAAACACACAAGCATAATCTGTAAGGAGTCTATGATGGACAACTGAAAACAGTTAAATAGTTGACCTGTAATCTCATTTACACTACTACTGAGGTCTGCTAAGTGAAAGTAAAATTAAACCAGTTTTTCTGTCACAAATTCCAAACTCATATAGTTTCAAACAATAAAATTTATTCTTTCAGTTTAAGTTTGATTAGTTAAAACTGTTCTAGATATTAGAAACCCACATTCAATTACCTAAAACGGACATATACAAAGTATAACTGCTCTAAGAACAAACTCAAAATTACTTCATACCACAGAATCTTGTAAAATTTTTTTTTTTTGAGACAGAGTCTCGCTTTGTTGCCCAGGCTAGAGTGAGTGCCGCAGCGTCAGCCTAGCTCACAACAACCTCAAACTCCTGGGCTCAAGCAATCCTGCTGCCTCAGCCTCCCAAGTAGCTGGGACTACAGGCATGCGCCACCATGTCCAGCTAATTTTTTGTATATATATTAGTTGACCAATTAATTTCTTTCTATTTATAGTAGAGACGGGGTCTCGCTCTTGCTCAGGCTGGTTTCGAACTCCTGACCTTGAGCAATCCACCCGCCTCGGCCTTCCAGAGTGCTAGGATTACAGGCGTGAGCCACTGCGCCCAGCCAGAATCTTGTAATTTAAGGCTAAAAAGTTAATGGTTATTTGTATGTATGCAGGTCCTTTTCTTAAAATTAAAAAAATTCAGAACAGTAACAAACAATTATATTCTTCATGCATGCCTAGACAATACAAATATAACTGTGTAAATTTCGCCATAATAAAAAAAAAATAAAGGCCAGGCATAGTGGCTCATGCCTGTAATCCTAGCACTTTGCAGGGCCAAGGTAGGAGAATCAATCGCTTGAGTCCAGGATTTTGAGACCTGCCTGAGCGGAATAGTGAGATTCTGTCTCCATAAAAATTAAAAAATTAGCCAGGCATGGTGGGAGTAACAGCTGGGACTAACACATCGTTAGTCCCAGCTACTCGAGATGCAGAGGCAGGAGGATCACCTGAGCCCACGAGTTTGAGGTTACAATGAGCTATAATGATACCACTGCAGTCTAGCCTGGGCAACAAAGACACTGTCTCTAAATAAGTAAATAAATATGAAAAAACAAAATAAATTTTAAAACTCAACAAATCAGGCACAGTGGCTCCCACCTATAATCCCAGCACTTTGAGAGGGCAAAGAAGGATTGCTTGAGCTCAGGAGTTTGAGACCAGCCTGGGCAAAATAGTGAGATCTCATCTGTATGAAAAATTAAAAAATCAGCCATGCATGGTGGCGTGTGGCCATAGTCCCAACTACTCTGGAGGCTGAGATGGGAAGATGGCTTGAGCCCTGCAGTTCAAAGTTACAGTGAGCTACAATCACACCACTGCATTCCAGCCTGGGTGACAGAGTGAGATCCTGTCTGTAAAAAAAAATTTTTTAATAAAACAAACAGAATCAAATTCAGTAAGATGAACCGTTTAAATGTGGAAAAATTTTCAAAATGCACTTGACATAAGCAGTGCTCCAAAATATACATTATAGATTTTACTTAAAATTATCTCACATTTACTATTACGCAAAAAAAGTAATTTTCAATTAACAATTTACTAACTGTAAAGATACATTCCATTACCTTCCTCAAGTTCCATCTCTTCTTCTTGATCCTCTTCATCTTTGTTACTGTTAATAACTATATGGAAAATATGTGTATTAAAACTGTGAAACATACTTAAGTGGTAAAACTATTTTTAAAAAAGCAAGGAAATGACTACCACAAAACTAAGAATGGTAATTACTTTTATGGAGAGAGAGCAATTAGTAAGTAAGGAGAGCACAAGGGAAGTTTCTGGACAATGGCAGCATTTATTTCCTGCCTGAATGAGTTTTATGGGTTTGTGCTTTGTAATAAACCATGTAACTTCACATCTTTGATTTTTACATTTTTCTCTGTGCTTTTCTTCATATACACAAAAAGATACATTAAAAAAAGGAGGCTAATTAAGGATAGTTAACATGTTCTAATTTTAGAAACAGTAAAATTTGGTGAAATACTCTCTGAAAAGAAAAATCATCTGAACCTTATAGCAGATGTCCTCAGTACAAATGGACACCTGAGATAATCACCTGTAATTCTAGCCAAAATCATCAAGCTTGCTATATGACTCATTGCAGCTAATCTGACTTTGTAGACAGGGGTAAAAGTCAAAATAAAACTAAATTTTGAATGAAGAAAACACATGATATTAGTGAGGAGCTGAAAGTTTAATTTATACACCAGCTGAGCAGATTCACCTGGCTTCTCCCTGGTCTGTGGGATTATACCACTTTTATCTTTGATAGGAAGTAAATGAATCAGTTCCTTCTCTGGTGCGGCCTGCAGAGTTCTTGGCATTTTTTCATATTTATCTATAATGCGCTCATGCTTTCGTTTCTTGGTATGAACAGGTTCGCTACAGGAAAAAAAAATTCAATTTTCAGTGTTAATATATTTTAAAAGGTACCTTGAAAATAGAGACCTATCATTTTAAAAGTACAGAAAAATAATCACAAGCTAACCTTCAACAGGTGTATGTATACACCTATTATCACTTAGACCAGGCATTCAAACAGCAAGTGAATAAATGAACTGGGTAAATAGCCTACCACAAAGAAACTACAGCCACATCTAGTTTTCCCTCTAGATGCAAAATAAGGTGAAAGTTACAGCAGATTATTTTTAAAGAACATTCCACAGACACAAGGGTGACTCTTTTATTTTCCCCAAACCTTTGAGGATAGCATGAACTTTGGAGTTCAAAAGATCTAAGTTTAAATTCCTGATACTTATGATTGTAGGGAAGTATCAGTTTCCTCTCTGGAAATGGAAATAAGACCTACCTAGCAGGGTAACAAGGAGTAAGTGAGATCATGACCATAAACAACTCATAAACTGGGCGAGGTGGCTCACACCTGTAATCCTAGCACTCTGGGAGGCTGAGGCAAGAGGATTGCTCAACGTCAGGAGTCCAAAACCAGCCTGAGCAAGAGCAAGACCCCGTCTCTACTAAAAATAGAAAGAAATTAATTGGCCAAATGAAAATAAATAGAAAAAATTAGCCGAGCATGGTGGCGCATGCCTGTAGTCTGAGCGAGAAGGTCTGACTGAGCCCAGGAGTTTGAGGTTGCTGTGAGCTAGGCTGACACCAGGGCACTCTAGCTGGGGCAACAAAGTGAGGCTCTGTCTCAAAAAAAAATTTAAAAAACCTCAGGAGTGTTCTGCCAATGCCTTAAACTGAGTATGTCATTCTTCCCCCATTCACTGTACTTCACTTTTCAGACTCAAAAGATATAAACTGAATCTGTCTTCTTCATAAACTTCCTTATGTATGAAATAAATTGAGTAACAGAATACTATGTTCAGAGGTAAACATCTTAAACTAACTACCTAAGTTAAAATTCGGAACAAAGCTTTTAACATTGAAAGGATGTGAATAATTATAACCCAAATGCAGTAGTACCTAGAAGACAGATCTCTTGTTAGAAAAGATGCTCTCTGTCCTAAATCCTTCATTAACTGTAAGTCATCTTCGTCCATCATATCTAATGGCAGGGCTTCCTCTTCTTCTTCCTCTTTCCTCTCAATCCTTTTACCTGTTCCACAAAAGAAAAGAAAAAAATCACAAACAAGTGCAAGAGATGTGGAGCTCTGCATTTTTGTGTCTATAACAGGAAAAGCTTATTTTTTCTAATACTTTAGCCCAGGGTTTCTAAATGGAAGCACTACTGACATGTTGGGCAGGACAATTCTTTGTTGTACTGGGGTGTCCTGAACTAGGAAAAACGCTAGTATTTCCAACTCCTGAAATCTAAACATTAGGAGCATTCGCAGGTCATTTTACCATGCAAAAAATAAACAACTCCACACATTCTGAGGTGCCTTTTAGAGCATTTGAGAACCAATGACTTAGCTTCTTAGCTCCTTCTCATCTCCAATGACTTTCACTTCCATTCCACTTCAACCACCCTCTCCAAGGGCCACATTCCAAACCTTGGTGCTCACTGCACTCTCTGATCACAACCTTTTGTCCTTCCAGCTCTCATTCAGTTACTTCTTGGCACTTCTTCCTAAACTAAATAGACTTCCAATCCTTTGACAACTCCACTTTCTATCTACCAATGTGTTCTGCCTTCACTCCCTCACTTAGATTGCGTCGTTGCTTCAACTCCACTCTTGCCAAAATCCCCAACTACTTTTCTTTCTATACTTCAGGCAGTCACACCTAACAAAATCCCAACTACAGATCTGCTCCCTCTCTCGTCCCTTGCTCTCTTCCTCCAATTCTTTTTCTTTTTTCTTAAAAAAGAAAAATGAACACTAACTCAGTGCCAGGCACTCTTCTAAGTGCTGAGGATTCAACTATGAACAAGACAATCTTAGCATCTTCCCTAATGGAACCTATAATTCTTCCTGACCCCAATTAAGACTGGTAAGTATTGCTATGTAAAGGTACACACTGCACAGAATGGCACTCCTATCTACTTTAAATGAGCCTTCCATTTCTCAAACATACCATCAATGGATGCATTTCCTTAGTCAGCTTTCTCTCTTCCCTAGAGTACCTTTCTAAATCTTTTATCTGTCTTCACACTTCTTACCCCATCACCTACCTAACTTCATAATCAACAGAGGACATTGCTTGCTACTTTACAGAGGAAATAAAAGTGAAAAGAAAGCCAGAAGGCTAGAGTGTGCTGGTGTGAACACAGCTCACTGTAACCTCAAACTCCTATAATCAAGCAATCCTCTCACATCAGCCTCCTGAGTAGCTAGGACTACAGGCCTGTGCCACCACGCCCACCTAAACAAGCAATGTTCTTACCTTAGCTAACTGTCACAGAATGAGAAACATTTATTTACAACGCTACTCTGAGTTTGTTTACCCAAATATTGCATCTTCAGATCTGCTTTCTAGAGAAACTAAAAGCAGAGGCTAGCTCTTTCTCAAAATGAATGCTGTATTATTGTAAACTGTTTTCTCACACTGTGATAAAGCATATAGGACTACTATCCTTACCTACTCTTGGGAAGATCTGAGAACAAGAAGAGTGGTTACTAGAAAGCAAAGTTATTTCCATAAAGAACACTTTGTAATAAATCAATGGAAAGCAGAGCCCACGAATGCTTTCACAATTACCTCGTCGTTTATCCTTTGGGTCCTCCAATGGAACAGGTTTCTTAGACACAGCATCTTTTACAGCTTGCCTTAGTTTCCTCTGTTCTTTTCGGTACTTCTTTAGAGTGCTTTGTTGTTTAAACTGCTTATTTTTTAGCTTGTTTTCAAGTTTGACTTTACTAGTTTTTAGCAACTTTCGAAAGCTTGGGAGCTGTTTTTTATTTCTTCTCTAGAAAACAAAAGCAGAATGAACACTGCATATCCAGAAATTTAAATTATTTTATTTTCAAAATCAAGTTAAAGAGAATTGATTGCAAGTTTCATCAGAATCAATTCCACAATTTTAATGTCTCACAGCCATGGATCTTTCATATAAGAGCTAAAACAAAACTATGGCATTAATCTTACAGAATGGCACTAGAGTATCTTATTCAACCTGGGGTCTTTCTGTGAACAGAATCCACAGCTACTCAAAGGGATCTAAGATCCCCCCAAAGGTTAAGAACCACTGATCTGTAGTGGTAAATCCCCAATTCAGGGCTAGTTTAACAACTTTAGCTCAACGTACTCAGAACAAAATGCTGGCTGTTTTTAATAACTGAAATTTATATACTGTTTTACCATTCACAAAGTGCTGTAACAAATCACCTCCAACAGTCTAGTTATCCTGCTGTTATCCTCGCATTACTGATGAAGAAGCTAAGGCTCAGAGAGGTTATGCAACTTTCCAAAGACCTCTAAGCTAGGGCAAAACTCAATTCGGATCTTTGGATTCCCCCTCTCTTGCTGGTAACCCCTCATTGAGAAATCCGAATCCCAGGACTAGCTCTAACTTTCTGTGAGAACCAGGGCAAATCACTTGCTTTCCTATCTCTTTATGGGAGGGAAAGGACTTGTCTCGTATAGGTATCATGGCTCACATCATACAGACCCTGCTTCTCATCTGCAGAAGGGTTCGAAAAACGATCTTAAAACCCAATTCAAAGTCTGAAATCCTACGGATACAAAACTCCGTTACTATCTCAGCGTGGTCCCTTTAAGCTCTGCGTGCGCACAGTGGGCGACGAAGGATGAGCCCGGAGAAGCTGACAGCGCACAGAGCCCAGAGGAAGCCCCGGATCTAGACCACCGCCCCCTATACAAGAGTGAAAGCCTGCCGAAAAGCTAAACCAGGCAGCGACGCCGTAAGCTAGAGGGGCCTAGGCCGCAGGGGCTTCTGAGGACACTTACTGCCTTCATCCTTATGCCTGAAGAGAAACTCGGCCTGACATTCACCACGGCCTGGGGTAATCCAGGAAACCCGGGGAGTGACACACGTGCCGAACCCGCGCCACTCCGCTAGCCGGAAGCACCCTCCAGCTCCGCCCCATCCTCCGCCGCCGGAAATAACGAGGCGGGACTTCCGTCAGCAGGTTCGGGGTCGCGCCTTCTCGCGGTGCGGGTTCCGCCGCCCAGAGCTGGCGGCGCCGCGGCGTGCGCGCGCATGCGAGCCCCGAGGGGCGCTGGGCCAAAGGTTGGTGGCCAGTGGCGGGACGGAGTGGGGGAGTTTTGCAAAGGTCATTGACTCTTTGACTTTCGCCCCATTTCTTTTGAAATCTTGGGGAAATCGAGCTCCTCTCAGGAGAGGGCTTGGTGTTTTTCAGTCACCTTACTGCATTTCGTGCCTCTCCTCACGTTGCTTATCTCACTCACCCGGTCGGACACTGATTTTCGTAGGCTTCCCTCCCGGCAGCCTGGAGCACAGGGAGCAGCTCGCTCCTGTGTGCGATACTCGCCCCTCCACGGGCACTCTGGGCGTGTTTGTGGAATGGCGAATGATTTCTCTCACCTTCCGTAACTCAAAAGGGTGTGATTCTTGATATCTTATTTGGAAATATTTTTTGCTTTAATTTTAGCCATTGTCTGATACGAAGCTATATCAGTAAGACTCATCTGCATTTCAGTATTTTTTTAAAACCTATTGCCTTTGGGTAAATTCTCCCGTCTGCATAGTAATTCCACCGAAGTCATTACTTTTCTTTTTTTCTTTTTGTATTTTTTTTTTTTGAGACAGTCTCGCTTTGTTGCCCAGGCTAGAGTGAGTGCTGTGGAGGCAGCCTAGCTCACAGCACCCTCAAACTCCTGGGCTCAAGCAATCCTGCTGCCTCGGCCTCCCGAGTAGCTGGGACTACAGGCATGCGCCACCATGCCCGACTGATTTTTTCTCTATATATTAGTTGGCCAATTAATTTTTTTCTATTTATGGTAGAGTTGGGTCTCGCTCTTGGCTCAGGCTGGTTTTGAACTCCTGACTTTGAACGATCCTCCCGCCTTGGCCTCCCAGAGTGCTAGGATTACAGGCGTGAGCCACCGTGCCCGGCCTGTGTCTGATTATTTGATTGGAATTGGATTCCAACCCAGTATATCTGTTTTGGAGTGATTGTGTCTTTGGTTTTCCTCTCAATGGCTGATTACTTTAAAGAGACTAAGAGCCTGGCTGAGACAGGAGGATTGCCCAGGAATTTGAGGTTGTGGTGAACTATGATCTCACCACTGCACTCTAGTCTGGGCAACAGAGAGAGATTCTGTCTCAAAAATAATAATAATAAACATTCAGATAAAATAAAAGCCTATGATAGCCGGGCGCGGTGGCTCACGCCTGTAATCCTAGCACTCTGGGAGGCCGAGGCGGGCGGATTGCTCAAGGTCAGGAGTTCGAAACTAGCCTGACAAGAGTGAGACCCCGTCTCTACTATAAATAGAAAGAAATTAATTGGCCAACTAATACATATAGAAAAAATTAGCCGGGCATGGTGGCGCATGCCTGTAGTCCCAGCTACTCGGGAGGCTGAGACAGCAGGATCACTTGAGCCCAGGAGTTTGAGGTTGCTGTGAGCTAGGCTGACGCCACGGCACTCATTCTAGCCTGGGCAACAAAGCAAGACTCTGTCTCAAAAAAAAAAAAAAAAAAAAAGCCTATGATAGGCTCAAAGTTGATATCTCATATTCCTTATGAAAAATTATTAGTGTTGTTATAAATGTAAATCTCCACAATCCAAACATAAAGAATTTTACAACATATATGTCATGATCTCTACTTTCTACAATGTTAAAATATAGTCAAGAAATACATATAGTTAAGAAAAATAATTACACGTAACCAAATAAAGAATAATAGAAGAGATTGCATAGGTGCTGAAAGATGAAGTAAAGCTGCTTTAGAGAAAATGATAGAGCAATGTATCTACTTAACCTTTTGCACTCGCTTGCTTTTTTCTCAATTCGTTTATTCTACTTGGGATTTAATTTTTAAATACCCCAGATTTTACAAAGCGCAGCAGTAGAATAAAAAACTGGAGTTTCTTTTCATACAAACTTATTTATTTGGATTTTTTTATATTTCAAATTATTGATACATTCAAAGAGTAATTTTAATCTCTATAATTTTTCATGGTGTGATATTTTTTGAAACATTCACCCACATGAAGACCTGGTTTACATTCACATGTTTTGCAAATATAAATCGTCTCTCTTCTTCCTCCTTTGATTTTTCTGTTAGAACAAACAACACAATCTTTGTGGTTTTTGTTAGGGTGAGGTGTGATTATATGGAGCTTTCCATCTAAACATTGCTCTAAGTTAGGGCATAATAATCTACCCCTGGAAGTTAATGTACCATCTCTACATTTACATTTTACTTGTCCTTTCATGCTAATGAAAACAAGAAAAGATACTGGAAAGATAGACAAAAATCCCCCTTCTCCCCGAGGTGAAACTACGTGTCGAGTGTGGCTCAACATACAAGCTGCTACCGATGCTAACTGTGTCGAGTCACACTCGACATCCCAGTGCAAAGGGTTAAGTAGAAGTGGCAGAAAGGACACTGGACATACTTTAATGGAACTGGCAGAAAATTCAGAAAGATGGAATATTATGTTTTAAGCAAGTCCACCCAGGTAGTACAAATAACTTATATTGTGATCCATCAGGGAATTAGGTTAAAATAACTACTAAGTAATTATAATTAATTTTGATTATTAATCAAAATTTTATTGTTAAAATTATTATCTATTGATCAAAATTTTCTTGTTAATTTTATTAATCAAAATTAATTATTAACAAGAAAATAACAAAAAATAAAATAATGATGTAGCAGATTGTTTCATCCCCCCAAACCCTCTGCTGGAATCACCCCAAAAGTGGTGGCAAGGGAGCTCCTACAAAGGAGTGCCCCAAACCATTACAGATGAGGTCATTTGGGATTCCAAAGAAAAGCACTAAACGCCAGGGTGATCAGTCCATAGCATTTATCAGGGGAACTTACAGAGTGCTGCAGCAATCCTTGAGACAGCAAGAGAAAAGGGGTGTTCTACTTAAGTATGTATGCAACGAGGGGATCAGGGTAAGGACTTTATACAGGGGTTTAAGGAATTTGGCTCATGGCTAGGGCCAGTTTTTTTTCAATATTTTGGCCAACAACCTAGATAGCTTTATCTGTTCCTAGGAATGTTCAAGCCCTGGTTTGGGTTCAATCCTGCTGAGAAAAACCTGCAGCTGGCTAGGTCACAGAGGGGTCAAGACAGTGTGATTTTGGGTCAGGATGCAAAAGAAAGCAGAGGTGGTCGGGGGTCCTGGGGGGCCCTACACAGATGCTGTTGATGTTCCACCTACATCCCCTTTGCACTTTCTGTTCCATACATGCTGAAAAAGTCCTCTGTGAGCACTTGCAAATTTTCACCTTAAGGACTGTTTCTGGACCCCTACAGGGTAGGCCAGAAGTGCCAAGTAATTTCCACCAGTGAAAGCAGCCTTCAACGAACAACAAATGAGAGTTGAAGAATAAATGTACCAATTGTGGTAGGCTGAAAAATGTCTTCAGAAGATATGAAGCCCACATTCCTAGAAACCTATGAATATTACCTTATATGGACAAAAGTGTAATTAAGTTAAGGATCTTAAAATGGGGAGATTACCCAGGTGAGCACTCATATGTGTCCTTTTAAGAAAAGGCAGGGAGGCCAGGCATGGTGGCTCAGGCCTGTAATCCCAGCACTTTGGGAGGCTGAGGGGGGAGGATCCCTTGATCCCAGGAGTTTGAGATTACAGTGAGCTATGATCACACTGCAGACAGGGTGACAGAGCAAGGCCCTGTTTCTTTTTTTTTTTGTTTTTTTTTTTTTTTTTTGCGACAGAGTCTCACTTTGTTGTCCAGGCTAGAGTGAGTGCCGTGGCGTCAGCCTAGCTCACAGCAACCTCAAACTCCTGGGCTTGAGTGATCCTTCTGCCTCAGCCTCCCGAGTAGCTGGGACTACAGGCATGCGCCACCATGCCCGGCTAATTTTTTTTTTTTTTTTTTTATATATATATCAGTTGGCCAATTAATTTCTTTCTATTTATAGTAGAGACGGGGTCTCGCTCTTGCTCAGGCTGGTTTTGAACTCCTGACCTTGAGCAATCCGCCCGCCTCGGCCTCCCAAGAGCTAGGATTACAGGCGTGAGCCACAGCGCCCGGCCAAGGCCCTGTTTCTAAAGAAGAGATAGGCAAGGGGAGATTTCACACAGAAGAAAAGGCAATGTGACCACATAGGCAGAGATTGGAGTGAGATAGACATAAGTCAAGGAGTGCCATCAGTCACCAGAATGGGAAAGAGACGAGAAAAAAAATTGTCTTCTAGAGCTGAGCCCAGTGCTATAGATTTCAGACTTCTGGCCTCTAGAACTGTGAGAGAATAAATTTCTGTTGTTTTAAGCCACCAAGTTTGTGATATTTGTTACAGCAGCCATAGAAAAAAATATGCTAAAAATTATACCAATAAATATACCTTGCTCCTCAGACGTAGGAAAACTCTGAGGTATCTTCTACCTTGTCTGCAGAGATAAGCTACTCAGCACAATCCATTTATGTCCTCTTCCCAGTCTCAGTTACCCACCCTGCTATCATCAGTGGTTTCTGGACTCACCATCAAGATAAACCACTTGCACTCAAATCCTTATGTATTAGTTTCTGAGGTCTGTCATAACAAAATGCCACACATTGGGTGGCTGAAAACAACAGAAATGTCTTCTCTCACAGCTGTGGAGACAAGAAGTCTGAAATAAAGGTGTTGGCACAGTTGGCTTCTTTTTAAGCTCTGAGGGAGAATCTGTTCCATGCCTGTATCCTTGCTTCTGGTGACAGCTAACAATCCTGGGCATTCTTTGACTTGTAGATGCATCATTCCAATCTCTGCTTCCACCTTTATGTTGCATCCTCCCTGTATCTGTGTCTTCACATGGCCATATTCCCTCTTATAAGGACACTGGTCATATTGGATTAAGGGCCCATCCTAATGACCTCATCTTAACTTTATTACATTTGCAAAGACCCCCTATTCCAAATAAAGTCACATTCATGGTTACCA